GCCGCCGTCCCCTTCCTGTGTCGCCGCCGTCCGTTGCTGGAGCGCCGCCATCCCCTTCCCGCTGCCCCGCCGCCGTTGAAGGAGCGCCGTCCCCTTCCTGCCGTCGTCGCTGGTGAGGATATATCGATGAAAACTTCATCAACTTGATCTTTGCAAATGTTCGATTCTTGCTTAATTTCCCCCACTGCTTGCGACAATGTATTTTTTGTTCTTACACCAAACATTTCATGGACCCTTGCTTAATTAATTATTGGTGATGGAGATTATATTTATGCTTTTACTATGATTCTTACTTAAGATAAAATGATTTCCACCCTATTTAGAAGTAAAAAAATCCGGCTGGTTTACTTATAAAAACGTATAGTGGTTAATTTGTTGAATGATTTTTTTTTACTCCATGCAGGACAAATCTAGGAACAAAAAGTTGGGGAACTCAACATACCGAGTACATTGACATAAACACATCATCTTAATATACCAATACGTATTTTCTTCTACCCTCCAACTATTCAAAGACCTTTAGTACCTCTTATCTTATTAACCATGACGAAAAATTAAAGGGGGACTTACTCAAGGGGTATCCATAGGGTCCAGCGGATGTAGGGGGGACTTATGTCCCCTGCACCCACGTTGAATCCGCCCCTTACTCCATGCATATATTTCTATCCGTGTCGTGTGCGTGCACGATGTTAATTACTTTTGTCACTTCGTTCATGCCTATTAGTATGATCCTCTTGTTTGATTAGCATTAATGTATTGTCCATGCAGCTAGGATTTGCTCTTGTTTGATCAGTATCGGGTGCATAACTGCTATGCCAATTAAGGCTTTTGTTTCCGAGTCGCAAAACGGCACGACATATATAACATGCAGCATACAGCATGCAAACTCTTCCATTAAATAATGTCATCAACTGCACGACATATTAGATGTCACAGGTATACATATATTTGCAATAAGCAATTTACAATATATACTAATCATCAACTCGCGCATATCACATGGGCATGCATGTCTCAAAATATTAATATATGTATGACATTCGATGTCATTATATTTAAAGAGATTTACTTTATTTATTCAGATTTGAATACTTTATATGTAAATTTTTTAGATAAATATAGTAATATTTATAATACTAAATTAGTTTTATTAAATCAGTAATTAAATATATTTTCATAATAAATTTATCATGGGTTGAAAATGTTATTATTTTTCTCTACAAACTTAATCAAACTTAAAGCAGTTTGAATTTTACTAAAGTCAAAACGTCTTATAACATAAAACAGATATAGTACTTAGTAATTAATTTGCAGAAAACATATGGGCAGTCTACCAGACTGCCACCATTGGTTATATATCCAATGGATACAGAATGTGATTGAAATTTCTCAAGTTTTCTGTCACCTGAAAACTAAACTCCCCCATTTGTTTAACACATACAGCCTAAAACAACCAAAAATAATAATGCATTTTCTACCCGGTATCTGTGCACCGGGATGGACGTACCTTCCATATAGGAATAATAAATCTATAGTAAAAGACAAAATGATTGTGTGCACGGTCTCGAATACTCATCTAAAACTCTACTGTAGTAATGCTGCCTTTCAACAATACTCCTACCGAAACTAAATACCTGAGAACATATTAATTTCAGGTGTCATTTGCTACGAAGGAACATGTAGGTCATGGTGTCGGGGATTCCTGTTCAGCGCGTACGCGCTAGGAACGGAGGCATCGCGCACTCTCGCCGCGCTAATAGCGTTTAACGTGCTTTTTTTGCTAACAGCGCTTAGCGTCGTTTTTTTTTGTTTTTTTAGATAAAATTTACCATGCGTCATTTTCTTTTCTTTGTTTAGTTGACTGAACAAACTTTCAACTCAAATTTATTCAGGATTTAGAAATATTTTAACTAAGATTTAAAAATTTTCAAGTCTAGATTTGAACTTAGTTTTAAAAATTTTTTAAGTCAAGATTTAAATACTTTCAACTTAAATTTAAAAATTTTCAACTCAGGTTTTGAAACTTTCATATCTTGATTTGAAAAAAATTCAAGTCAAGATTTGAAAGCTTTCAACTCAGATTTAAAAACTTTTATCTCATATTTAAAAACATTCAACACAAATTTGAAAACTTTCATCTCAAAACTTAAAAACTTTCATCTCAAATCTTTAAAACTTTCAACTATTTAAGCCAAGATTTGAAAACTTTCAACTTAAAATTTGAAAACTTTCAACTCAGATTTGAAAACTTTCATCTCATATTCAAAAACGTTCAACTCAAATTTGAAAACTTTCATCCCAAATCTTAAAAACTTTCAACAAAAATTAAAGATGAAAGATTCAATTTCTAAAATTAAAAAAATCACGGAAAAAAATCAACGAAAAACGTTTCACGGCCTCCTTGCGGTGGAAAAAAGGAAACGAGAAAAAAGAAAAAAAAAGGAAGAAAAGAGCCGCGTGAGGAGCGTGGGCCGCGTGGGCCATAAACGCGCGCCAGTTGCACTAATTAGCGCATACGCGCTAATTAGCCATTGCGCATGGTGTCCCCCTCAGCGCTGAGAAGATGGAGTAGCGGTGATTGTTGGGGTTAGCCTAGGGCTAGTTATCCTAGCTATTACTCGTTTTCTAAGGGCTGTTTGGTTGAGTGCCAATCTTTACTAAAGTTGTGGCAATCACCAATTAAGCCTAGTGTTTGGTTTATGCCATAAGTGAGTTATGCCACAATATTTTAGCAAGCTGGTCCCCTTGTCATTGAGTGATTTTTTTACCATAACTTGCCACAATCATACCAACAAATTCTTAGCCATACAAATATGCCACACTTTACTAAATATTTTATGGTAAACTTATGGCCTGATCTCCTCTTTGTTGGCACGCACACGCAGACAGTCGTACGTCGCACCAGCTATAGATGGCCAAAGGGCCCGCCCGGCACGGCCCGGCCCATGCACGGTTGGGCACGGCCCAGCAGCCATCGGGCCGGCACGGCCCGATAGGCACTTCGTGCCGGGCCGTGCCGGCCCATGGGCTGCACCTCCCGCCCAGGCACGGCCCACCAGCTGTCGGGCCGTGCCGTGCCAGCCCGAAGGCATGCGTGGCCCATCGGGCTTTTATAAAATAAGTCTATTTTTCGTCCCTCCTCTTTGGGCTATTTCATGTATAGCTAAAATAAGTCTATTTTCTGTCCCTCCTCTTTGGGCTGACATATGTATAGCTAAAACAAGTCTATTTTCCATCCCTCCTCTTCGGCTAACATATATATATATATATATATATAAAGTCTATTTTAGGTCCCTATTCTTTCATCCATGGCATATAATATGTCTAGTTTTACTCCCATATTTTTTTTTTGTATCGGGCCTAGCTGCCGGCCCATCGTGCCGGGCCGGCCCAACGTGCCAGTGGAGGGGCCCAGGCATGGCCCGGTGGTCGGGCCGGGCCGGCACGGGCCTGACCTCCGTCGGGCCGTGTCGTGCTTGGGCCGGACCAAAATGCCGTGCCATAGGCCAGGCCGTCGGGCCTCGGGCCTTTTGCCCATCTATAGCACCAGCTGCAGGGGAGAGGCTACCACCTCCTGTCGCCTTTGCAGCTGTAGAGGGCACGCTAGCTTACCTGCAGCGGATGCTAGTAGGGAGTGTGTGCTGTGTTTAGAGGACTACGAGGCGGCTGAGCAGGTGACGGTGCTCTCGTGCGGTCACTTTTTCACCGTCACTGTGTGCTAGCATGTGGGTTATTAGGAACCACCACGTCAGAAAGAAATTTAAAAATATACTATTTTTTTTATAAAAATATTCGGGATGCAATTATTTTGGCAGAAATATACGTCCGATCTCGCATGATCATTGTACGAAAATGATGTAGGTATGATGATGCGGGCGGTGTCACGGATGGAAAGAGCGAGACCGAACGATTTCGCGAAAGGAAAGAACAAGAACGAAACAATGTCGCATAGAGAAACAGCGATACCGGCTGTCTTGTCCAATAGTGTCGTTTAACTAGTGATTAATTACCATAATTAGTGAGTAATTAATGATAATTAGAGATTAATTAGAGCGAGTACAATAATCCACCATGGACTGACGATAGGAATGCCACATCAACTATTGTGATTAGCTGGAGGAGAGAGGGGGAGAGAAAGAACATGAGCCGACGACAAATCTATCGCCGAGCTGCACACATTTATCGAGATAAGAAGCATTGACGATGGATAGCTAGCCAATCAAGAGAGAGAGAAGATTACGAGAGAGAGAGGTAGATTATTCTAATGCAAAGTGAAATGGATGGGCCCCAGCAGTATAGCTAGCTATTGTATACAAAGACTATACTGATAACTTTGATGAGTTGGAAAAAAATTGGAGCTCGCTGCTTACTCTATTATTGACATTACTCTTAGTTACTAATCAATGTGATTAAACATTAATCATTGGTGGTTGTGCGAGACCGTACGCTCTCGCGGCTCACCAATACAAAACCGTGGTGCATCGTCACCCTACATCATTCTCGCATAATGGATCAGTGATACCGCATCGCTTTCGCACTTTCATCCAGCGACGACGGTATATTTTTGCCAAAAAATTTATATCCCGAATATTTATAAGAAAAAAATAAATAAATAATATATTTTCAAATTTAATTCTCACCACGCATGCCATTGTGTGGGTTTATAGGTTGGGAGGTCTAGCTGGTTGTCTAGACATGGGAGTGTGTATAATGTATACAATCAATGCAATCTAGCATTCTTGATATAGGGATAATTTTACAACCACCTATAATGTTATAGAGCTTGAAAAAAGAAGCAAATTATTAATAAGAGATAACATTTTAATATAAGGAGTTTCATGTAATCAAATGGAGAGGGCATCTCCAGTAGATATTGGCGTATGTTGTGCTTACACGACTGATATTAAGTGTTTCACGTAAAATGGATTGTGATTAATTGAGTTTTAATTATTACAAACTTAAAAAATAGATTAATCTGATATTTTAGATCAACTTTCATATAGAAAGTTTTCGTATAAATGCATCATTTAACAGTTTAAAAAGCGTGTCACAAGTATCCAAAATTTAATCTTCCCCTTACACAAGAAACGAACAGGCCGTGTTCTAAACATAAAAAAACATCATTTTATACGCACTAGCGCCTCATGGCCGTCCATGTTGGATGGCTCTGGCCAGGAAATTATAAATTTCAATATGATTCACTTTGTTTATTGATTTTGGATTACTAAGCAAGCAAGCAAACACTTGTTGACGAGCATCGACCGATCGACGGTTGACCTAAGTCAAGGCTTCAAGCTTTTGTTGACGAGCACGCACGCAGCACGTGGTCCGGCGTGACGGCGGCCCAGAACTCGCCGTCGAGCTCCAGCGCCGCCATGTGCTCCGGCGCCAGCACCACCTCCGCGTCGACGCCGCCTCCGCCGTCCCGCGCCGGGTACAGCGACGCCTTCCCGTCGGACTTGTTCGCCTTCCCGCTCCGCGCCGCCACCGCCTTCCCCCACCCGAAGTCGCACCCGTACATGTCGAACCGCGGCGAGCTCCCCACCATCACCCCCGACGCGTCGAAGCACCTCGCCGTGTACACCGTCGGCCTCGCCCCCCACGCCGCCACGCGCGCCCGGATGCCCGCGTCCGTGTGCGCCGCCACGGCGCGCCCCACCGCCGCCGCCGCCCACCCGTGCCCGCGCTCCTGCACGAGCTCCGACGCGCGCACCGGCGACGCCTCCGTGCCGATGGCGTACACGCTGTTCCCGAAGTACTCCCTCGGCAGCGGCGGGCGGAGGCGCCCGCGGTTGTTGATGGCCACGCGGCACACCGTCTCCTGGTCCGGCGACGAACACCTGGCGCGCGTGATGCACCGCCATAGCAGCGAGGTTAGCGCCTGGAACTTGGTGATGGCCGCCGCGCCCGCCGTGTCCCCGGCGTCCAGGAGCTCCTGGCGCGCGCGCTCCTTGAGCGCCGCCAGGGACTCCGGTGAGAAGTGGACCATCCGCTCGCGCAGCGGCGGCGTGTCGAGCCGCTCGATCAGCTCGGACACGTCGGCGTACGGCAGCACGACGGTGGCGTCGTCGTCCTCCTCGGGCGACCACCGCTTGAGCAACGGTGGTGGGCGCGACGTCGGCGGCGGCGGCGCCGCCGTCGTGAGCCTGGCGCGCGCTATCTCGGCCCACGCATTGACCATGTCCCAGAACGCCGTGCCGTCGGAGAGCGCGTGGTTGTAGGCGAAGCCGACGAACACCCCGTCGTCGAGCTCGGTGACCTGGACGACGAAGAGCGGGAGGTGGTGGCCGTCGTAGTTGACGGCGTCCCGGAGCGGGAAGAAGGAGTGGACAAGACCGCACGGGACGTCGGCGTCGGGAGGGACGACGTCGGCGACCGAGACGCCGCCGGCGACGGCGTGGACGATCTCGACGCCCTGTCCATCACAATCGATGGAGACGGAGCAGCCGCCGCCGCCGGGGCGCTTCTCGGTGACGAAGCGGCCGGCGACGGGGTAGTAGGCGCGGAGCGTGGCGGCGAGGGCGGCGGCGAGGTGTTCGACGACGTGGGCGGTGGTGGAGAGCAGCGCGGTGGAGGAGGAATGCGGCGGCGCGAAGAGGAGGCCCTTCTGGATGTAGTTGGCGGAGAGCATGGCGACGTCCCACGAGGTGAGCGGGATGCGCTCCCGCGGCCGAGGCGGTGGCTTCACCGTGCGCGTCGACACCACGCGCACCGTCGACGACGGCATCCTGAGATATATGTGTGGAGTACTGGAGGAGTATATGTGTGTTAATGAGAGTTAAGTTAGTGTGCATCCAAATATATATAGGGCAAACTAAGTTAGCACTCTCTCCGTTTTAGGTTATAAGATATTTTAACTTTGGTTAAAATTTAACTATTTTAAGTTTAACTAAGTTTATAGACAAATATAGTAATATTTAGTGTTGCTTTAAGTTTTTGTTTGTTATATTTGATCATTCGTCTTATTCAAAAATATTTAGAATTATTATTTATTTTATTTATGAATTGTTTTATTATCAAATGTACTTTAAGTATAACTTATCTTTTTTTATATTTGCACTAATTTTTCAGATAAAACGAATGGTCAAACGTTAAGGAAAAAGTCAAAGCAACAGTAATATGGGACGGATGCAGTATATATTTTCATAATAAATTTGTCTTGGATTGAAAATATTCCTACTTTTTTTATACAAATTTGGTCAAACTTGAAGCAGTTTGACTTTGACCAAAGTCAAAACGTCTTATAACCTAAAACGGAGGGAGTACTTTACTACTAGGTCAGATGAGTAACTTAGGTTTATTCCAATTGCTAAGGATTTATTATTAGCGACAGAATAATATAAGATATGGGTTGGTGGCCCAAAAATTGATCCAGTCCAGTCAAAAAAGATAGTCAAAATAAATTTACATGCTCAAACTGCTAAGGATTTATTATTACCAAAAGATGAATATAAGATGGGTTGGTGGCCCAAGAATTGATCAACTTCACTCAAAAATAGATATAAATAAATTCAAATGCTCCAATTGCTAAGGATTTATTATTACCAAAAGAAGAATATAAGACGGGTTGGTTGCCCCAAGATCCAATTATCCAAAAAAGAAATAAATAAATTCAAATACTCCAATTGATAAGAAATTATTATTTTTCACTAACACCGGAAGCTTTAATCTTTCTACTACATTTTACAAGCTGTATGTTGAGTCTGACATGTGCCGGCCTACCTACAGTTACCCATACTACCTCCATCCGATAAAAAACCAATCTAATACTAGAATGTGTCACATACATCTGTTCAGATTCGTTGTACTAGAATGTATCACATCCAGTCCTAAATTTGTTTTTTTGAATGGAGGGAGTATGAGCAATTCTGAAATACTGGTTCGACATATCTTTAAATCATTACAGCCATCTCGCAATCACCCCTATGAACAACTTGGAAAGACTGGACCAACATATCTTTAAGTCACCACGGGCGTCTCGCAATAGACAGGTACGTTGCCTACTACTGAAAAAATAATTAGCAGTAAATACGAGCACATATGTCATTTCTAGGACTTAAACCTAGAGCAACGCTCACTTCGCACCTTACCAGGTATTCTGAAAATAATATGGTCATAATTATGAATTGGCACACACAAATTAACACAAAAGAAGATGAAGTGAATATGCGAAGAAATACTTATTATACGATGAATGAACTTCCCTTTCAAACTTGGCATGGCCAAGTTTGATGGAAGGGAAAGTGCCTGGAGCCTGCCTGCACTGCCTTTCCTTCCATATTCTCCTGCTACCCATTAAAATACTTGCTTAGTTGTAGAAACATGTAAAAAGAGAGAAAAACATCAAATTTACTTGCTATCTTTGACCCCAGTCTGATGCAGAAGATTACCGACGCCACGGACTCAATCAACGCTTCTAAATTATAGGCAGAACAAAAAATAACTAATTGATGCCCTACATTGATGTAGAATATGCTTAGATAATTGTATGTTAAATATTATAGAAATGATGAATGTGTAGATGTTAATATATTATGAAAATAATGTGAGGATGATAATTTGACACTTATATATTGAGTTTTATAATATACTACATACATCTCAATACTACCCACCTTCCTCCCGGCCAACCACAAGTAGATCGTGGCTCAAGAGCGACACCTAACTATCTATTAGCTCTCAACCTCTAAGAGTAAAAAGAAGCATGGTTCTCTTAGGATGAAGCAAGTAGGAATACTCAACAAATCTTCACGAAGTCAACAAAGTGGGACTCAGCAACAAACCAAGGGCATGAAGTATTCAATGGGAGCAGCAACCTTGATTTGGAGGGGAAGAGGCTATTTATAGCCACAATCTCAAATCTATTTGTTGAGGGCAAATATCCCTTTTTTCGGAAATTTTTGAAATAGATTTTCGGGAACTTCCAAAAAAACACCAGAGAGCATTATTGCTAGTTAACCATTTGCGGATTTCTTTTTGAAAATTACTTTCAGAAAATTTTGAAATCACCGGAGAAGAAAAATGCATTTTCAAAATCATCCAAGAAAGACCAGTACCGATTTTCTCAAGTTCAACTCAGTTCGGAAATTTCCTAAGGCAATTTTAGAAACTTCTAAAACTACCGATACTATTTTCGCGCCAACACACCTTTTCGAAAATTTTCAAAGCATTTTGGATACTTCCAAAAAAAGACTAGTACCGTTCTTCGAAAGCAAATATGTTTTGGAAATTTTCGAAACTCATTTTTAGAAAATATTGAAATAAACCGGTACACAAAATAAAGAATAAAGAATGAGAACCACTTCAATAAAGATTTTGAGAACTTATTTTGTTCCTAGACATCAAAACAACATCATAGTCCTGTTTTCCTAATGACGTAATTAATCAAATGAAAGTTTACATTTTGCAACATGAACAGATTATGCCTTGAACATCACTTCACGAAGAAGTGGCATTCCTTCGCTTACTCTCAAACTTCACTTAGTCTCAAATAAATTGTTAGTTCTCATAATCGTATTAGCATTAATAACCTAAATAATTAGAGAGCTATATACACTTTTAAATTTAAAAATATCCAATACAAAGGGCGTATGGTTTGGAGTGTCGGATGTTTGGATTCAAAGTTACTTCGAACTTTACCCTTTAAAAAAAAGAGAACTTTTAGGGCAATTAGGGAAAACATTTTCTCACATGCATAAAATAATCTTCATTATGATCATAGTATTACACATAGGTGTCGCCGATCACTATTCACTGACATGCTCACATCTCGGCCTTGGACGCCTTCACCACCTCCGCCTCCATGTCGCCGGCGCCGGCGCCGTCGATGGCGACGACGCGCGGCTCCCGCCCGCGGTGGCCGGGCACCTTGGGCACGGTGACGGTGAGCACGCCGTCGTCGAGCCTCGCCGCGACGCGCCCCACGTCGGCGCCGGGCGGCATCCTGAACCGCCTCCAGAACCTCCCCGCCGCGCGCTCGGCGCGGTGCCACCGCACGCCGTCGCGCTCCCCCTCCTCCTCCTCGGCGGCGCCGGCGCGACGCCGCTCGCCGGACACCCGGAGCACGCGGCTGGCCTCGTCCACCTCCACGCGCACGTCGCCGCGCCGCACCCCGGGCACGTCCACCGTCACCACGTGCGCCTCCGGCGTCTCCTTCCAGTCGCACCTCGCCAGCGCCACGGCCGCCGGCTCGCCGGCGGCGGCGGCGGCGGCGACACCTCCCGCCGGCCTCAGCGGCGACTGCTCCAGAACCCGGAACGGGTCGTCGAGCATGTAGCCGTAGCCGTACGGCACCAGCGCGGCGGCCGGCGGCGCCATCATCACCACCATGGCCGCCACCGCTGCAACCATTCCAAGAACCTCCCGTTCCGCCACCGCCGCCATTGCTGTCTAGGCTCCAACAATGTCTACGTCTTTGCTGTTTCTGCTTGTTTCTTGGGAGAAGGCAGCGTTCGCGTTCACGAGGGTTTTATACGCGGTGGCGCCATGGATGGCGAGGAGAGAGGTCGAGATGGGTCGAGATGGAGGTGGAGTAGGTTCTTCTAGGAGCTTCTCTTGTGATGGAGGATGGAGCGCCATTGGAGGAGTTGCGAGGTTTCGGGAGAGGTCTGGAAATGCAACTAGGATGGGTTGCGCCAGGATGGTTAGTTGGGCCCAATGTAGGCCCAACAGATGGCTTGATCGGTTGATCCGGGTTGGAGTAAATAATACTCCCTCCGTTTGATTTTTAAGTAAAACTAGAAAAAATTACTCGTATGTTGCAACAGATGTAGTCTATTTTAATCTTATTATTATTATATGGTTTAGTTAAGATAAAATTCACTGTGGGAGTTCGCTTGGATATATATATATATTTAGAAAATCATGATCTGCAGTTAGGAGTCCGACGTCTCAAGTTAGCATGCGAGTTTTTTTAAACAGATTTCTTATATGATTCCTTCTGTATTAACAAAAGTGAACGATCTTAAAAACCGACTCAAATACGGATGTGTATTTCCAAAAGCAAACGAACTTAAAAACCAACTCATACACGGATGACGTACCAAAATACCGGTAAAAACATTTTCAATTTTTTATAATAGTAGAGATTTAGAAAAAGCTTTAGCAACACCTAAAATATAAAATTAGTTTTATTAAATCTAACATTAGATATATGTTGAATTTTTTTTTTGCAGGGAACGTTGAAAATATTAATATATCTTTCTATTAACTAGGAAAAAAATTAAACAACTTATAATATAAACAGAAAGATTCAAAGTTTGGGTTGAGTTTTCGCGCCATCATTTCGTGTGCTTCTCCGTTTTGATTTACTCTTGGCTCCTTTGGATAGCCAGAGAATTCTTTTTTAGAATCTCGCTAACAATTGTGCTGTTCTTTTTTTCTGCGGAAAATGTACGTGTAAAATTAAGATTCGGGGAGATTTAAAATTCCTTTTACACCTCTCAAACTCTCAATGTATTGAATGTGGAAGGGAGCACATGAAACAGATCAAAGAGAAAGGGCTCCTTCGTAGCGCAGGAATTTTAGAAAGATTTTGATAGGAATTAGCTCGTTTTCTCCTGAATTTCCTTAAAATTTCACTGTTCCAATGGACGGCTGAGTGCGAAAAGTACTTGGTTCTAATGGTGAGAAGTGTTCAGTCGTAGAATTCAGGGTACAAATATAATTAATAGACTCTCCTTTGAGTTCATTTTGTTAAGAGTAAACGTTCAATTACAAGATTATAATCTCACGAAAGCAATAGACGCTTAATTAGAATGTGATGATTTGACCATTTCTGCTGCATGCATTCCTCGAAATTGCCTAATTCATACTCCCTCCGTTCCAAAATATAGCTATTTCTAGCACAGTGTCTTGTCCCAAAATAAAGCTATTTCTTCACCTACCTCCTCCTCTCAACCAATCACAACCATTCTTCTTCACCTACTTTCTCTTTTCAACCAATCACACACTTCCTCCAATCATTCTCACCTACTTTCTTAATATCCATGCCAATCTCAAAAATAGCTTCATTTTGGGACGGAGGAAGTACTAGTATATGTCAGCAGTTACGAAACTATGGATATATATGATCATAACGACATGCATACAAACCCAATGATATTACTTTGAATCTGAAGTGTATGGAATATAGATGCCTCATGGAAACTGAACGGACTACAGAGACACAGGATAATGTTAGGAAGCAGACAACAAAAAGAAAAATGGAATTCACCAATGGAAAAAGTATGATGAAAAATGAAATAACAATGAGAAATCTAGATACTTGCAGAGACGCTACCAGTTCTTGTACATCATCACAGCTTGATGGCACATTAACAAGTTAACATTCTGTTTTTAACAAAAAGGGAGAAAAAGTTGGTGTGATGACCAAAGTAAGAAATATACCAAAATGTTGTCACATACAATAAAACAACTATCATCAAAGAAGGACGCGTGAAAAACAAGAAAAATTAATCATAAATCAAGGCTATCCTAGCTGTGCCGACCGCCTCACCTCTTCAGATAGACAAGGGGATTTCACATCAAAATGTCTGTACAAGAAGCATAAATTGGTCATGAACTCAATAAAGTGTCATGTTCACATTTGAAGTCACACCCGCATTTTTGCTGAACAACCAACTTTTGATCACCCTCTACAAGTTCATAAATTGGATAGGCTGAGACGTGCACCACGGCAGGCCATCAAACTCGCGAAATTTTGGGATGTGAGCTCGACTGCGAGGTAAACATGAGTAGCGCGTCTTAAATCGTCTTTGCACGAATGATTTGAGTAGTGTTTGCAGTGGACAAGCTTTTTTCTGCATTTGAAACCACAATACTCATTTTATCATCACCAAATTGTCAGATTAAGATGACTTCAAACGAGTTTGCCCTTTTGCCTGAAAATACTTAGTGTGATCAAAAGAGAAGTTGTGAGGTGAGATAATCAAAACAAACTTCTATACGGAAGTTACCAAATTATAGTATTACCTTTCTTCTTTTTGATTTTTCAGTTTTCCAGCAGGGGAACAGACCATGACAGCCAGGTGCTCCGGGCTCAGAGACCCTGCAAATCACATATAGGTACCCTAAGCTCAGGCAGATCAATAGTAAGCATAACAAGTTGAAAGAAAAACATTTCCTATTGAGCAATGAACTCAGTGTCCTACACAGGGAATTTGGTCAAAAACTTGAAATATTTCTGAACCACCAAATGGAGAAGAATATTCCAAATCCAAAGGTAGCCTAAAAATCTCTACTCCAAAACTACTAGTGTATCAGAAATTCAGAATTGACCAATATGACAGGGAACCAAAGTAGCTTCCATGTCAATATCCACTTTCTACACTGTTCCAAATAATGAGTCTAAAAAATCAAAGCTTGGTTCGCTTACTAACATTTGCATGTTGTATGAAGCTAGGTTTGCTCTATAAAGATTGCATGCGATTGTTTATTATGTAGAAGGAAACCATAGAACTAAGATGGTCTGTTACTTACACACTCTCATTGTCACAGTTTGCCAAGTGGTTATTGCTATGCAAGAGGCTTGGTGAAATGGCATATCCATTTTCCATTTGTCCATTTTGGCGGAGACCATGGCTGCCAATATTTAAGGATTTTAATCCATTGCTCAGTTCCTTGTCGACTTGCCTTGAGGGAAAAACAGTGTCCGTTTCGGGCATCCTGTGGTACTGTTCACCACTAATTCGTGGCACAACTTGATTTCTCTCAGGTCTCATTTGATTCAAAATCCCAGGTGCATGTTTTTCAACAGCCTGAAGCCATGCACTTTCTAACCTTTGCTCCTCAACAGTCACGGCTTTCGCTTGTTCAACAGAGACTTCTTTCCCTCTAGTTCTATGCATTCCTGTGTTCCCTTCAGTGGTGCATGACTGCAAACCTCCACTAGCAGCTGAAGCACAGCTGAATTTCTCCAGTTTTTTCTCGATCTCTTCAGAATAATTTAAATTTCTTGATGGGTTTCGAATTCCCTTTAGTCGATCACTGTTTGTTGAGCAACTCAACGCATCAAACTCATCTCTTTCGTCCAAGTCCTCCTCACGTTTTAGTCCTCCAGCAAGAAGCTCTGGCATTAAACCGATCCTGACTTCTACATTGCATCTCAGTACAGTCTCCATAGAATTTCTGATGCTGCTCGTGAATCTTTGAGCTCGAGACTTTATATCACTGCCCTCAAATGCTATGAAAGCAATATAATATCCTGAAAATAAAGTTTACAAAAAAAAATGTTGGGCATGCTAGCAGCTCAAATTTAGATTAGTGAAACATTAGGAAATCGTATAGAAGGGAAAGAAATTCATAAAGGCCCTGTTCTTTTCTCCAACAAAAGTTGGATTAAATTTTGGATATTCGTGGCACGCTTTTTAAACCGCTAAACGGTGCGTTTCATGCGAAAACTTTCTATATGAAAGTTGTTCTAAAATATAAGATTAATCCATTTTTTAAATTTGTAATAATTAAAACTCAATTAATCACACGTTATTACCACCTCGTTTTGCGTGAAACACTTTATCTTCATCTTCAGAAGATTCAAACACTACCAAAGTTTCTCAGAACTTCGCTTAAACATGCATATGAGGCTCTATTGTACTATATGCATCTGATTAATCATATTAACATGATAACATTAGAACAGAATTCAAATATGAGCTTTCACCTAATCTGCAGGCACTAAATCGACCAACTACAGTTAATAAAAAGTTAATGACACGTTCTGTTTGAGGCAAGCAATAAACTATGCCTTCATTATACCTTCATTAAACGTTTGTACACCATCCTGGAATGCAAAATGCAAAGCATCCAACTACTATCACACTAGCATTTAATCAATACTCAATTTTAGACCGATTCAGTGGAGGCAGTAGAGCTATACAGCAGCTCTAGCCCTAGTCCAGAAGGTAGGTCCTAAAGCTCGGCAAACTTGTGAAACAAACTAGTGAAAGCACAAAAAATGGTGCAAGAACAAGAGAGCATTCATAGTACAGGTTTACCTCCATAGTCTTTGACAGATGCTAGCTTCCCATGATCACAGAGTAACTGCTTCAATGTCTTGGAGTGACAATTATCTATGCATTTTCTCCAAATTCGGGCAAGATTATCTGAGCTTACGTTAGTCATAGGCCTAAGCTCAGAAGAATTACTTCTTTGAGCAGAATCTTGTAAAACTCTATCAACAGACCTACATTCTCCATGCTTTAAGTTGTCGTTGGCCCTCATTCTGGAAGACACTGAAACAACACCCTGAGGACTGGAGTGCCCACTGGCTGTTCTGAGGTCCAGTGTTTTCCTTGAACCACGCAAAGTGAATAGAGGATGAGCTGTAGTCCTGCTAGCAGAGGATTCTCTCACTGCATCCATCACAATCTCACTGGTTGCTTTAGCACTTTGTTTACTGCTGCTTCTTGACTGGATCATTTCTGAATTATGACCAGAACCAAGCTGGAGTAGTGCTGCAGTGAACCATGTAGAACGCTCACTTGAAAGCCTTATCTGCTTCTCAGCATCAGAAAGAATCTTCAAAGCTTGTTGTAATCGTTCCAACTCGGCATCAGTAACTACATAAAACAAAATTGTGTTTGAGAACTTCATGTAGATAGCACTACATGGCTGTCTTGCATGTAGCTTGTATTACAAAGAGGTCATGAGACACCCACGAACCCTAGGCTAAGGAGAAATACCAAAAAATACCCTTTAACAATAGCAGTAACAACAAGCAGGGCATTACAGATACAGTGGCAGACAAACAGCAATTCCAAGCAAGAAAGATAACAAGGTGTGCCGGTATACACTATGTAGTATGTACTATTGATCTTCTTTTTTTTTTTACACATAGCCTACTGAGTAAGTGATTGTTACATTCATATTTTCAATTGTTCTATGAAAGATCCTTTTTTGGTCCCTAAACTATCGTCGGAGTACAATTTTCACCCTAATGAACTGAACATAAAAATATGAACTTGATGTCCTCTAACTTCTCAACAGGACCAAGTCCAACCTTAATGGTGGTATTCATGGTGATTTTTTCCATGTAAACCCACTGGATGGTGTAGCATCCAAATGGCAGAAATGATGACAAATCCGTAAACATGTAAGCAATAATCATGCACCAAGGTACCTTATCCCTGCAAACTGAGTGACATACTGACATGGCCAAAAGCACTTCCAATACCAACATTGGGATTGAAATAGTGGATTTGATCCAGTTTAAAAGTTTGATGATGTAGAGTAAATGGTTTTTTAAGTTAAGGTAAAAGTTACAAAAGTGATAGACTGAGAGTTGAGGGACCTGACATGCCATTTTTCCTTCTTTTTAGTACTGAAGTATTGAACAAAAGTAATTTAAAACTTCCATCGGTAGTAGCACAACAGGAAAAATCATGATACTAATAAGAATGCATCATGAATTGGCCTCTATAGTAGTATAGTACCTTGAAAACCACAATTTTTTTGTGTTATTCAACACCTTTGACTGGGAGCATAAGAATCACAAGCACAAAACAGTCACAGTGTCACACCATAATAAATGAGAACAAACTTCAAAAACTACATTCCACGTTACAAATATGAAGAAAGAGCATAAAACAGTTTAATCTAGCTAATCAAAATGATATAATATTGATATTCTGTGGAAAAAATTATGCATGGATGAGCAATAATTCAATAAAACAGCATAACTTGATAGTATTGCACTAGTAAATTGGAAATACTCACTGTTTCGACCACCAATTCCTTCTCCACCACAAGTAGGGTCAGCTAACCTATAAGTCCCAGCAATGATGTCCATTATGAGCCCAGCTAATTGAGACATTAATGCCATCGGATCAACACCAGAATCCATCAGTTCTCTGGACCTTTTCACTGTTTCAGCAGTGTCTGCTGACATGGCTATCTCTAAAAGATCAAGTAATTTCTCCTCGGACACAACCCCAACCTGAAATTTATTCAAAACATTGTAACTAATTTGGATAGTGAATTCATATTATATAACAAAGATAGGTTCAATTCATTCATGCGGGATTCCAATAACAGATCAATAAGTACAACTAAATTAAAAAGCAACTAGCTGATGGATTGCCTATTTGATTGGATTGTGCTTACAGGCTCTAAATTTGCTATGGAGAATCCTTGGACTCTGCTAACTATGACAGTACACATCCCAGAGAACTTAAGCCAACTGTTGAAGGTATGATTACTCTCTCTGTTGTTGAACAACACACACAGTCTCCTATATAAATGTTTGATCATTTCCTTTCCTAATCATATCCATAAAAAAATATCAAAATATAACATGAAAGTATTTTCTCATATCATATCAACTCGTAATGTTTTTTGCATATATCTGTGAGTTAAGATTTCAAGGTTTGAATGAACCCAAGTCTTTTTTTAACCAAATACTCGCATTCTAAACTGATAGGGAGTATATGTTAATTTCTTTGCACTGCTTTGATTAAACAAGACATTCAACTTAGCTTAATTTTATTCAGCTTCATCGATCATGTTATCAGGGTCTCTTCCCTGTTGGTTAAACTAGAACACAATAAACATATTCAATACATACAAGCTCCATTTGGATATGTGCAAATCGCGACGAAATCCTTAAAGAAGCAAGCACAACTTCAAATAAAATAGCAGAAATGATAATTCAAAAGATAGCCAATAATCTGAGCAGTAACTCACCAGATCATTTACGAGTGAAGGTGTAATCTTTTTCCCAAGCAAACTCAACTGATCTAACATAGTCTCTGCATCTCTTAGTGATCCATCTGAATTTAGTGCTATCAAATCTAAAGCAGCCAATTCAACATCAAGATTTTCCTTCACAGCAATTTTCCTCAGCCGACATACTATGTCAATGTCCTTGATCTTGGAAAACATGTATTTCTGACAACGTGATATGACAGCACGAGGAAGGTTTTCTGGGTCTATTGTTATAAATATAAACACAACACGAGGTAATGGTTCATCAAGAAATTTCATAAATGCTGACCACACTTTAGAAGATACCATATGGCATTCATCTACTACAAAGACCTTGTATCGTGAAGAAGTTGCAGATGCTGGTATATTTTCAATCAAGTGCCTAATTCTATTTATACTTTTTCTATTGCTAGCATCAACTTCAATTAGATTAATTCCATTTCCAGTGAAAAAGTCCGTACACTCCATACAAGCCCCACAGGGCTTGTTCTCCCCAATAGCAACACAACTTAAAGCTGCTGAAAATATCCTTGCTGCAGATGTTTTTCCTGTCCCACGAGGACCATGAAATAAATATGCTGGGGCTATTCTTTCTCTTATGATGGCATTATTAAGTGATTGTACTACAAAACTCTGACCAACAAGTTCATTAAATGACCTTGGTCGGTATTTTTGGCTCAAGCTTCTCTGGTCCGAAACTGCATGATCAGCTCCACTCATAGGCAGTGCAATCCCATCCTGACTTTTACAGCTTGACCACCTTCGGCCATCCAATCTGCTCAAAGCTTCCAAATCTAATTCTCCAAAGATGGTCGAAACTTCATCACTTGCTGAATCAAATGATGAATAAGCAAAATGACAACTATCATCTAAGAGTGGCGTGCTTTGGGAAGACTTCGTAAGATATGCACATTTACTGGAGCCAGATGATCTCTTCCTTCTGTGCATTGTCTGACCCCCACACAACAGGCTGCTCCCTTTTCTTCTGAGTGTATCAGAGAGCGAAGGAGAAAAACTTCTTTCAGATCCTTTATGTTTATTCCTCTTTGACCAATTACAAGGAATACCGCACCTTTGACTTCTCAATAATTCAGGTTGGTTTAGCCCATCTTCATCTAGTGAAGCAGCAGTTGTTCCATCCCAAGAACCAACCGTGCTGGGATTCCTCCCTCTGTACCTGTAATAAGAACTAGTGGAGACTGGAGTGCAAGAAAACGAAGATCCTTCTCTTCTTGGTACTTTCAAAAACTTAGAGGGGTTCGATGAGCTGAGACACCCAGGTGCAGCAAAGAGGGGTGATGTAGAATGAGAAAAGTAGCCCCCCTTCTGAAGCAATTCATGATTCTCTGAGTTATAATTATCAGTGTCTTCAGATTGCTCCCCAGAGTTAACATGGAGATCTAGCAACTTGGAAACTGTTGAATTTCTGATTGCTCCTTTCTTTGAAAGTGAACTCCTCCTCACCCTTCTAACAGTTCTTGTAACAGGAGTGCCTGAATTGGATCCCTGAACACTGTATATGCTGACAGGAACTTCCAGGCCTGTCTCGCTCCTAGAGTCCACACCATTAGAAATGCATGGGCTTTCCAAGCTACAGTCTGCTGAAGCTTGCCTGTCATCATCATCTAACTTTATCCCACTTTCACTGGATTTGTTAGAATGATGCCTCCAATTGTAGAGATAAACCTTTTTCCTTTTCTTTTCACCCTTTGGAGGTGCAGCAGCTGGCTCAATGTGCTTTTGTGATACATTACTGCCAATCTCATTGGGATTAATAACACACGAAGTTGTCATAAATGATTTAGAACTCAAAGGCGATCTCCATGATGAACATGTTTCAGGATCACGCAAGAACCGTGCCTTTCGTAGTGCAGTAAGTTCCTTTTTCAAGTGAAGCTCACTTGGACCAACACACCCCTCAACCATAGTTGCCATAACTTAGGAGCAAGAGAAATAGTGATAATCAAAAGGAAGCACTGTCCAAGTAAAGAAATGTTGTTCTTCAGTCTGCAATAAATCATACCCAATATTGTCAAAGCCTGAAACAACTAAAAGACATATGCAAAGTAAAAATAACCTATCATAAGCATTAAAGCTACCAAACTACCTGAGTAATAATAACACAAACAATTGAAAAATAGATCCATGATGAAATGGGAAGCAAACAACATAAAGGGCATTCTATTGGCGTGGGATAATCTAATAGAATTAGACTATGCAGAGAAAACTAAGCAAGCATTCAATGAATACGCGAATCATAATTCTCATTTTTCTCACAGAGAAAAGATTAATTTTGGCACAGCAATCTTTTCATAAACAATATTTTCATTACAAGTGACTAACAGTCTAACACTAGTGATGTACTGTCCTAGACTCCTAGCACCGCCATAGCCTCCTCCCATATTGCCCCTCCCCCCCTTCCCCATCCCACAGCCTCCTGCTGCTTCTCCGTATGCTGCGACCCTCCCACACTGCATATGAGCACAGCCAGAAAACCAGCATTGTAGGCTTGCATGAGGAGGGACGTGGGAGAAACAGAGGAGGAAGAAGGAACAGACATAATTGTCTTGTTCATCTTGGAAATTTTTTGTTCAAAAAAGAAAAATATATATATGTTTAATTAAGTGGTATGAGTAGAGGAGGGGATTTAGTTTTACCAATTGCCATTTAGAGGACATATCATCAATTTCCATCTAGTGGAAGGCAATGTACTCTTTTCTCAAACAAGAAAAATGGCAGTTATCAATCCCTGTTAAAGGAGAGGAAATCTATGTGGAGGTGGTGGCGTGATGCTAGCGGGGAAACCTCCAGCAGGTGGGAGAGCAAATATCTGGATGAAGATGGTAGCATTTGGAGGAATTCCTGTTGGGTCAAGTCTAGCCAAACTGTTGGTCTAGTCAAACCAGTATAAGTGAATTGAACGCTCATAGTCGACGACAAGAAAACAGGGACCTATAAGTGGTAAATAATCCCAAATTTATCCTTTATTCAAATATCAATATTCATATTCCTTTTCCTTTGCACTGCCTAAATGGAACACCACGTCTTTCAGGTAAGAAGAAAACACTAACTTACATTTGCACAGGTAGAAAACATGCGGTCATGCACACTTGAACAGATCTCATTAACCATCACTAACTAAAGGACAAACAATGCAATTCACTGAACAAAGCTATTACTAAATAGTTTTCCCATACTTCGCACTAGTTTATGAGAACGTCATCACAAGAGGAAGAGATAGGCCAACCAGTAGCAACATCATTTATCTGACAGGCAGAAACTTGGATCGCCCACGGCAACTTTAATTCAGGGAATTTTCCACCACAAACCACCAGCCTGTCCAAGAACTGAAATGGTGCTCAGGGCCAACCCGTACTTGAGTCAAACTGAAGCTAAACTGTCATGCTCCGCACTGAGCTGACCGTGGAAAGTATTCTGCTTGAGATCAACCAACTAGACCAAGTTTTCCAGCGCGCCGCGTGTGTGGAAGGGGGACCAAAAAGAAAAAAATTCACATTTTTGTACCGGAAACGAATCCAGGAACCCTAGCATCATCATCATCATCCTAGCGTGATCAGGACCGAATTCGCGGAATGGGAGCTCTACCCCCAAATCAAACACAAGCTTCAAATCAAACCACAAGCTTTGCTGTCCGATTCGTACCGAGATGGAGGCATGCAGAAGAAGGGATGGCTCCGCAGATTGGAGAAGAAAACACACAAAGAAGGGGATGGATTCGCCCAGACATTACCAGAAGAACACAACAAATCGGGCCTAGAGCCGCACGAGCAGAGCAAGAAACCGAGAAAGAAAAAAGGTGGCGCCTTTAGGAGCATGCAGCGACTACTAACCTCGAGGAAGTGGAGGAGGAGAGCGGCGTCGCAGTGGCCGTCTCCGCCGCGGTCGCCGGGCTGGATTTGGAGCAATGCGGGTGACTGGATTTGTGGGGAGATCGCCGCCGCTGCGTTTGGGCACCTCCTCCTCCTCCTCCTCTCCCTTCTTCTTTCCTTTTTTTTACTTTTTCTTTCTTTGGATTCTTTTATGTACACTGTACTACTCCTACACTGGGGAGAGTTTCTTCAGTTTTAAGGCCTTAAGATTCTGAGAAAAAAATGTAAAAATCTGGAGAAGGTTTCTATTTATTTTTTTTTACATATTCTTATAATTTTGATTGAAGATCTGAATTGTTTGGGAGAGCTTCTAGCTATTATATTTTTTCTCTAGAATCTCCAAACATGTCCTATGTTAGCTACAGTTTCTCTTAGAATCAGATACTCTCCTAAACAGTTTAGATTCTTATTTATATTTTGAGAAACAGTAATTGTATAAAATAGAAAAAAAATAGAAACTAGAAACCAGCTTTTTCATATTCTAAAAATGTTTGGAAAGCTTAAAATTATAAGAAGCTACTAATGTGTAGCCAGTTTCTAATAATCTGAAATAATTAGGTTTCTTATAGTTTATTTTTAGATTTTGTAACTACAATTTCTTAAAATCTATAAAAAAAACAAATTATTCGAGAGAATATTTTATTCTATTAGAAACTGCACATTTCAGAAGCTTTTCAAGTAGACCAGTGGTATGCACTCATGACTCATGTGAGTGCTGTGACTAGGATGAGAGGATGGAATAGTTTAAATGTGTTGAGCTGGACACACATTGGGGCCCATACTTAGGAAATTGAGAGATTTTTGCGGGGCAAAGAAGAACCTTTTTATTTTTCTTTCCAAGTGAGGGACAACCCTTTGGTCCAACATGCCGGCCTTCATTTCAGGCCTTTCTGAAACTAGTTTATCTTCTCTCCCCTGAATTATTAGTATGCCCCAATTATCATGGCATGGTGTACTTGCTTCCCTTAAATAAGAAAGCCAGTGTAATGGGGACATGTTGATGTTTTGATGGGATCATGGGAGAAAAAGGACTTTAGTACTACTTGATGGTATCATTGCAAGCATCTGATCTGAATTTATCTCAAGTTCATACCCCTCCATTCCACGATTTGGTTGAACTCATAATCCTTTTTAATGATGGATCGATAAAATCCTGCCTCTACAACTAACGTGGGTGTATACAGTGAAGAAAAAAAAATAAGACTACTTGGACCTAACACCTTGTAAAGAAGCCAGAAGGCACACACTAACGAAAAAGGTTCAGAAAAAACACAAATCATATGGGGAAGACGAAAGGCTCTGTTCAAATGCGTGTATTGATTGAGCTTTTTTTTTATCTTTTATTTTTGATTGAGCTTATTTACCTACATGGAAAATGAGACAGATTATTAGTGTATAATTAATTAAGTATTAACTATTATAAACTTAAAAAGATCTATTTGATTTTTTGAACTTATATGTAAAAAACTTTTGCACAAAACGTATTGTTTTAGGGAAGCATGTATGTAGGTAGAGAATAAGGAAGTAGCCATTCTGAGTAGCTCTTTAGAACTCGCCTAAGCTTCAATCTCGTTTCTAAAGTTCCAACCAAATTTAGAAAAAAAAACATGACTTCAATAGCCCACACTTTCTTCAACATATGACAATTATCTTCTTAAGCACATAGTAATGATTGGATATTCAGATCATCTGTGCATTTCTTCTGCTCTCCCGAAAATTTTAAAAAAAAAGAAAAAGAAACTGCTACACTTTCATGAAAATCGCCCCCAATGGTTTGATAGAGCATGTACAATCGGTGTCCCCCTGGCTCACATCGTTCGGCTCCGTTGCTTTTTGAGCCGACGTCATCACCCAGCAGGGGCGTGCGGTGCGATGAGGGGACACGCCCCTCGCTCACTTTTTAGCTGAGCCACGGAGCCAAGCTCTGCGTTGGGCACGCAGTAGCTTGTGGACACCGTTCCGATCCCAAAAATTTCCCCTTCCACCCTCGCCTCCTCCACCACTCTCCCCTCCCCCTTGGTGCCGTCATGCTCATATTCTCTCTGCCTCCCCTTCTAGCCGGCGAGGTGGTGGAGGAGGCGTCGGCGGCCCCCGCGAAGATCCGCGACAGCGACGACCTAGGGACGGTACGGCCGTCTGGATCTAGCCTCCCGACCAGCCATGGAGGGAGAGAGAGGTGGCGATGGCGGCCCTCCCCATCGCCCTCGCGGCCGCCGGCGACAGGAGAGAGAGAAGCGGTAGAAGAGGAAAACAAGTAAACAACATATGTGGCTTTGTGGGTTGGAGTATCTTCACATGGTTGCTTGCGATTTTGAAGAACCCAACTACGAGTATCCTCCATTGGAAAATGGATATCACATAGAGTGGCTCCAGTTAGTGAGGGCACCGATGAAGTGGCTTTGGTTGTAGTGTTGTACATGCCCTTAAGGGCATATTCAGAATTCATGAACTTTACATGATTTTCACAGGAAACAATTCAATCCATTCAACATTTACACGAAATTCCTCCGGACCAAATAGGCCCTGAGAGTTTCAGCAAGATACTGAACTTTTCTCCTGCTTAATACATAACACTAATTTTAGCATCAGGCTTATCATCAATGGCGTTCCTAGAGTATACTACCCTGGGTAGGACCCCGGTAGAATTTTAATTTTTAGTTTTTTAACCTATATTAACTATATTATTAGTTCAAAATCGTTGTATTATATGTACTGTGTTATTATATATATAGAACCTTGGGTAAATTTTGTTCGGGTTCGCCACTGATTATCATCCAAATTCCTGTAGGATGGAACCTAGCTAGTGAAGGCCGAATCATAGTCTGCCGGGCCTAGGCTATATCAATCAAGCCTATCTAGTCTAATTTTGGCCCACTCCTGACTATTGCCCTCCGGCCCTCTTCTTCTTCCCCAAACATCAGAAGGCTACCAATTTGTGCAAGCTAGCTCATTAATTAGCTTGCAAACTGACTTACTGACTAATTAGCTCACTGATTAGGAAAATTCACAAAAAAAATGTGATTTTCCATGTACCGTAATGCTAATGTAAACTTGTGATGTTATGCCAAAAATCGTGCGTCCAAATATTCAGTTTGTTAATCAAACTATCATGGTGAGACGGAACAAAAGAATATGTACATTTACTACTACACACATCGTTTTCCCGTGCGGTTAATTTGGATTTTCACGTACGGAGCTTCGGCCCGTCTGGAGCAATTCATCTGCGAAAATCACCATTTTTGCGTGCGGTGGCGTAACCGCACGCGAAAATCCGATTTTCGCGTGCGGTGCTTATGTCACCCGCACGCAAAAACAAAAAATCGAAAAAAAAATTCAGAAAAAAACAGAAAACCCTAGATCAGGTTGTCGCCACTGCTCCCGCCTCATTGTTGTAGGATCAAGGAGGCCGACTAGAGGGGGGTGAATGGGCGGTTTTAAAACTTAATGGCACTTAAACAAAACTAACCTAAGTTGCTAGGCAAGGTGAGGTGCAAGGTTAACTAAGCAACTAAATTAAGTTTTGCAAACCTAAGTGATATGGGCTCAAATATGTCTCTATGAATGTAAATAGCACAAATGTAAATGCAACAAATAAATGAGACAAGAGACAAGGAATTTTTCACCGAGGCTCGGAAACTCGCCGGTTTCCTAATCCCCGTTGAGGCGAGCCCAACTCCACCGCTCAACCACGAAGCCACTGCACGCCCCCTTCGTCAAGGGGTGGGCAAGGCGGGAGCCGGCCCACGGAGAGGACTACCCAAGCCTCGATCACTCGGGGTAGTTCTTCCTTCACTCCGAAGGTGGTGAACTCCAAACCACTCACAAACGGTGCCGGGCCTCCTTCACAATCTCCTCGGAGAGGTCACCGGGCAACACCTCCATAAGCCGTCTAGGAGACGGCAACCTCCAAGAGTAACAAGTCTAGGATGCTTGCCGAGGATGATCAAGTGCCACACTAGCTATAACAATGAAGCAACGCACTTGGATTGGCTTAACTCACTCTCTAACACCTCACTAGATAAACTAAGTGCACAAGGGTGTAAGAGCTCTTGCAAGGGTTCAAGATAATGCAATGGAGTGCCAAAACCTTACCCTTGCTGCTGGGGAGTAGGTATATATACCCCCAACCACCAAAACTAGCCGTTGGAACCGAAATCCCCAACTTTGTGCTCTGCCGGTCAGACCGCCGTTGTGAGGCCGGTCAGACCGCCGTTGTGAGGCCGGTCAGACCGGACTACTTTGTAACGGCTAGAAAACTAGCCATTACAGGGCAATCATTGAGCCCACTCAACCTGGCCGGTCTGACCGCAGTGTAGTGGCCGGTCAGACCGTCCACGGCTCGGTCAGACCGCCGTCGGCTCGGTCTGACTGGTTGCGGCTCTGGCGGCTCTGTATCACCACCAAAAACCAAAACAGTGCAACAGACCAGTGGGGCCGGTCAGACCGGTCTTACCACGCCGGTCAGACCGGCTAACAGACCCGGTCAGACCGGCCTAAGGCCCACGGTCAAACCGCAGGTCACTTTTCAGCTCAACCGACCGTTAGTAAAACGGCGATATCTCTTGACTCGGGTCTCAGAATTTGATGTTCTTGGACTCTATGGAAAGCTTATTCAAAGGGCCATCCAACCCATGAAAAATCCATCCAAGAAACACAACTTAAGTCAAGGATAAAGGGCTCACACTCCAAAGGATATCCACCGGACATACGCACAAGATGTCACTCACTCCTATTAGACATGCCCACTTCTCTCCTGGTTTAGGACTTGAGAAAACTCATCACACTTGGTTAGACAAGCCCACAAAATGCACCTATATGCATATGAACTAATATGGCACAAGATCATCCACAAGCTCACTTCATAGACCCCTCTTGATAGTACGACGCCTATCTAGCAAATCCGGTCTACACCAAATACCAAGACCGGGAAAAGACTAAGAAAACATTCTTAGCTACATTATACCTTTGCCTTGCGCCATCCATCTTGGGGTCAAGCTTGAGCCGAGATCAACACTTGTGACCATCCGGTTGAACCATGTTTATGCCGAGGTCTTGTCCATCCTTTGTCAAGACTTTATTCTCATCACAAGCTTGACTTCATTCTTGCCAACATGACGATGTCCTTGGCTTGGTGACCACTAACCCATGGTGTCATTCATTAGCCTCATCGTAGTGGGACCTATTCCTTTTCACACCTCAAAGGAGAACATTAGTCTCAACAAATCGGTTGTCATCCTTCACTTGATGACCAACCGGTTGCTTATGAAAGATATGGATATGTTTGTTGAGTATTCATTAACATCACAAGTGTCATATACTCGTATGCAAGCTCAAGTGCAAAGATCCGATATAAATAATAGGTGAACAACATGGATCTAGAACATGCACAATAAATGTATAGGATTTGCTCCCCCTAAATATATGCATACAAATAAATATACAAGAGATGCAAGAGATGCAAGTGTATGCATAATTAGAGAATGACCAATGGGGGTTTATCCTATACATATAGAGAAGGCATATGTAGTAATGATGTAGAGCAACATAAAACATATACCTTCATGATCTCCATGTTCTCAATGTAAATGAGACTAAATAAAATAACATTCGAGTAAACATTAGTCTCACACTTATATATCAATAACATGGAAATCATATATATGAACCTATCAAAAAGTAGGAGATAAAAAGTGGTACATATCGTTTTATCTCCATGCATTTCATCCTTGTCATGATTAAGGTCCATCACAAAAGAATGCATGTCTTCCACATCTCATTATCGGGAAATAACCTAGTAGACAACTTATGCAAAAGAGAGGTTAATCCCATAAACATCGGTTTATCATCTATCACCAAAGTAACAATTACACAAATTGTTTAATCCAAGATCTTTCAATCTTTTCTCTCTTTGGTGATGGATAATAACCCGATATAAACAATATAGAGAGATGAGATGAAAAATGATTTCAAATCAAGATAGAAATCTTATAATAAACAAAATATAAAATAAGCTCCCCCTCAAGATGTGCATATATATGGATATGAAGGAACGCATGTGCACATAATCAATAAAGATCAAATAGGAAGCTCACACTATATTTTGGATCCACAAGAGAGACCAAGTTAGAATATGTGAAGTTTAATACATACCTCTCATCATTTTTACTTCCATATCCAAATGAGACTAGTCAAAGAAAGGCTCATAAAAACGTTAGTCTCATATAATTAGATTTGTCATTAATCACCGAAACCAAATTAAGGCACTTGAACTTACAATTGTCGGCGTCGCCGCTCCCGCCTCGTCATCGTCGTCGTCATTGGCGGCGCCGCCTCCCGCCGGCCTCCTGTGCCGGATCCGTGGCGGTGGGAGGGCGGCCGGCCACCGATCCAGGCAGGGACGGCCACTGCCACCGGATCCGTGCGGGGACGGCCGCGGGCCGCCCGTCGTCGCCCGCGCGCCGCCGGATCGCCGTCGCCGCCAGGAGAGGGAGGGAAGGAGCCGCGGCCGCCCGTCGTCGCCCGCCCGCGCCTGCCGGATCCGCCGCCCGCGCGCTCCTGTCGCCGCCGGGGAGGGGACAAGGGGGAGGATCCGCGGGCCGCCCATCTTGCCTGCACCCGCCGCCGCCTCCCCACGTCCTCCCGCCGCCGCTGAGCTCACCACCGTCCCGCCTATGGAGAAGGAGGCAAAAGAAGAAGGTGAGAGAGAGAGAGAGGAAAATGAGTGGAGAAGGAAGGTGAGAAGATAAGGGAGAGAGAGAGAGGAGAGAAGGGGCCGGGGGGAGAGAGAGAAGGAAGTTAAATTATTTTGAATAGGATGGGAGGGAAGGCTATTTTTTCGTGCGGGTGGATTAGGAGGCCCGCACGCGAAAATTAGGGTTATTTTCGCGTGTTGGCCTGTTAAGTGACCCGCACACGAAAATCAGGGCGACGACCCGGCTTCGCTCCCCCATTTTTCCGTGCGGTCTAACTTACGGACCGCATGGAAACAAAATAGGGTGGCGTCCAGGAAAATCAATCTTGTAGTAGTGATTATATACACTAGCTAAAATACCCATACATTGCAATGAAATTTTAAAAAGAGAACACCACGGTTTGCTATAAATCCCCAAGAATTATAATAAAATTATTCCCATTGTAATCGATCCTTATACCTGTGATGGGCCATTTCTTTGAGCATTCGTGACTAGATATTTTGGCCCGTCGTAGATAGACCGTTATAGATGGGCCGATCCGGCGTAGTGGTCCGTAAAGGAGTACACAATCACTATTTGAGGGTCCCACATGCATGGGCTTTATTTGGATCCTCCGGGCTAATAATTAGCCCTCCAGAATCTTGCTATTTAGGAGTATTAAACGTAGATTACTAATAAAACACATTCCATAATCCATGGGCTAATTAGCGAGGCAAATCTAACGATGTATATTAATCCATTATTAGCCGATAATTACTGTAGCGTCACTGTAGCAAAACAATGATTAATTAGGCTCATTAGATTTGTCTCACAAATTACCCTAAGGGTTATGGAATAGGTTTTGTCAGTAGTCTATATTTAATACTCTAAATAACAAGATTCTGGAGGGTTAATTATTAGCCCTCCAGATCCAAATAGGGCCATGGTAACAGTGGAACCCTCAAATCACCAATTCACCATTCACTAATACTATCACCATTGCGGCCTTTTAAAGGAGCATATAGTATAGGCATTTTAAAGGCTCCCTTTTTAAAATGGAAGATACCTACAGATGGCAAGTTACTCTAAACAGTTCAAACACATATGGCACATCACTCATTATTAATTACAACTTATAACAATTAAACTATACAACTAGAAGAGTAGAATTAGTGTGCCACAAAGCTGAAGTTGAAATTTGGATTTAGTCATAATTAATCAAGCAAAGAAGGCAATAATGGGGAAAGAGATTTCATCTCTTTGAGTGGATATCCCCTCGTTTCGTGCATGCCACCTGAATAGTCATAAAAAAATTTAAAAAAAATTTGGTAAGATAGATTAATATGAAATATATCACTTCACAAACATGCAGGTTAAAATTCAACTTCAACAAGTTGTAACAAAAATTACAAATATAATTGTGAATATACGATAACTATTTTTAGTTTATTTTGTTCTTCTTGTTGCAACTTGTAGAAGTTTAATTTGGTCTTACATGTTTGTGAAGTGATATATTTCATTTCAATCCATGTTGTCAATTTTTTTCAATTTTTTTGATAACGGTAGGACATCCCCTTAAGGAATGAAAATCCATATCCGCATTAATGTGCAGGTGCAAAACGCTGCAAGGCCTAGCTATCTACCTCCCTCTCTCCATCATGGATATATAGAGTTGAAGACGACTCGTATGACAAATAGCTTCGCCTTTTTTCATACTATATATCATTCCATACAAAATCTCTGTCATTCACGTGAAGCCCTTAGTTTTGTAACATTTATAGTAATCTCAATCAAATAGAAGTATTAGGACAAACAGGCAATTCAAATTAAGTTACATTGTTCCAATATTCAATCACTATATGGTCTAAAACTAATAGGGTTACAATGCTCACCATTTATAACTATATGGTATAAAAAGAATGTATGATCACTATATGGGAAATCAAAATTAACATGGTGGCAAAGGAAAACACACAAAATTAACAAGCTTCCTTTGAAACAACAAATTTAAAGCAATCAAACAAAAAGAAGCTATATACCAGGAGATAAGACCAAAACCAAAAGGGAGAAAAGGGGGCAGAACAAATAATGAGTAATTAATTAATTATTAGCTTCTTGTCAGCTGAATCAAGACACAAAATCCCCCAAAACAATTGCATGAAATCCTTGCACACAAGTGATAGAGAAAAGCTAGACAGAGAAAGAGAGAGGAAAATTAATTAACAAGCAATATAATCCTGCCCTCAAAATTAATATACTCCCAAACATGTTGCATTTCATGACGATGATCAGCTTCTACAAACTAGCAAAGCTAGCTATAGATAGCTACTCTGCACGCCCTGCAACGAATGGTCGCCGCCGCCGCCGTCGCCGTCGCCGTCGTCGAACTCCACCCACACCGTGCTGATCGTCGTCTCCAGCTTGGTGGCAAACGGTTGGGGATGGCTCGCCTCCTGCGCCGCCACCCCCGCCGCCTCTTCGGTGGTGGCGGCGCCGCCGCCGTCGTCGTCTTCGTCGTCGGTGACCGGCGGCGGCATGACGAGCTCCATTGCCGACGTGACGACCCTGACGACGGGGTAGTCGAGGCTCTTGCTGCTGACATTGCTGCTCTTCTTGCACTTGTGGTAGAACTCCTTGAGCTCCGGCGTCTGGGCGCGCGCCTTCTTGAGGATCTCGTGGGCCGACGACGACGCCCTCGACGCCTTGCCGCCGCCGCCGGCGGCGGCGAGAGAACGGAGGAGCGCGTCGAGGCCGTCCTTGAAGGCGTCGTAGACCTTGAAGCTCTCGCGGAGCACAATGCCGAAGGCCGACCGGGCGGCGGCGCTCGTCGCGCTCGTGTTGTTGTCGGGGAGGAGCTGGATGGCGAGGTCGAGCAGCCTCTGGCTCATGGCCAGCTTGAAGACGAGCGGCGCCTCCGCGGCGGCGGCGCCCGCGGCGTGGTCGTCGCCGCCGTCGTGCGGCGGAGGACGCGGCCGGGTGGGCTCCAGGTTGCCGGACTGGTTGATGGCCCACTGCATCCGCTCCTCGAGGTAGGCCGAGTAGCCATGGAGGAAGGAGCAGGTGCCCGTGGCGGTGGCGTACTCGCCGCTGCCGCCGCCGCCGCCGGCGTGCGGCGAGCAGCTGCACCGTGGCGCGTCGATGCGGAGGTCGCGGGACGCCCAGAGGCCGCGGAGGTCCTGCTCGAAGTACCGGTCGCCGGCGCGGAGGAGGCGGTGGACGAGCAGCAGCGACCGGAGCGCGGCGGCCGGCGGCGCGCGCGCCGCCTCCAGCCTCGCCGTGATCCGCCGCGACAGGAACGTGATCGCGCCGGGCGCGTTCGACACCAGGAACAGTATCTCATGCACGTGCCTCTCATCATCCCCGCCGCCGCCGCCGGCGGTGCACCGCTCCACCGCCGCCTCGATGTCGGCGAGGAGCGCCCGGTCCGGCACCGGCGCCGCCGCCGCCGTGGGCGTCGCCGCCGATGAGGCCTTGCTGTTGCTGTGGTCCATGAGTGACCCGAGTGCTGCCCAAATCTTGCCCTTGAACACCTTCATGTCTTATAAGCCCTCATGAGGAGGAGGTGAGCTTGAGAGAGAGTGAGGGAGGAGGGGACAAGAGAGAGATGGTGCATGAGAGTTATAGCACAAGCATGCACTCACTGCCAGGTGGGGCCCACACAGTAGTTGAGGAACTAGCTGATAAAGAGACCTGAAAGATCTGCATGTGTATGGACATGGTCAGAGACATGATCAAAGAAATTCTTTTGGATGGATTTTAAGTGTATGACTTGGAGAAAAGGAGTGTAGCAAGAGGAAAGCTACACCCCACTGGCCACTACCCCTCTCTCTCTCTGAAATGAATGAAATCTAGAGAGAGATAGAGGAAGGAAAGAAAAATATATTGGGAGGTATGTATAGCTAGGTCAACTCTTGGGTGGGGGAATCAAATGCCTTTGGAATGAGGTGCCTCATGCATGCTGCATCAAAGGCTTCAACTATTGGCATATATGAACAATAGGTTTGACTCAAACAAATCAGTTACTCCCTCCGTTTCAAAATATTTGACACTATTGACTTTTTAGTACGTGTTTGACCATTCGTCTTATTCAAAAAATTTAAGTAATTATTTATTCTTTTCATATCATTTGATTCATTATTAAATATATTTTCATGTACACATATAGTTTTACATATTTCACAAATTTTTTGAATAAGACGAACGGTTAAACATGTGCTAAAAAGTTAACGGTGTCAAACATTTTAAAACGGAGGGAGTATTTAGTATTGGTATGGATTCCTCCACATCAACATCACACACAAGCAGAGCTTTGGGCTTTTTCTTCTCATGGTGGGGGGGGGAATGTAGGGTTTAGGGGGCTAAACAAAGGCAAGCTGGTACAGTTAAGTCCACACTTAAGCCAACAGAAGAAAAGAGTCATACTATATATTCCCCTCTAGAGAATACATACTCTCTCCCCATAAGAAGTAAAAGCTCTGGATATGAATCTAGACATGGGCTATGTCTAGATTCATAAACAAAAGATTATTATTTTTTGGACGAATAGTGTATATATTATCCTAGTTGTACTCACCTAACGTGATGGGATAACTATTAGACTAGCTTGCTTTAATTTGCACTCCGATATATATAGATATATATGTGCTTGACAAAGAAATCAATGGAGGCTTTTGAACTGCTCATGGTGTAGTTATACTTGTGCCGCGTTTGATGTTATTGTTTCAATGCACTTTGTAGGACAAAGTGTGTCACCGGATGTGTCGACGAATCGGATTGCGAAAAGTGTAGGTTGAATAATTTTGATCAAAAGGATATTTTTCATAGGGAGAAAATTAGTGGTGTGGGTGATCCCTGGCCATTTGAAACAACCCAACCCCACACATATTCTCTATGTTATATTACTGGTGGCATTAGTGGTTATAGCTAGGAAAATCTACTTTTAAAAAATTACAAAATGTTTTTATAATTGGTATGGGAAGAAAGAGAGAATCATGCGAAAATTATGCCGTTATGCAATTTTATATACAACTTTAAGTACACTTTTCACCAGCCAGATGTCGTCGATCGGAAAATATGGGACTGATTAGAGGAGCTATAGTAAATCCGATAAACTAATTTGTTTATCAATGTCGACATTTTGACACCACTTGCCTCGGTCCACCATTCTTGAATTCTTATTCGCGAAAGGATCGATCACATGGGTTGATAGCAACATCTTTTGGAAATCCTTTCACATATCCCATGAACCAAGCATGCCAAAATTCCACAAAAATTAAGTTTTCAGCTGATCATTTGTTGGTTCCTCTTCTCTGCTAGTGGGACACTGTTCACATGCCATGTCCTGGCATGCACCATGATATTGCCTCCAAAGAACATAAATTCCATGGGAGAGGGAGAGAGAGAGAGCATTTGGAGAAAGTGAAAAGGTGTACTTGACATGACTAAAGGCAAAGGCAGTGCTTCTGTTTGATATAGAAGCACACGGTGGATTTAGAATTTTTATGCTCTTGTGTCCTGGCCTCTGCCTTAGCATGAAAAAAATTCCACACGAAAGTTAATGATTTTAAATAATTCTTTCCAAGGGACCTAAGAACATTCTTCATTTGGTGCAAGCAACACTAAACTGGCATCCTGGTGGTTACAATACTTCAAGTTGATGCTGCTTTGCTACAGCATCAGATTCAAATCCATTAATTAGGAACTTGATTTGTGTGTTAATATATAAACTAATCCTGTCTAAATTCGGGCAAACTATATCGCAACAATTGAAAATAACACGCTGAAACAGAGCAACGGTAAGTATGTGGCATTACATGTACTCTGTATTTAGTTATTTACCTTCGAGTTAGATATATGAAAACAACTGGGGTCAAGTACAAAAGTTACATATATCTTATTAGTGATACTGGTTTGGGTAATTCTCATTAGAATATAACTAACCTACTCAATTTGTTTATTCAATTTAGGGCAATATTTCCTCCATCTGAAAGTGATTATGCTTAAACTATTCACTTATTCTTGTAAAACCTTTTTACAGAAATTCCAAAAAACTTAATATTCATCTGTCGTAACATGTGGAGAAGCATTGCACATGCCATTTTATCATTAACCTATGCTTCAGCGTTTTTCCTTGATTTCTTTTTGTGACCTAGTATGTTCTTTGTCATGGTCCACAATTATAAGACTAAGAAATGAACATGTAAAATGTTGGCTCAAGATGACAAAATTAGTAGTAGCCTAACAAGAAATCGTATATAAATTGCAAATATAGAGATGTAGAAAAGCAAGGGTGAAGCACAAATATAGTGCAAATATTCGTGAAAAGCTGTGTCCTACCATTATCATTTAAAAATTTAGGATGAGAATGTGCCTTTCTTACTTCCAAAACAAAGAGAATAAAAAATCTACTTATGAAGAAAATGCAGTCTTTTCTCATGTCTCCTTTTGTAAGCTATTTGAACGAGCGAGAAAAATTGCATATGCCAATGAAATTGATGACTAGGAGTCTAGGACTGACCAATGATTTTGGAACAAAATGAAATTTGAATGGAACGAACGTATTAGGGCATGTTTTGGGGGTGGGGGTGGGGAGATACCATTCGGCTATCTTTATTAATACGAAAATATAGTTACATTGTTCACCAGCATGCTCGTAATAAATTAAGTTGGGCAGTTCATCGACCCATATACACGAAATGTATTAGGGCATGTTTGGTTGCCTGGCTAGACCCATATGCCTTTGTCCTGGATGGGGTTGGCATGGTAAAAGCATTTAGGACGAAACCGGACCGATGACGAAATTCGAGGCACTAAATCAGATATTCTCCCTACCAATGTATAGGATGAGAATGCTACCCTTTTCTTAATTCCGAAACAAACATAAAGAAGAAAAATCAACTGGTTAAAGAGAGTGTCTTGGCATCATGAAGTGGACATGAGGTGAAGTTGCAGTCAACGTGAAAAGGTGATTGCTAGACGCTATCTATCCATCTAGTTTAGAGTGAGGCTACCGTGGCATCTGACCATGATATCTATCCATCCATCCATCCGGTGGCCTAACATAACAGATCGTCTTGCCCCCAAAACCCTGAAACTGTACACAAATCTGCAACACATTGTTGTCGCCAGGATTTGGCACGCCTGGGAAAAAGTGCAGAAAACATGGCAAGAAAGAATCAGAGATAGATAGACTTCGCAAGTCAAAAAAGGTTTGAGAGGTTGGCAGAGTGGAAAATAAAGCTTGATAGGTTGCAATTAGGACAGGGACATGAGCATGAAAACCTTAGGGAAAAAAAAGAAGAAAAAAAAGTAGACCGTGATTGATTGATGCAGATATGCATCTAAACTAACAGAGCATCTGATGCAGTCTACTCTCTTGCCAATCTATATATGTATGTTCCATTTGACAAAAGGTGACCACTACAGAGTCAAACCCAATTTAATTATATGGAGATATATTACATATAAGCAGCCTCAAAAGCAGAGCAAAGTTGATAAATGGAAAGATTAGGAATACTGCAGATAATAAGCCACATGGGGAAACCACAAAGAACAAATTAAATAGACTTTTCGGCATGCAGTATCAATTAAGTCCACTGTAATTTTAGAAGATATCAAAATCAGCATCAGAGCAACTGAGTTTGTAATTTAATGAGTTGACAAAAATCACAACACTACTGCGCCTTCCTGCTAAAATTTTAAGTGGGCAAAATGATATCAATAATGAGGCTGAGAATAAATGACCACAAGCAATTTTTAACAAACTACAAGAGTACATGTTTGACACAAATACACAATTCAAATCTAAAACACTAAAGAGTCCAGTACAGGTGCACTTAGAAGGGCTTGAAGAAGCATAAGCTATTACAGTTAGTTTCTACTACTAACAGAAAATCTAGAATTGATGCCATTGACATACACCAAACAACACATTAAAGACCCTAAAGCTGGTCCTAAACTGAAAACCAACAGCTGAATGCATATCCATTGGGCATTCTATCTCATGAGGGTCTTTACAGCGAGTCAAATTCTTGGTTCTTCAGACATAAGCCATAGAGGGATCCACCATCAAGCTCTGGCTCTCTTGCTACTACTGCTGCAGTTCGGGCACTTGTAGTGCTTGATGTGCTCAGCCTTGGCAGGGGTTATCTTGACACACTTACCGTGGAACCATGTCTCACAAGCATCGCAGCAGATCCAGAACTCATCCTGTCCATAGTTGTCACCACATGCACCACATAATGTGTTTTCGTGATCTTCTTCTTCCTCCTCTTCCTCACCTCCGCTATCATCCTCATCCTTCGGAGGTGGCATCTTTGGACCCCTAGAGTTGGGTTCCGGCTGGCGCGATGGCTGGGGAATGTTTGGTGCCAAAGGACATCATGTTATGAGCTCATTTTCATGCCAAAAGGAACACAGTAATTAAAAGGATTCATTCATTACCTTCGTGCCGGATTTATTGCTCTTGCCACTGGTCTTGGGGGTTTTTTCTTTGCTCTGCTTCTTTGCAGTCCCAGTGACAACCTCATATATGGTTGGAAGGTTGTTAATCATGCTAAAAAGCCGTTTCCTACAACACAATCACACAATGCATTTATATGTAAATTGACGCTCCAAATGGACAGAAGAAAATCCATCATGTTACTTTAAAAACATAAATTAGTTGGAACACCAAAAACCGATTTCAAAATCTTAGAATGCAAAAGCTGCAGCCGGTGTCATAAAAAGAAACATGAATCATGCCATCAAAAGAGCAGAAAACAGAAAAAATAGGAAAACACCATAAATCATTACACATGAAGGTAACCAAACTAGAATTTCAATCCAGTAGAAATTATAACACTTGAAAACATAAACATATGCAATAAATTCTAGATCATAATTAACAAGAACCTAGTTCGAGAACAGGATCATGACTCATGAGATGCAGGTTGTGGGTGGCTAAAATGTGGATTGAATTATTAAAGGGAGGTAGTGTTCTAAGCAACACTAGTTAGTGACACAGCCCCTCTATCGTAATCTCTCAAACCAAACCTAACGCTGCTGATTTGCACGCTCTCTCACTTACCCCCTCCATCCCCGTCATGTCCAATGAAGCTACAAGTCGGTGGCAACAGCTTCAGTTCCAATAAGCAGCAGCAGCAGTAACGGTGAGAAGAAACAACGGCAGCTAATCAGCCCTCTTCTCTCACCCCTCTCCTGCTCGATCAATAACATGGCAACAAACCAAAATCGTGGGGAACCTGCAATCTGGAGTTATGGCACACAGCTTCAACCCACAGGCCACAACTATGTACTGGAGAAAGTGCTTTTAAACCATAAATTAGTTTGATAGACTACAATTCCTGCACTGTTGCTATTAGTCACATGTTGAAGCCAATTATCTTATTCTGTTCCCAATGGATGTTTAATTGCTCTCAACAATATATAACTTGGATCTTTTAATCGTGAGACCAATCATAATGCTTCAATAGGAAGATATCATCATGTGGCGCAATCAGTAAAGGTGTACAGTGCATAGTCAAGCAAGACAGTTTCTCCAGCTTCTGCATTAAATAAGTCACTTTCTTTTAGGATTTTATGTCTTGTCTCTTGTATATGTTTAGTTGGTTTTCAACAGACTAGATATTCTAGTTAGTCTGTTAAGTGCAACTAGCTGAACCGGCAGGCTTTAGGTTAATTAATGCTTATCAGCGACATCACCCAAGCCCTGGGGTAGGTCCTTGTCTCCCTGTTCATCATGGCTACCTATTCAGTCCCTTGCCTGTGACAGATACAAGTACCACGTTTCTATTTAACAGGGGACTTGGGGGACTCTTGTGATGTCCATCTCAGAGGAGCCAAATAAGCTGCCTTAGAAAAACATCGCACATTAAATTGAGGCAAGGCCCATAAAACATCATATGAACCTCATGGTCAATATAGAAAAAAGTCAAATTGCATGACAGAACATACCAGAAAACCGTTACTTACCATCACTATTGGAAAATACAACAATTAAAAAGTTAAATAAATACGATAATTAATCAACCTTAAGAAAGACTCTACCTAGATGTTGAAACAGGGCCTGGCATTTCGGATGCCAAGTAGGCATAGAGGTGTCTGCTCCCAAGAATTGGTTACGCAGCTTATCCATAATTGTTCGTTGACTTTATTCATGCATCCTAACTTTTACTCTGAAGCACATCTTTAGAACAAACCACACCTTCGTACTGACTGATATCCTAACTAAAGATTGTTATAAGAATAGACGTCTTTTGTCTCAGTTACCTGCAACTTGTTCAAATCACTTCAATTTACACCGAAACAATAAATCCCATTGCATTTGCATACGTGCATATTCCAAATTAAAGATTTGCAGACAAATTGTCTAGATTATTTATGCATTATACAGAATTGAAGTTAGCTTACGCCATTAACCCACATCAGGAACAAAATCTACATGGGACATAGTACCAACATAATACCAATATAATAGGTCAGATGGCATCCAGTACCACTAGTCCACAGTAAAATATATAAACTAAATACAAGTTAAACAAGATTCCAGTGGACAGAAGGCTTTAGTTCGTGACTAAATAACTGGCATGGTGTAACTTTACTCGTATTAAAGAAATTGTTTGTGGCCGCGGCAGTAAGGGCCCACAGATATTTATTTCTCACTCCTCAACTTAGTTTAATATTTGTATCTCAACTCCAAACAGGGTAATAATTGTCACTCAAGTCCTCAACTCTCAAAAAAGAGAAATCAATACTGGACTGACGTGTTGTATAAGTAGTATCCAAGGTGGCAGTGGGTCTGTTTGTCATAGAGGGAGAAAGAATAAAAAGGAATTGTCGACCCTAAGGCCACCTCTATTACACATGGGCTCCAAGAATAAAAAGACCAGTCTGGCCCAGTTTTGGGAGTTGAGAGATGAGTTATCTCCAGTTTTGGAGTGTAAGGGTGAAAGTAGAGAAGCAAAGAGTCAAGGGACAAGAAATACACTTTTCCCACATAAAGAGGGTAAAAAAAATTCAAGATCTTTCTTACCGTAATTTGAAATTCTTTCAATTAGTCTTATCGCTAATGCGTGTTTCTAAAATTTAAATTCCCACAAATGATACTCTATTGAACATGGGATGGACAACAAGTGAGCAAGAATATTCAAAATTTGTAACATATCATATACAACTGACAGTGATATTCTTTATAAACATACTCTGTCAAATATGAACAACAGCATGATAAAATCACCACCGGCAGGGAAAGAGGCTTGGCTTGTAGCTTGTAAGGGAGGGACTTTAGGGGAAAGAGACTATGGATTATAGAAACCCTTTTGATTAATTCTTCTCTAGTAACAATTAAGAATTAGATCAATCCAATTTTAACTAACTAATGAAGAAGATACCAAACAACCAAATAAATAGGTCTCTAAATAACAAATCCCTTCTAACACTTGTAGGACTATACTGTTCAGGCATAATTAGTACCATAAGTTATTACTGCAGTGTATGACGAGTGCCCTAGCATGCTACACATGGATGGTTAAGGAAAGCATTACCTAAGATAATGTAAAACTACACAACCATGATTCAAAATTCAAACAGGGTATTGAAAAGTAATAAAACGAAACAAGATATAAAAATGCTCAGTTAAATTATGGATCAATAGTACTTTATTGCAGCTATTTACAATTTTTAAAAAATATTTACAGTTGAAATAGTATTATTAATTCAAGGGTTTCATAGACTTTAGTGTTTGCCGATGAAGTTAAGGGCCCTTTTTACTGTTTCAATCTTTGCCGGGCCCAATCACAGCCCAGCCCTACATACCAAAAGATGCATAGAAAGTTAGAAACCACTATTTTCATAATGCGACATAGTATAAACACTATATCTATCTTTACTTCGATAGCACGAATATAGATTGCAATCTATGTCTGAGCCCAAAAACTACATTGCCAACACTGTAGTATGAAAATAAACTGTGGTAAAAAGCACAGACCATAATTATTCTATGTTAGCGACACAATAATCTTTCCATTTCTTTTTATAAAGTGTGTTTTGGTCAGGAATAGGGAATAAGGTGACAAGGTGATTAACAAACAAAGGAAAAAAGACATGTTATAAATGTCTTGGGTTTACTGCTAAATGATGAAGATAGAGAAGAGTTTGATTGGGCAAAAGGTATAAATCTCCATGCATACCTAATTTTTGTTAAAAATTTTGGAAAGTTATACTCCTAATGTTTCGAATTTGACGGAGTGCCAGTGCGCTAGGTGTTTCCATTTCCAATTGTATATAGATTATAAATCAGATGACAAATGTGCATAATTGCATCCTGCCCATTTCCCACAAGTCAAGACATAAACTGTGTGAAAATCAAAATCAGAAATAAGTACCCCTCGCAATTTTGTAAATATGCAGGATCGTGATTAAATATCTATATTCACCAGGAAACCATTAACATATACAAGCGACACTTTCTCAAACTGTATTCTCCTCTATGTATCCTGTTATTTTCTTTTCAATACACTGGTACTGAAAATAATTGAATTACCACTCTGCAGTTTAAACTATAATATTTTAAAATATTTTGCGAGGTATTAGTTTTTCTTATTATACATGATTCCATTAATTTTCATCAGGCAAAACAAAAGAATTTATAAAATTGTAATATAATGTTATCGCGAAAGTAGTTGCATTTCTATTATGACCAAACTAGACATATGCATCTAAATAATCAAAGTTAGACAACACCGCGAACATATACAAGAAGGCCAAATACTTTGGACCAGATATACTATCTATGAATAATAAAATGAAAGAGAGTCAATAATTGCCCTACAACAAAGAGTAGATGGTACGAACATTTTGAGCAATCAAAGTTATAAAAGTTTCACCAGCAAACAAAAACAAGGCCAAGTATTGTGGGTTTTTTATAGTATGTAAGAACAATACAGTGAAAGAGAAAGAAAGAAGCAAAGAGAATCATGCAAAGAATGACTGAACTTAAGTTTGAAAGAAAAACAGAACCCAAGAGATGCCAGAAGTACATCATATTAACATACTGTAAGGGTGCATTTGCTATTCCCTAACAAAATAACAAGTTGATGATTCTACAAGCAATGAAGCCTATGGAATCAACAGGGGAAAATGCTCTTTATGTAGTGCTCTAAGCGGCACAGTGGTTTTAAAAGCATCTGCTCTAAAAATACTCATTCTAACCAAAGTAGTTGAATGTTTTTAACTTCCACAAACCATGAAAAGGAACAACTGCACAAGAGTGGTAGCTTTATTAGTTATTATTCAGTTGTCACATTCCAAGAACAATATATTAAAAATAGGGGACAGAAAACCACATTGAACAACCACAAGCAACTGACAATCAAAATTGTATGCCCCAGAACAACAAATATAGTACCTGGATTCTTTGTCAAACCCGAATCTTGCTCCAAAGTAAAAGGCTACTGCTAGCAGCCAGGTATCACTATGAACCGCAACAAGTGACAGCCAATCTTTCTCATCCATCCCATCCCGAGCAAAATTAATTCCCAGAGCTGGTTCTGGAAGCTCTGGAGGAACCTCCTCAGCAGGCAAGTTCACTTCCCATGTCTCATTGGGAAGACCATATAAACACAAATTCTCTTTCTCTGCAATGTAAACAATAATTCAGAAGCATATCAATCGTTTTCTGGAAATTTTTTCATGGAAGTTATATAATCGAAATAAATCGTAGCCAAGAAACATTGGTAACGACTGCAACTGTGCCTACAGAAAACTGAACGGAGAAAATAAAAAAATATTGAATCGAAAAAGGTATGGTTTAAAAATGATTCTATTAACTGCCTGACAAGCAAAAAAAAAAAGACTAACAGATCCATATTTCAACAAAACAAGATTAAAACATATTGTTGGCCTATTTCCAGTAAGGGATAATCCCTAATATGGTATATATGAGCAAGTAAGCATTTGCTATCATGCTACAGAATTTAAGACAAGAAAACATATCTTTTCTACCAAATGACAGAAAAAAAAAACAACGAAAGGAATGCTCCAACAGTTGGAAGCCAAGAAATGCAGCGTAAACCAGTGACCGTGTGAGTCTTCTATTATGCTTCATTAACCTTCCTATTAATTTTTTTTTACAATCAGTGTATATTAAAAAAAACTATTCCCAATTATACCCCTGGTACGATGGACATATTGGTCATTTTCCACTAGCAGGCCCCAAAACAGTACAAGTACATCACACATCCTTTTCTTGTGAGGAGCGCACTCGTCAACCAATCACAGAAAAACAAGCACTTCAACTTCCTCCTCCTTTCCCCTCATATCTCTCTCTCTCTCTCTCTCTCTCTCTCCCTCTTTCTCTCTCACATATCCTACCACCATATCATTTTTTTAGTAGGACAAACTAATCTGCTACTAGTAGATCGAAAGCAAGAACCACAAGACCGACACTAGGAGAATAATTGCAGCGCAGCTTTTCTTCAAAAATGAAGTACTTTTCCCAAAAGGGTAAAAAACCCCAACCAAGAAACACAAATTCCAGCAAAGAAAAAAAAAGCCCCAGCGAGAATCGAAGCATAGAAGCAAAATAGTCCCCCCAAATCAGTGCTGGGAACACTAAAACCCACCCAAAAAAAATCTCATTTCAGCAAAATCAAGCTGAATACCCCAAATCGTCCACAAACCAGCTCAAAAACCACATCTTCCCCGAGCTAAAACATCAAGAAACACACAAATTCGAGCCCCGAGAGCGGCGAATCGGAGGAACTAAACAGGAAGGGAAGCTCACCTGGGTCGCACTGCTGGTAGAACTTCTCCACATCTGCAAAAGAAACAAAAAAAAATCCAACCAAACCAAAATCAGCCACTCATTCACCACTCATCAGCAACCCAACCGATCAATCAGTACCCCTTCAAAACCCACCCAATTTTTCCTTTCAAAAAAGAAAAAGAAAAAGCATCCGCGTGAGAGCTCAAACCGAGAGACCCCTCTTCCCCCCTCCATACCTGTGGTCAGCGCCTTGATCATCCCGGCCCGCCGCGCGCGGAAGTCCCGGAACACGTCCTCCGGCGTGCGGTGCGCCCCGCCTCCGTCCATTCCACCCACCACCACTACCACCCCACCGCCGCCGCGCCCTCCTCCTCCGCCGCTCCCGCCCGCCGCTAGGGTTAGGGTTTTGGAAGAGAGAGAGATAGAGAGAGCGCAAAGCGAAGCACAAAAAAAAAAGCTTTACTAGTTAGTACAGCGCGAGCGAGAGAGAGAGAAGAGGAATGGGGCGATTTTTTTAGGCCAAACCGCGGAGAGGTGGGGGACCAGGGCGCGGATTTTGAATCCACCCGAGGGCCCATCTGCAAATTTCCCCCCCCCGGCCCTTTTTTTTCTCGCGGCGAAATTGCGTTTTGCCCCCTGGAAGAGTGTGTCTCTCTCGGATACACCCCTAGTGGAAAACGGTCGGGGCGCGCGTCGCGTCGCCCGCTGACACGTGGGGCCCACTGGCCAGTGTGTGCCTGCACACGTCACGTGAACAAATCGGCTATGAATGGGAACAGGGCCTAGTAGGGGGTACAGTAGTGGGGCACAGGCTAATTTTTCAGGGGGAGGACGGATAGCTCTGGATAGGCAGCGCTGTTGCTTTCATGGGATTGGAATGGAACTATGGGATTTGCAAATGAAAAAATAATTTATGAATAAAACCTTTATATTCGTGTTCTATGCGATCAAAAAGCAAAGGCTAAAAAAAAAACTTCGGTGGAAAAGAAAGTTCAAAATCAGTTTTAAATTTAAAGTTGAAGATTTAAATTCTAGTTGATAAGTATAAACATAAGCGAAAAAAGAAGATGCGGCATGTTGCTACTACAAACTTTATCAAGAAACAACAGTATTGCTGAAATATGTATCCAATGATCTAAGCTTGGGATGGATGCTAGTTATGATGTATCATGGTTTGGATACTTGATTCCAGCATTCCATGAAATGCAGGTAGTAGAAGAAAGAAATGCAGTTGTAGTATTTGCACAAGCTTCTTCCGGTCCTATTGTTCAGCTTATGCTTATACTTATACACCAAAATTTGAATTTTAAAACCTAATTTTAGAGTTGATTTTGTAACTTTTATTGTAGTTTATTTTACAGCATTAACATTTGAACCACTAAGGACATGTATATAAAAGTTTTATTCATAGATTATTTTTTGGTTGCAAATAAGGCGTGTGGATAAGCGTAATGATGGGATTGTTTGAGTGATGAACTGAAGAAGATAATAACAGCAGCGGCAGATGCAGAGATACCACTGGTTTGAGTAAGCATCCCTTTTGTTGCATGTTTTCAGTTTCTACTGCTGAAAATGGTGATGACATCCAAACAAACAGAATGGACAGACAGAGATATTTACAGAACACAAATAGTGCTGTGTCATGAAGCTCAAACCTTCAAGCTGTTAGCTGTGAGGGCCAAATGTATACTACTACACAGTAGCCTGCAAGAATACAATTTCTCCAATCATGCAGCCTGCCATGCAGGGCCAAATGTATGCAGCAGCAGATCTTGGTTTCACATGAGTGGATGTTATGGGGGGGTCACTGTTGTCAGTTAAGGGCTGGTTTTTTTGGTAGATGGTGATGGTAGCTGGTGCAGGAAGTGGGGGTCTTGGAGAAGATTGAAAAGATTGGTTGATAGTTGCAATGACAAGACAGAGAAAGAGGGGTTCAGCAAAGCAGCATAACAGGATGGAGAGACAGGTAGGGCAAATAGGTTAATCATGTTCTTGATTCTGAACAGATGATAATACAAACTACTATCTCCATCCTCATAATATAAAGGATTTTGATAATCAAATCATAAGGGGAGTGCACCTCTAAGCTAGGAGATAACAAGAATTCTCTCTCTAATACTTGGCAAGCACGCGCTAGCTAATTGACCCATCTGGACCCTATCTCTGTTCTTCCTGCTGCTCTCTTGTGCGGTTGTGCCCCATGTAGCCCAAGGACCATATGGCAGATGGTCTTGGTTCTTCATTGACAACGAGGCAAACGATAGGAGTTCTGGTACAGTAATAGAGTCTTTTCTCTTCAAATGAAGCTGTGGTTGAGTGGGTGACTAATGGAGGACATAGTGCAGTTATGTTGTTGCTTCCTGTAATTCTGCTCATGCAGAGTGATGATGAATTAGAACATGATATAAATTGATGCATACCATGAAGCAATGACAAAGTCGATACGTCCATACCTCTTAAAATGGCAAAAAACATGTACAATGACAAACTATGCAGTTGCCCTTTTGGCAAAGTGCATCCAGTTCCACATCAGTCCTGAATGGTGACAGCAGCATGTTCATGGACATGATCCTTATAAGTCTGCCACCTAGTGAAAAATAATGTTGAAGTTACAACAAACAAATTATCTCATTTGCATATAACTGATTACTGAAATGTTGACAACACCAAAAGACATGGCACCACATCAGCAGTTTGACACATCAAACTATTCCAGATTTGTCAAGCCGAATAAGACAAAAGATCAGGACATAAGAAGTTGACTAATACCTGATTATTTTAGATGGGCTTCACTTTGAGGCAAAATCTCAGCAAATGCCTTCTGCAAAGCCTCCTTGGCAGTTTTGTAAATCTCCTCAGATGTTGCACCTTCCTCTGCAAATCTGATACCATCACGGCACAAATCATTACACCGCCAAGCCAAAGACCCTTTTGTGTTTGCCGGAACTTGAGATAATATGTTGTTCTTGGCATTTCTTGTCCACCTCTTCAAAATATAATTTTCAGGAAGCACTGGTATGCCAATAGCTGTCAAAACCCTTAGTGCATGCCGGCACAGCACACCAGCAAACTCAAATTTGTGACAACTGCAAGATACGCTCGCACGTGGTTCACTATAAAGAACAGTGTATCTTATATTGGCATTTTCAGATTGTGTTACCTCAAATCTGCTTATGTCCCCACTTTCAACATTCTGCACCAAAAACCCCGATGATTCAATAAGCTCATCCTGAAACAAGTCAAACATAACTTTGGTGTAGAGCTCTGATGCTTGTTTTTCCATTGGATGTGAAGACTTCATTACCGGCTTGCTACTGAAAGTCGCAAAGTCTTCCTGGAGTTCAGTTTGATAATCCCTTGCTATAGCCTTATCAAACTGAAATGCAATATCTCGCAGGGTAGTGGTAGTGATGGAGCTCCTCTGAAAAAACTTGAACATCGTCTCCAACTTCGGGGCATTGATTATCTCACCAAAGAAGCTATCCTTCAGATAGGCAGGCACCCACTGGTGACGGATACTGTATATTGTTTGCAACCACTCGTTCCCGAAAAGATTGTATTTGCTAAGCAACATCCTCCAAGTCGACTCGAACTCATCGATCCTTTCCAATTCAGTTACACATTCCTTCAATTCATCTTTCAGTGTCGAATGCTCCGAATACAAACTGGCCAATTTCTGCTTGCAGATGAAGAAGATGTCCCGTCGGCAAAACCGGTGCCTAACATCACCACCAAAGACCTTCATGGCAGCCATCTCGACATCTCTACTGTAACCGATCGTGAACGACATCGGCTTCTTCCCACCCATGAAAGCAAGCCATGTCTCGAACAACCACGCGAAGGAATTCTCGCTCTCGTCGGTCATGAGGGCGCAGCCGAACACGATAGCCTGCCTATGATGGTTCATCCCGGTGAACGCCGCGAACGGCACGGCGCGGCGGTTCCTCCTGCAGGTGAGATCGAGCACCACGGCGTCCCCGAACCGTCGGTACAGTGACCTCGCGCGCGCATCCACCCAGATGAAATTGGCAATGCAGCCGCTCCGGTCGATCTGGACGGCGTAGCAGAAGGCCGGATTGTCCAGCTGCAGCTTCCTGAAGTGGTCGAGGAGCCCCTGCGCGACGCCGCCTCCCGGCGCCAGCGCCGCGGCCGCCGCCGCGGCGCCGCCATCCTGTTCGGCCGATGAGGAGTCGTTGGGCTCGGCCGCGTCGGTGGCTGCGGCGTCGGCGGAGGAGGAGGAGGAGGCGAGGGGGTGGGAGTGGAGGAGGACGCAGCGGGAGACGAGCCAGCGGGAGGAAGGGCGGCGGTTGACCTGGAGCATGGCGGGGCAGGCGGCGCGGGCGGAGGCGCGGTTGCGGCGCTTCTTGGAGGCGTCGAGGAGGGTGTCCTTGCGGGAGGGGAGGCCCTGGCGGGTGCACACGAAGCGCCGCATGATGATGGCGTCGTCGATGCGCGACGCGAACGACTTGCTGCTCCGGACGCGGAACCCCGCCCGCGCCGCGTACGTGCAGTAGAACGCCCTCGCCTCCTCCGGCGACGCGAACTCCATCCCCGCCGCCGGCTCCCCCGCGGAGGACGGGCCCGTGACCGCCGCCGCATCCTCGTCGCCCGCGGCGCCCAGCGGCATGACCGCAGTTCGAGGAGGAGGAGGGGAGATTCGTTGCCGGTGAGGGGAGGAGGGCGAGGCGGCGGCGGCCGGCGGCGAGAGGAGAGGAGAATGGGACGCCGGCGAAGTGGGAATGGGGGGCGGAGGAGTGACAAGTGAGAAAGGCTTGAAGCTCATTTCCCAAGGGAATAAGTTCACTTTGGGTCCCTCTATTTGCTCAGTCCGATTTTTGTCCCTAGACCACAAAACGGGTACGATCCGTCCTCCAACTTACGAAAATCAGGCAAACGAGGTCTCTCAGCGGTTTTGAAGGCGGTTTTGGCTGACGTGGCGCCTACGTGGCTTGTTTGACTAGTCTCCATCTCACATGGCATTGACGTGGCGTTTACGTGGCAATTATATCTCGAAAAAATAATAAAATTCGCGGGCCCACCTGTCAGCTACACACCAAAGAATAGTTTAAAAATAACGGGGCCCACGTGGGCCCACATGTCAGCGAAAAAAATAATATGGTGGGGCCCACGTGTGCCCCACATATAATTCCCTTTCCCACTCGGCTCTCGGCTCTCCGGAGTGGCGGAACTCCGCGGGCGCGCCACCCCGCTCCAGCACCAGCACGCGGCCGCCGCCAGGACCGGCCAGCGTCGCGGCGAGCGGGCACCCGCCGTAGGGGAGCCATGGGGGAGCTGGAGCGGGCACCCGCCGTGCTGCCCGTCGTCTTCATCGCGTCCCCCTCGAGAAGGGGACCGACCTCGCCGCCGCCGTCGCGCACGAGGGCGTCATGCAGTGCTGCGGCCATTGGTGGTAGGGCGCCTCGTCGGCGGCGGCGAGTTGGGATCACCCTGATCCCCCGCCTTGCTTGACCTCCATGGACGTGTCCTCGGCGTCCATCATCTCTGTCGTCGTCGTCGCCGCGCCCGACGTGGAGGCCTCCTGGGAATTTGAGGGCACGGGAACCCATGGTACCATGGTCAAGTTGGAGGTCTCGTCCATGGTTAGCTCCTCGAAGAGAGCACGGTGGAGGTCTCGTCCATGGAGGTCTCTCGCCTCTCGCAGCCCGGTGCCTGCAAGATCAAACCATAGTTAATTTGATCTCAGCAACTTCAGGTTGAAACAAATTCGACTCAAATTAGGCGTGGATTTGGGGGCGATTGGATAAGAGGGGAGGGGATGACGTACTCTTGAGGCCGTGGATCCAATCGGGGCTGACGCGGAGAGGGAATTCCGGGCGGAGAGGGCCGAGGAGGAGGTTGCGAGCGGCGTCGTCTGGCTTGTGCAGCACAATCGCCCTCTCCTCGCTCGGCACTGGCACGGCAATCACCAGAACCTCCTCGCTGCACACTTGCACCTCCGCCACCGGCTGCGGCGGCGGTAGCGCCGCGCACAGCTCGGGCACAACGGGCGGAGGCACCTCCTCGTCCTGCACGCACCACGACGCGAGTTCGTTTATGGGATACGCCGGTAGTGTGATTTGGGGGATATTTGAGTTAAGAGGGAGTACGCACGAGACAATGGATTTCGGTGGCGCGGGAGGAGGCCGGGAATCCTGAAGCGGCGCTGCCGTCGTCCAGCCACAGCTCCGGCGCGTCCTCGACTTTCCTCTTCGCCGCCGCGGGCGCCATGCCCACTGGCACCTGATCACCGAACACCCGCACCTCGTCCGCCCCCAATCCCGCCACCGGCTGCTGTTGCGTTGGCGGCGGCGGCACGCACACGCCGGCCACAACAGGCGGCACCTCCGAAGCCCTCGTGCTAACTGGGTGCCCGCTCGCCGCGACGCTGGTCGGTCCTGGCGGCGGCCGCATGCTGGTGCTGGAGCGGGGCAGCGCGCCCGGCGGAGTTCCCGCCGCTCCTCTCCCGCCGGCGCCGCTCCGGCGTAGCCGAGAGCCGAGTGTGGGAAAGGGAATGATATGTGGGTCCCACGTGGGCCCCACCATATTATTTGTTGGTCGCTGACATGTGGGCCCACGTGGGCCCCACTATTTCTAAACTATTCTTTTGTGTGCAGCTGACAGGTGGCCCATGGTTTTTTATTATTTTTTCGAGATATAATTGCCACGCAAGCGCCACGTCAATGCCACGTGGGACGAAGACCTAGTCAAACAAGTCACATAGGCGCCACGTCAGCCAAAACTGCCTTCAAAACCGCCGAGGGGACTCGTTTGTCCGGTTTTCGTAAGTTAGGGGACGAGTCGTACCCGGTTTTGCGGTCTGGGACGAAAATCAGAATGAGCAGCAAATAGAGGGACCAAAGTGAACTTATTCCTTTCCCAAGGGCTACTTTGATGGCCGTTTTGGGCCACAAATTGGAGTCCAAAAGGAGTTGGTCAAAATCATACTGGGCTGTTGTTGACAGGTTGTCGTCTCGTGGACTATTTGCCGCGGAACTGTCTATCCATTTATCGGGTAAAAAAATCACCTAGATTTTTCTATCCTTAGATTTACATCCAACGAACTACAGAAGAAAATAATAAATACATATTTACTTACAGAACATTTTATTAAAATTACAATCCATTTACATATCATATCAACTACATTTACAAATGTAATTTAGTTATATAGGACTATAATTTTATATTTTAAATAAAATAACTAATACATATTTACTTACACAATATTTTTATCAACTGAATTTACAAATGTAATTTTAGTTATATAGGACTATAATTTTATATTTTATTTTAAATTTTAGTTTCAAATGTCTTATTTTTTCAACTGTTAAAGAAATCAATTTTTATTTAGAAAAGAACCGGGCCTAAGAATCCAATGCATGGCCTTATCCATACATGCAGCCTCCATCACCAATTCTTGCACAAATCTTGGCGCACATCATGCGGCCAAAAAATGGTGAAATACCTGGGAAAAAAATCATACGACATATATCTAGCAAAAACGATTTGGCGCCCTCCAAATGATGTATTCTCAAATGCTACTTTTACGGATGACTTTTTTTTCCATTACCATTGGATAGAGAAGATTTTTTTTTTCTTTTGTATTATTTTTGAGCCTGTGAGGTTCCACGTCACCATTGTAGCGTGAACGGTGGACAGAAGACAAACTTGGCCCTGGCCCGAAAAGAAGAAGGGGAAGAAACTCTCTGGTGTGCACCGTTGCCTCTCCTGGCGGCGGGTAGCAAACGATGAGTTAGGGGAAGCCGCGGGGTCGGGCCTTACTCCGCCGTCGATACTGGGAGAGCGCGGTGAAGAGATAATAGGAGGGGGATAGCATTGGCTGACCATTAATGACGAGAGGTTGGTGTCGTCTCACTCATTTATATCTGTAGTTGCTCGCGGTACTCGGGGGACGAAGGCGATGGCCATGGAGTAAGGCTCCAATGATGGGCTCCACCCCTGGATCTAGAGCTCCCTGCTGGGGTGCTCCATGCTCATAGGACAATGACGATGATGGTGATGGAGTCGGGTACTGGTGATGGTATCTCGTTACCAAGCGGCCATCGCCACTAGTCCACAATGGTGTTGGCAGCAATGCAGTGAAGGAGGGACCTAGAAGATGGTGAACAGAGGAAGGAAGATCGCAAGGTGGAGAGCTCTCTTGAGATTGCCGCAGCTCGCCGCTTAGGGAGACAGAGGGTGAGTGAAGGGAGGAGAAATGTAGAAGGGTAAGACGGTTATTTTGTCGTTGGAGCTAATGATGTGGTGTCTTACGGATAAAAAATAGCACACGAAAAGACAAACGGATTGTAATTTATCATTGGAGCTAATGATGTGGTGTCTTACGGATAAAAAGTAATACACGAGAAGACAAACATACTGACACACAAGTGGCATTTGAGAATACACCATCAGAGTGGCAAATAGTCCAAAAATCCCCTCGGCATGCATGCAGAGACGGTAGCAGGTCAACCGCTGATCGAAACCTCGTTTTTGTCGATCCCCTCCACCGCATCACTCCCTCTTCCCCTCCGGCAGCCGGCCTCCTCCAATCCATTGACCTCCACGCGCCGCCGCCGCCATGGCCTCCTCCGGCTCGCCCGAAGCTCGGCAGGTAGGTAGCTAGCTACGCCCTCGTCCGCTTCACTCTCTCTGCCTGCAGGGCCGCTAAGCTCCCAGTTTGGTTAATCTTGCTGATCAGCCACTTCTTCTTGCTTTCGTTCCACTCAGACTCATGGTGAGATCGCCGGAGCGGCGGCGCCGGAGAGGAGGCTGAAGCTCTACTCCTTCTGGCGCAGCTCGTGCTCGTACCGCGTCCGCATAGCCCTCAGCCTCAAGGGGCTGGACTACGAGTACAAGCCGATCAATCTCCTTGCAAACGAGCAGTCACACCCAGGTAATAATAAGTAGTATATATAATTAACCAACTAATCAAGCTCTCAGTTTCTCCATCAGCTAGCTTATTTCAGATTAACTTTTTTTTTGTTTAGAGATTTTCATATCAGAATTAGTAGTTGTTTCATTTCTTTTCATATTATAAGTTGTTTGACTTTTTCCATAGCCAAATTTTATTACGTTTGATCAAGTTTATAGAAAAATTTAGCAGCATCTAAAATATTAAATCATTTTTATTAAATCTTACATTGAATGTGTTTGTTTGGGTTAGAAATAGTACTATATTTTTCTATAAATTTAATCAAACTTAAAAGAAGTTTGACTAGCGAAAAAAAGTCAAATGACTTACAATATGAAATGGAGGGAGTAGCATGTAAAGGAACGGAGCTTTGTGTTGGTAGAATTTGAGAAGCTGAACCCGATGAAGTATGTCCCGGCACTGGTCGACGGTGACGACACAGTCGTCGTGGATTCCTTTGCGATCTTGCTGGTGAGAGGCATATACATGAGGAAATAAATCATATTCTTCATTATCAGTTTCATATCTGAATGTTTAAAATTGATGTGATAAGCTTTTCTTGTGTGGTTGATAGTATCTTGAGGACACTTACCCTCAACATCCTTTGTTGCCACAAGACCCAAAAATGAAGGCACTGAATATCCAGGTACACATACATTAGTTATTGATTGATGCCATCCTAAAAAAAGTGCATGGGAATTCTTTCCAAGAGATGTGTAATAGTTTCAGCCAAATTGTATTTTCTCGAATTAGTTTCAGCCAAAATGTACATACCCAAATCCTATTTTAATCCCTCACAGAAGTAAAACAAGTCCTATTTTACAATGGTCATGAACGAGTAGGAAAGCAACATTTTTAGTTAGACTGCCACTGTCTATGCATCTTATATTATTGTGGATGTGAAATTCTGAGTGAAACAAATTTTGTTTTGGTTGCAGATTGCAAGTATAGTTGGTTCAAGCATTCAACCACTTCAGAACAATTCTGTCCTTGTGAGTTTGGACTTTGGTCTCATTTCACATGAACAGAAATTTATGTTCTTACAGTTTGCAGTATATACTTGTATAATTTCCTCCTTCATATAAAGAAAAAGAAACAATATCTGAGATCTGTATCTGTATATATCTGCAGGATTTTATTGAGGAGAAATTAGACTCACAGGAGAAAGTTAACTGGATCCAATATCACCTCAACAGGGGCTTCACAGGTTCTGTACTCTTGCCATTATTTCTGCTGAGGATAGACGGAACAAGTGTAAATTGTATATAAATTACTCAATTTCTGTTAATGACTGTAACCCTATAATCAATTGTGATAATTTCAGTTCCTAGTAACCCATCCAAGTTACCATTGTTTTACTGAATTTCAGCTCTCGAGAAAATGTTGAAAGGTTGCACAACTACATATGCCACTGGAGATGAAATCCAACTGGTTTGTGCTTGATCTCAGTCATGCACAGTATTACATATTTTCAGTTTTTCACTGTGCAAGTAATACTATTGCCAGAGAATTTCAGTTTTTTGTTGCTCACTCAACCTTCCGATTTGTGGTTTGTTTACTCATTGATAATGCACAGGGAGACCTCTTTCTGGAACCCCAGATATACGGTGGCATTAAGCGCTTTGGGATCGACATGGTAAGCACTGATATCGCATCGTGGTCAGATTTTCCTGCAGCATACAATTACAGATTAGGTGCTTGACAAGAATGTTCAGTAATAACTCTTCACATGAGGTTTCTGTGCAACCAAATCACAAGATAAAATAACTCAAGTGCATTTTCCTTTTCTCGCAGACAAATTACCCTACCTTGGCCAGGCTTCATGAAGCGTACATGGAACATCCAGCTTTCCAAGCCGCGCTGCCAGAGCGGCAACCGGACGCACCTTCCTCTCCTGAGATCTGATCATATCTACATTAAAACACTTATATTAGGATCAAATAACCCTGTGGTGCCGGAAGAAACAGATCTCTCATACTTGGAATGATTACATAATTTCTAGTATTTTCTGGTTGCACCAAACTGCAGCAAATACGGCACAATTGGGATATTGTTTCTCTGTTTTGCATATATCTTCGTGGCTTGTTCAAGCAATTACTATTGTAACTATCGTAGTTCTGTGATCTCTTTAAAATTTATATAAAGATGAAAGAAGCCAGAAAAGGTTCATTTTGCCGCATCTTATGGCAATAGAACCTTAGCTTGATCATCACCATGCTGGCTTCTCTTCTCCACAACCTCTGCATCCATTGAGCAGTTTGTTGATGTGAAACTGAATAGGGATAACTATCTTCTGTGGAAGGTTTATACTATCAATCTTGCGATGTAGAGAACAGATTGATATCCATTAAAAAAATTATAATAAAAGGTGTACCGGTAGAGAAGACTTTTACAGTGATCTCTACACAAAGTTTTGTACTACTCCTGGAAATGACCTGAGAGTTTAGACCAATTCTATACTTGTATTTGGACGTAGCGGCTTTCCTTGGGCTTATTTACCGTCATCATCAGGTTTCCCACTAGATTAGCAACAAGTTACCGCCATCATAAGGCCTTTCTAAGAGTACTGTTGATGATGATTAAGTTAATGCGAGATCATCCAGAAGTACGAAACCATTCCTGTGAAACAGCATTATATTTTCCCCCACAAACCTGACAGAGGAGAGCAACATATCCTATGCCCACAAACTTTTTTCACACCAACTAGTAAATATCACAAAAAATCTAGAAAGAATTAGACATATACTCCTAAATTAATGCACATATCTGCAAAGTCTCAAATTCAAATTCATTATATTTTAGCAGTAACCCAAAAAGTAAAACTGTCAGATTTTTTGCCTTTTTTTGTTATGGCTAAATATAATAAATATGAGACTTTGTAATATGTGTAATACTATTAGGAGTATATGTTCATTTTTTCTAGAATTTTTATTTTTCGTGACATTTGCTAATTTGTGTGCACAGGAAACTTGTGTGTATAGGATATGTTGCCAAATTACTTCACCTGATGATCAAAGCAGACTAAATGGTGGTAAAATTTACAAAGTTAAATCTTCTCCCACGATAAAAGATTAATCTCCTATCCAAACATTTTGCCCATGCTCTGCTCACACGGCTCTGGGAAGACAAACAGGTGCAGGAAAGAACAACCTGAAACTTTGCTTAAATTAAAGGAAAAGCAAGGACGATTTCTCAAAATCTTACCTCAGTAACTTGCATCATTCAGGAACTTTCTATATCAATTTTGAGAGTAATCTCCTTCACTTTGTCCTCAGCTTTCATGTACGAGGGCGATAGCCCTTTGACTCTGTACATGAATTTCACCAACTAATTCTGGATTCTTGGTGGTAATTTTGACTTTCTGTGTCTTTTCCTGACCTTAGCTCCGTTGTTCCAGTCTTGCTTACAACAGTGCCACCTAGACCAAGTAGTCCTCTTCTGAGCTTTTACAGGGATATATTTACCTAACTCCTACCACTGGGCAGAAAAGTAGTTACAGGATAAGGTAAGCTGAGTTTTGAATGTGACCTCTTACCAAATTATATAGCTAGGGAGTTGCATTGATTTTTTTTTTAACTATGATCAGGCAAAATGACACATTACTTATATCACTGGGGGAAACAATCAAATTAAATTAGAATATCAGATGAATAATCACATTTGGCATGAATATAAAAAAATTCTCACACTGGCATATCATGAGAAGGTGGCTTTGATAGAACCCATCCTTATTTTCTTCATCTGTCACTTGCATGGTCTGTAAGGACGAAGAGTTTTCAACCAAACAAAATATAATTACATAAATGCACCATTTTTCTACATTAAACCTCTGTGCATTACAGTTGCATCATTACCTCAATCATAAGTACCATAGAAAGCAAGCAATGTTGGTAAAAGAATGGGTCTAGAAATACCAGATGTTTTGGGTCGAATCGCGTTGGAAAATGCCTCACATACAACACAAGCACACAACAAAATGGTCCCAATCTTTGGTAATTTTCCAAAGTCAATCCTACCATAAATATACACCAAATAAAATCTACAACATTCAACCAAATATAATATGCATGCAATACATATAAATCTCTTAAAAGGAGTGATACTTCAAACATGGTAATAATAATTTGAATCAGTCAGATCCTAATTCATGGCAGATAACTTCATGCTCCCCTGCCAGCCAATAGCGTACAGTTGACTCGCATTGCTCTCTCTCTCGCTTGATAAAATTTGGGGCCTTCACCATTAATTGGATGATTTTTTAAAAGGCATCCATTGAGAGGAGATGACAGTCACATTCTTGACTGATTCCATTAACTAATACACAACTGATGTGCCTATTCAGCCTTCATAACATCGCGTAGTTGCAAGTGCACAAAATTTTAGTAGTGGAGAGTTGCTAACCTTGCATAAGAAAGGGCTTCTCAGCAACCTGAAATCAAGATCACTATGGGGCATTCTCCAACTTCTTGGAGGATCATCCATCTGTTAGTCTTCCTGATCATTGTTCTTGACCACGCTCTCATAATCTCAGCAGATACAGATCCACAAGATAGTAAGTGTTTCAGTCTCATTCCAGTTTCTGGTTAATTTGCTGTAAAAAACTAGATTTTGTTTCATGATGATGTTTCTTCACTCTCATCGCTTTGTAGCCTCTGCCCTAAATGGCATAGCAGCTTCCTGGGATAACGCCAAGTCCAAGCTATCAGAATGGGTTGGTAATGATCCATGCGGCGAAAAATGGCCAGGAGTGTACTGCACCCAGAATCGTGTCACCTCAATGTAAGAACCATTTTAGCCAAATCAACATGATCTTTCTCCCCTTTGCCCTTTCTTATACTTTGTGGAATCAACATGTTGTTTCCTCTATGTTTCAACTAATGATTTTCTCTCTCTCTTTTTTCTCGGATGGTTTGCAGAAGGCTGTCAAGTTTTGGATTGTCCGGATCACTTTCAGGTGACATACAGTCATTGTCAGAATTACAGTACCTGTATGTGCTACTATCTTGTCAAATTCGTGCTAAGCTTTCCAGTGCTATAAACAAGACCTGAAAACATGGATCTTGCTTAATGGTGCTGAATCTGTTTGGGCAAGCTTTTGCCTTGTTTGATGCTGATGAATCTATTTTGATCATATGCAGGGACTTGTCTTACAACAACTTGAGCGGTCCACTTCCACCGAACATTGGATCCTTGAGTAACCTTGAAAGCCTGTAAGCACAAAATTAAATGTTTATGTTAGCTCATTGTTGGTTGATTAATTCATAACAAAGTCTGAAGCTGGATTATTCAAAAGTCATAAACTGATCATTTGATTAGAACAAAGATTCCATATCATGATTTTAATATAATATCAATTTTAATTTCATTAATGAATCGCTTCTCTCACTTTCTCTTGTGCATGACAGGAGCGTTGTTGGCTGCCAATTTTCTGGTGACATACCAAAAGAACTCAGCCAACTCCCAAAGCTGCGGTTCCTGTAAAGATCTCAATGACTTGGAAAATATTGTTAATGATCTCATATACCTGCGTCATTTTTTTTATGTTAATAAGAAGTTGTGACGGTAAAAAGTTGTGACGGTAAATGAAGACAGTAGTTTAGACTTAGTTGAAATTTCAATTTGAAAACCCTTCTTTTTTCACATTGACTTATTTGTTAGCTCGAAACCATTTCCATTTCATTCCAGGTAAAACAGAAAATAGTTTTTATCTGTTTTGGGGGATATAACAAACAAAAGGAAATGCTAACTGAGTATCAACTTTGTATTATTTCTTATAGTATCATGGTATAAGAGTTGATGGATTGTATTGCTGCAGGTCCTTGAACAACAACAGGTTTACTGGAAGTATACCTCCATCAATTGGCAACCTTTCAAATATGTACTGGCTTGACTTGGGTGAAAATCGTCTGACTGGATCACTTCCAGTATCTGATGGAACCAATACTGGATTGGACAATTTGACAAACGCTCTGCATTTGTGAGTACCTTTCTTAAAATATCTACCAGGCTTTCAGTTCACTCGCTTCCATTCTAAGGAAAATGTTCGGACTGCTCTTTATTCAGTCATTTTGGGGTCAACCAGCTATCAGGCACCATACCAAGCCAGCTATTCAAATCAAATATGAAGCTCATACATCTGTAAGGCAAAGATAACCTTAGATAATATTTGCAAACTGTTTCATTACTTTTAATCTGTTATGTCATGCTCAAGATTACCCATTGTTCTTGTCATTCAGGTTGCTTGATAACAACAATTTCACTGGCGGCATTCCTCCCACATTGACCCTTTTAACTAAACTTGAAGTCCTGTAAGTGCATACTTTTTCTGAGCAGGCTTATAACCAGCTTTCTTCTAACTGAGTGACCATTCAGTATATAATCCATACAACTCAATATGCACAGGCGTCTCGACAGAAATTACCAACTGACTGGACCTGTTCCTGCCAGCATCAATAGCCTCACAAAACTACAAGAATTGTAATTTTCTGGTTACTCTGAATCTCTGATCAGTATTTGAATGTGCTAGCCTTCAATTCTAACAAATAACCAACCTTATTCTTTGTCAGGCATCTAGAAAACAATAAATTGACAGGCCCTCTGCCAGACTTGACAGGAATGGATTCACTATATGTTGTGTAAGTGCCGAACACACTGTGGTACACTCTACTGAAATTTTATCATAGGAAACCCTTGTATCTGGCATATTGAACTTTTGGTTCATTTGGCCAGTAAGTACAACTAATCTGACAACACATTTGCAGCTCCATGGGCAACAACAACTTCAGTTCATCCAATGTTCCAACCTGGTTCACAGCTTTGTCAGCCTTGACTTCACTGTAATTCTTCTCTGCACACTTTTTGTAGAACACAAGGATGCAATTTTTTTTACACTCGCTTTCAAATCTCGGTAAATGCACAGGAACCTTGAGAACCTACACATCACTGGGGAGCTTCCGCAGCCTCTTTTCAAACTCCCGGCTATCCAGACACTGTGAGTGGAATTAGTGTTATCTTTGCTCATAATATGTGGTTACAAGAACTATGCACTCAATGAACAAAAAAAAAAGAGTAAAGGAAATTGAACATGTCAGTGCTAACTAGCAAGGTAAACTGGTGGTGGCAGGGGTCTTAAGGGCAATAATTTCAACGGCACACTAACCATCGGATCAGACTACAGCAGCACGCTCTCACTGATTGATTTGCAGGACAACCAGATCACCACTCTCGCCGTGAGCGGGGCTCAGTACAACAAGAAACTCATGTAAGATCCATCAAATATACCAAGAGAAATTTTACGGTCCTTTAAAAAGAACTTCGAGGTACCTAAATTTACACTAAAGATTTTGGAACCTCGAGTTACCTAGTACCTGGAGGTATCAAGTTTTACACCAGAAAATGTGATACCTCCTGGTACCTTCTCAAGGATGATAAAATTACCCAATATACCAATTCTTCAGTATGTAGGCGCTCTTATATATGCTTTCATTCACACTCCCATGTTTCTCTTCTCATCACAGACTTGTTGGGAACCCAATCTGTGTTCAGGGGAACAATGAGGCACTGTACTGCAAAAGCTCACAGCAAGCGAACCCTGCAGCAAAGCCTTACTCTACTCAATCCATTTGTCCTGGATTACCACCCACATGCCTGTCGGACCAGTATCTCAGCCCCAACTGCACCTGCGCGGTGCCATACATGGGTACTCTGCACTTCCGGTCACCACCGTTCTTCGACCTAAGCAACGATACATTCTTTGTACTCCTCGAGGAAAACATGAAAGAAGCGTTCCTGGGCAAGCAGCTTCCTGTTGAGTCCATTGCTCTGGATAACCCGGCATTCGGTCCTAGCAACAACTTGGATATAAACTTGAGAGTGTTCCCAAGCGGAAAGATTCGGTTCGGCAAAGAAGATATCTCCTACATTGGGTTCATGCTCAACAACCAGACCTACAAGCCTCATGCTCCTGGTATAAATTATGGGCCATACTATTTCATTGGGCAATCCTACCCATTCGCTGAGAGTAAGTCAACTGTTCGAAAATCTCAACTACTGTAGAATTAATCCACTACCGAATTCCTTTTTTTTTTTTGTTGAAGAATTGGCACTACTGATTTCTAGACTTCTTCATGATTACACAGCACTATCAGCACCCAGACAGACGAAAAAGAACCAGTCCCTCATCATTGGTGTGTCAGCTGGTGGAGCTTTTGTTGTTGTGTCACTGCTTGTTCTTTTTACAGTTCTGTTTTTCAGGAGGAACAAAAGGCCAAAGCTGCAGCCACAACCCAGGAGCCCATCTTACGGTAAGAAGCATTGGATAAAAAAAAAATCATGTTTTTTGTCCATTTGAGTTGACCAACACATGAGCTGGCAAATAAAATTACTTAAATGGCTGTAGCTTCATGGGACATCAAGAGCACCAGCATCAGCACCCCGCATCTCCAAGGCGCGCGGGTGTTCACATTCGATGAGCTGAAGAAAATCACAAACAGCTTCTCCGATGCTAATGACATTGGAACTGGTGGCTATGGGAAGGTAATATATAGTATATTTGTTGAAACGGGTATGTGACTATCTTTAGTGCCTGACATCCAAAGCGATAATGCTGATCAATTGCAGGTCTACAGAGGAGTACTCCCAAATGGGCATCTAATTGCAGTCAAAAGATCCGAGCAAGGGTCCTTGCAAGGCAACCTAGAATTCCGGACTGAGATAGAGCTCCTATCCAGGGTTCATCACAAGAACCTTGTCAGCCTTGTGGGATTTTGCTTTGACCAGGGTGAGCAAATGCTGGTCTATGAGTATGTGCCCAATGGCACACTCAAGGACAGCCTCACAGGTGTGTCCATATGTTCAGTTATGCATGACTGAATCTGCAATTCTCCTTTGTGAAAATAAACATATTCTGCTCACATCTTTTTCAGGGAAGTCTGGGGTGCGCCTAGATTGGAAGAGACGGCTGCGAGTAGTACTTGGTGCAGCGAAAGGCATCGCGTACCTGCATGAGCTTGCAGACCCTCCGATAGTACACAGGGATATAAAGTCAAGTAACATTCTTCTTGATGGAAACCTCCACACAAAGGTTTCCGACTTTGGTCTCTCCAAGCCTCTGAACCAGGATGGAAGGGGTCAGGTCACAACTCAAGTGAAAGGAACCATGGTGAGTTTCACAGCTCTCTTAACTGCAATACTGCAACGATTAAGCACATTGGATACTGTTTCCTGGTTATTTTTCATCAACTCTGTAAGATGAGTATACAGAGCTGTTTAAAGATTATAAAATACTTGTCATGTAGGGATATTTGGACCCTGAATACTACATGACCCAGCAGTTGACCGAGAAGAGCGATGTCTACAGCTTCGGTGTGCTACTACTTGAAGTGATAACGGCGAGAAAGCCATTAGAGAGGGGAAGGTACATCGTGCGTGAGGTGAAAGGTGCAATGGATAGGACCAAGGACCTATACGGCCTCCATGAGCTCCTAGACCCAATGCTAGCACCCACGTCGCTGGCCGGCTTCGAACTGTATGTCGACTTGGCTTTGAAGTGCGTGGAGGAGGCAGGAATGGACCGCCCATCAATGAGTGAGGTGGTGGCGGAGATTGAGAAGATCATGAAGATGGCAGGCGTAAACCCAAAGGTCGACTCGGCATCAAACTCGATGAGCTACAACAGCAGGACACCGCGTCATCCATACAGTGGAGAGTCTCAATTTGATTACAGTGGTGGCATCCCATCTTCGTCCAGGGTTGAACCAAAATGATCAGTTCGGTCGGCCCACAATGATCTCCATGTAAATAACTTGGCGCTTGTTTGTTTGTGTACAGTTCATCAAGGTTCTGAACTGCTTCGTACAGTGACTTTCTTCTGGAATTTCTGTATGATTAATTAGCTAACAATCTGGGTGTGTAAGTTGTTGTGCTAGAAATCTCCTGTTGGTAATGCCTTTTATATACGACACTTTTTTAGTGTTATCTGTCATATATATGTTTAACGATTCTATGGCGCAAAGGGGATTTGGGGAATTTGCTTCTCCAGTATTATAACCAAATAACCAAAGAACCAAAATTTTTCCCAAATGCAACAGGCTGACACTGAGAAGATGAGCAATTCATCATCATTTTCCTTTCCAATCGACCAACGGTGTAATCTAGACTGCGCCCCACAACCACAACATTGGTTCTGATTTCACCGATTCCAGAACTAATCAAACCTCATAAACCAAAATACAGTAAGTAGCTAAACTAGTACTGATAGTGGGGATAAACCGATCGCGCGACAAAACGGGTCGAGATCTCCGTAATCTAGTAATAAATCGATCGCGCAAGTAGATTCAGATTGGGGGTTAGTGACCATGGCGGGAGGACGTAGGGGGCTTACTTGGGATCTGAGATGGTGCGGCGCGCCTCCTCGTCGACCGAGGCGGCGCGCGCCGGAGAGGGAGGCCCGCGACGGTGGGGGCTGGACGGAGGCAGACAGCGGGCGGCGCCGCGGGATGGAAGTGGAAACGTGGCTTAGATCTAAGGCTGTATTTTTCTGTTCCTAACGTTCCTGCTAATTTTTTCACGCGCGTTTTCTAAATTATTAAATAGTATTATATTTTTATAAAAAATTATAGTATAAAATTTGTTTTAAAAATTCGTACTAATTTTTTAAAACTTTTTTTTCTAGTAAGTACTCCCTCCGTCCCAAAATATAATACTTCATCCATCTACTTTTGACAGTCATATTTCATCTTGGCACACAGACAAAGGATAATCAATTCTACTTATCATCTATTTAAGCATACTACTAGTCATTCCTCGTAAACAAGCGATTCATTAATATTTACATTTATCGATGCCCATATAGCCAATCTTGTGTGGAAGAATAGAGAGTCACGTGTTAAATATGAGAAAGTCATTAAGATGATAGGGTGCTAGATTGAAATATGCCTATCAAAAATAAATTTTTTAGATTAGGAAATATGCATATCAAAAGTAAATGTAGGGAGTAACTTCTAGCCTCTAGAATTTGTATAAAAATATAACAACTTTTACACCAACATCAAGATCCTCTATTATTTAATTTTCCCACATACCATCATTTCTCATCCAATCACAACCCTCTTCTATCTAATTCTACATAATTTCTTAATAACCACGTCCAACTTTAAAAATACTTACATTCTGGGACGGATAGAGTAGTTAATTATGCATTAATTCATCCTATCGTTTTGAATATCCAACTAATACCTCCCAGCACATCATAAATTCTAAGGGGGTGTTTAGATGAAGGGGTATAAAATTTTGGCGTGTCACATCAGGTATTATATAGGGTATCGCATGGTGTGTTCGGGCACTAATAAAAAACTAATTACATAATTAGTTTACTATACCACCATATTGTTAAGCCTAATTAATCTATCATTAGTAAATGTTTAATGTACCACCATATTATCAAATCATGGAGCAAATAGGTTTAAAAGATTCGTCTCGCAAATTAGTCACAATATGTGCAATTAGTTATTTTTTAGCCTATATTTAATATTTCATATAGGTGTTCAAACATTCGATGTAACAAGGGTGAAAATTTTAGGGTGGGATCTGAACAGAGCCTAAGTGTAGCTTAGAGCATGATGGTGACAATTGTTTCCATAAATTCTAATACCAAAATAGCAAAATCTCATATCAAATTCTCTAAAGAGTATTTATGATTTAAAATCACGTTACTATCTAATGGATGGATCAAAACTTTGACTCTGTAAAATAAAAATATAGGCCACCCTAAATTAACAATAAAATAAATAACTTTATCTAATGAGTTAGTTTCAATAGTTTGAAGGAAAAAGTACACCCAAGGTCCCTCAACTTGTCATCGAGATACAAAATCATCCTCAAACCGCAAAACCAGATATCCCACGTCCCTTAATTAATCAAAACCAGTCACAAGAGGTCCCTCTTAATCCCGGTTTGGTCCTACGTGGCTGCCGAGTCCAGCGTGGGACCCATGTGGGGCCCACGTGTCATGGTAATCCACGTCATCACCCTTCCTTTTTCTCCTCTTCTCTCTTTCAGGGAGAGGCAAAGCGGCGGCCGGCGGGTGCAGGGCCAGAGGCCAGCAGGAGAGAGGAGGGCGACGGCGGCCGGCGCCCAGCGGCGGCAGCTGGCGGGAAACACGGCGACGCGGCGGCCCCGACGGCGATGTCATCGACTGCGTGCCGACGCACCTGCAGCCATCCGGTTCGGGATGAAGCAGCCACGCGTCGCCGGCGTCGTCCGCCGCGACTCCACCAATGACGACCGCGACTCCACCTGCTCGTGCATGCCGAGGCGGCCTCTGTGCCGACGCTCCTCCTGTGCGTGTTCGGCTGCCCCTGGCGAGCGACGTTAGACTCTGCTTCGCGGCGGCCGCGCCGGAGGCCGTGGACGTGCCGCGGCTGGTGCTCCACTTCGACAGCGCTGGGTCATGGAGTAGCAGAGCTTGAGCACGGGGGCAGTGCCGCAGAACTCAGGGATTACGTCGCAGCTGAACCCGAACCTGAGATCCACGCACCCCTTCAGCTCCTCCAGGTCGTCGTCGACTCGTCGGTCAGGCTCCGCGCGTGCCGCCGCCGCCGCCATCGCTCCCGCTCCTCGCCGTACATGCGCCGCCGCCGAAGACGACGACGCCGCAGGGCTTCTCCTTGGCGACCACCACCGGCTTCGTCCGCCGTGGCCACGCCGCCTCCAACTGTACCCCGCACCACACGTCCTCGGCCTCGACCTAGGCCACCGCTGCCGCTCCGCCCGTGGCCTGCTGCCGTCGCCGCCGCGGTGCTCCGCCCGCCCTTTCGTGGCTCCAACACATCCCGTCTCTCCCGCCTCCCCTTCTCGAGCTCCATAGTCCCCACAGATCTCAGCGGCGAGCTGTGCCCGGCGGCGAGAGGACCATCGCCGCGGCCGTGCAAATCCGGCAGCTGAGCGGCGTGATCCATACGGCGGCGGCGGAGGAGGAGGAGACCGGGAGATTGGCCGCCGCACGCCGCTCCTCTCCCGCGAGCCGCCGCGCGCTGCTCCTCTTCCACAGGCCGCCGCACACCGCTGCCTCCTCGCCGGTGAAGACTCGGAGGTAATAGAGGTAGAGAGGGGAGAGGTGGACGCCGCCGCCTTGCCGCTCCTACTCGCCCGCCGCCATCCTCGCCACGCCGTTTCCCATCCACCACGCCACGCCGCTTTCCCATCCGCCACCCCACTGCGCGGCGCCGCCCCTCCGCTGGCCGCTGCCTGTCTCCTCCTCCCCGTGCCTCCGCCGCCGCCCAACTCCAAGGCCTCCCCCACTGGCGTCGCGGCCCTCGCACGGTCGCCGAGGAGCTCGGCCGGGCTGCCGCGGCCGCCGGCCGCCGTCGCGGCGCCGCCCTTCTCTCCCGCCTCGGCCCGCCGACCGGCCTCAGGCTGTCAGGCACAGAGAGCGAGAGGAGTAACCGAGGAAGAGGGGGAGAGTGACTCAGCCTGATAAGTCGGGCCCACGTGGATCCCATGCTGACTCAGCTGCCACGTAGGATAAAACCGGAATCGGATCCACCGAAGGACTGACCGGTTTTAATTAGTTAAGGGGCGCCGGATATCTGGTTTTGCAGTTTGCGGATGATTTTGTAACTCGATGATAAGTTGAGGGACCTTCGGTGTACTTTTTCCTTGTTTGAAAGGGCCACCGAAACTGGGCCTCGACTAGGCCCAATTGCCTCGGAATTTGACCAGCCCAATACCGAAGTGTTACCAGTACACACCACCCTCTTCACTTCGCCGCCGCCACCGCTGGCGACGGCGACCGCGAGCCTCCGCTATCCGACCTTACCTCGCCGCTGCCGCTGCCGCCGGCTGGGAGAGTGAGGGGCGGACGCGCGGAGGACGGTGCAGGCGCTTCGGTTACGGTCGGCCGAGGACCTGCAGCGAGTTCGGTTCGATCCGTGAGTTCTCCAGCTCGTCCTCTTCCGCGACTAGAAAAAAAACTGTGTTATGCATTCTGATACAACGAGTCTGTGAGTTATGTGATGTTTGTTTTGAATCGATTGCAATTGCCTGTCCCTAGCTCTACTAGAAATTTACTGAAAATGTTAATTGGTTGTGCACTTGTGTGTGATGCATTAGGTTAAATTTAGTGGAATCGTCTTAGATCGATCAGGTTGGTGGCCACATTAGGATGGATGGAACTCAATGGCAATCGCCAATTTGGCATGTCTGTTCAGTTGATTGTTGCATATTATTATTATTGATGCAGTAACGGAGCTCTGAAGCTTGAGGATATACACTGTGGGAGCTAGGGTGATAGGAACACACTCAATTTAGTATCTCTGTTGTTAGAATAGAAGTGGTAAAATCTGTGACATGTTACGAATGATTTTAGGAAGAATGATGGTCTTCCTCCCATGATTCATGCCGAGACTAGCCGGACCATGAAGCTGTCTTTTGTTTAGTAAAAGTCTAGAATTAAGAACTGCAAAAGGTTACACTTGAGGATTTCTTTTTTTTCGCGGCGCTATCTGGGTTGGAATATTCTCAAATGCAAATTTTTGTGATGGAGAACTGGTGAATCCTTGATTCCCCTTGTTTCTTTGATAACTTTTGTGCAAGCCAAAAGGAAGAGAGAGGAACACCTGAGAACAGTAGGTATGGGAGGCATTGGGAAAACACGGGAACATATTGTGATCCCTAATTTTAGAGGGAAATGATGGTCGAGGCTTTCCTCCATGTTCCCATGCCCAATGCTCTTAGATGCTCTTTTTCATCCTCTTCCCGACTCGCCTTCAAGACCTCATCATCTACACTATTGCCAAGCTGATTATGTGTGCCAAAGGGAAGAGGAAGGAGCACCTAAGGACAATAGGCATGGGAGGCATCGGGAAAACATCAAAACAAGTCGACCCCCCTAATTTAGAGGGGAAGAAGAGTTTGAACTTTCCTCCATGTTCCCATGCCCACTACTCTTAGGTACTCTTTTCTTCCTCTTCCTGACCCACTCTCTTTGCCTCGTCACTGAAGCCAACATATGAACATCTTTTGGCCTTGTCAACTAAAATATCTATATGAGCTGAAAGGAAGAGGAAGGAGCACCTAAGAACGATAGGAATGGGAGGCATCGGAAAATAGTGAGACAAATATATCCACCTCCAATTCTAGAAGTGAAAACTGATATCTCATTTTTCCACCATGTTCCCACTCCCACTGCTCTTAGATTACCTCTTTCTTCCTCTTCCTGGCTCATCCCAAACACCTAAGGCTCCAAATATTTCAGGCTTAGAACATGAACTGTTGATGATGCCTGTGGTGTTGAAGTATATATATAGACATAGGTGAAGCACCTAAACTGTATACTGTACAGGAGGCAATGAGTATGCACACATCATAATGAACCATAACACACAACAGTCAGTGACAGTGGGCCATAGATCATCTACTTTTAATGTAGACCTCATGCAATGGAGACACCAGTACATCTTCTGCCTACTCTCATATAAAACAGCTGACACAATAGTCCTTGGTTTTGAGCCTTGCAAGGTTAGTCATTAAATCTGAGCCATGCATTTACATAAGGAAGAAAGGAACCTATGCCATGAATTCATTCTGATTACTTTGAGAATGATAGTTGGGTGGAGGAAGAAATAATAGTGCTCGCAGTGGAGGATCACTGGAACCAAGCATAATTTTCTCACAATTAAAGATGATCTGCCCCAACATATAATGCTAGCCATTTTTTTAGACCATAGATCGAACCAGCTCTTTTAGAAAGCCAAGATAACAAGGTCTTTACAGGAAAGTAAAAACAGAAAATTAAAAAGAAGCAACAGATTTCAACGTTGGGGATGAACCAGTTTACACTTTCAGCATACCATCTACCTCTAAACAGGAAACTTAGCCCCTACCTACACTCCAGGGAACAAAGACTAGAAACAAAATGCAGCAAAGCAAAGAAAACTAGTTCAAATCGCCAGAGGTAGAACATCTGTGGGTCTCAGTTCCTGCATCCTGTCCATCACTTTTTCAATCCATTTCCCCGTCTTCTGTGTCTTCTTCCTTCAGAAATATCTTCCATTTCTGCAGCAGAACAATCATTCTAACCGAGATTTCACAAGAATGTTTTCATGCACTGTCATTTCTCCCACTCAACTGAGCCCAAGAAATAGCTGCCAACATCACCAGATACAAATTCAAATTCTTTGCATTCAACTTCTCAACATTGGCCAAATGCCATAAATTTTCAAACTCCCAGGGCACCTCTGCAAACCCCACAAGTTTCTGATCATACTCCAAGCAAAGACTGCATTCTAGGGGACAGTCAAACAAAATATACAATGCTAGCCATTTGGCCAACGAATATTACAATTTTCGCATAAGCAGAGACGCATCATGTAAGTGTAAGCTTCATTGGCTGATGGGTCTAAACTCTGAATACAGAGCATGGAACAAAACTAAAAAAGATCATACATTTGGTTTTACTGAAGGAGAAACTGCCATGAACTTTTGGTTGCAATCCCTTGAAGACCGGAAATCTGCAACATTAGTTTTATGTAATATATCCACTGAGAATCTAACATTTTCAGGACAGGCTTGATTCCTGTCGACCTGGAAGACTGAGAAATTTTGAGAAACAGTGTGGTTATTTAGCTCAGTTTCTGCTTAACCCTGTATAAAACAGATGATAAAAGTATTTTGAGTCTAAGGAAAAAGTAATAGAAGCAACTGGTTCCATTACCATCTGGATCATTTGAGGCGATTATATTTTAGAGAGCTGTGGATAGGTATTGTCACTATTCTTGTGCTGCTTTTTTGCTACATTTGCATTTCTCTTCTTTTCTGTCCACTCTAGTGGCCACGCATCAGTGCCAACTCAATTTGTCTTGTTCATAACATGCTGGGTTTTGATTTTTCTAATTTATATAATATCAACGAAAGAACTAACCTGATTGAACTATATTTTTTAAGTCTCTAGTGCTAACTACATGTCTCCAGCTTTAAAGTTGTGTGCATAGTGCATAGTTATTTTTTCAGTTTGTTCCAACTCTTATTTAGAGCAGCGCTGTATCAACCTTCTTGTTGCAAGGTCCTTTTTTTTTTTCCATTCCATGGAAAATCTTCGCATGTTATTCATTCAGACGGTTCCAACTTCCAAGTTACTGGCATAGCTTTTCAGTAATCCTAAATGCGCATTCATCCATGAGTTTGTAACAGAGTTCACTCTTCACACTGGCACACTGCAGTTGTATTAAGTGTGCAGTTTGTACTTTCTGCAGCTTTCAGAAATAGCCCGACATGAAATCTTCATCTAAGACACCAGAAGGTGTTAACTAGCAAAAGCATGCCTCTTTTTCTTTATAAAAGAACACTATATATTTCAGTAGCATTTGGATACTGACCAGGTCACTAAAGTTTTATAAATCACATTACTTTCTTACTGCGATGGGACTTAAGCATTCATTTCCTTACTAGGTAAAATCCACCAACTTTAGAGGAAAAAACAGTATGAAAATGCTGAACCAAGATTCAGAGACCATCTCTACATATGCATGATTTATGTATGGCTAGAAAAATAAAAAGACTCCAAGTCTTACCTTTTCTCACTCAACTAAGAAATGTGTGCAAGCCAACAGGAAGGGGAAGGAGTACCTAAGAACTGTAGGCATGGGAGGCATTGGGAAAAATGCTTAGCAAATCTCAACCTCTAAATTTAGAGGGAAGAAAAGTACATGTTCTTCCTCCATGTTCCCATGCCCACTGCTCTTAGACCCTCTTTTCTTCCTCTTCCCGACTCACTCTCAAGTGCTAAACCCTCATCATTTAGACATATGAATATGATTTGATATTTTTCACTCCCTCCACTAAAATATTGTGCGAACCAAAAGGAAGAGGAAGGAGCATCTGAGAACAATAGGCATGGGAGGAATCAGGAAAACCCAAATCTCAGCCCCTAGTTCTAGAGGCAGAAAAGAGCTTGGGCATTCCTCCATGTCCCATGCCCACTGCTCTCAGACCCTCTTTTCTTCCTCTTCCTGATTCGCTTCCAACACATCATTATCTAAACCTATGCATTGGTACTTCTGTTTCTCTCCCCTTAAAATAATAGCATGAGCTTAAAGGAAGAGGAAGGAGTACCTAAGATCGGTAGGAATAGGAGGCATCGGGAAAACGCAGAGCAAATTTCTAACTCCGATACTGGAGTAGAAAATTTAGCTTCAGGCTTTCCTCCATGTTCCTATTCCCATCGCTCTTAGAGGCTCTCTTTCTTCCTCTTCCCTGCTCACTCTCAAGCCAAAGAACATCACAACTATAACAACAAGACTCAAAGCTGTTGAAAAATGGCTGGAGTATTCTGTGGTATATATAAGCCTCTAGTGAAGTGCTCTAGACTGCACAGAAGCCCTGGATCAATGAACAAACCTAGTTCATGGTGCACCATAGCACTCAGAAGTCAATGACAGTGGGCCATCTGCATAAAAGGTCATCTGTGCATATATAGGCCTGCTAGACTGTAATCTTTGACCTTGCATTTACTGAAAGTGAAAGAAAGGGATCCATGCATTCACTCCCATTCTTATTAAGAACAAGAGAAGGGTAGGTGCAGGAAAAGTTGGTACCACCTCACATATGTCATGGACCTAATTCTCTGGTTCTTGTTTATAGAGATGCTACAAACTTCCCTAGGCAGTCAACAAATGAATATCAAGTGTTAATGACTTGAAAGTTTAACTTGAGTAGTCACAAAGCAATAGAAGAAATTAATACTGCTATATGATCCTACAGAACATATAATGTATGAAAGCGTGTATTATGTATTTTTACCCTACGGAGCAAGAGGTCTGAGGTCCAACAAATTTTGTGTACCTGTGTTCACTAACAACAGGAAAACAATATGGCACAAATATGATTTTTCAAATTGAGAGAACATCAGGAGACAATTAACATAATATATTCCTAGTAAAAATACACTTTGGCATTGGCATTTTCTCATCATGTGTGTCATGTTGATTCGGCATGATGTTGTATTTAGTACATCTACTAAAGTGTCCAGTATTTCCAGGACATGCTTAATTCGAAATAAACAGGACAAATCAGGAATCTTGAAGCGCATCAGGTAGCTTAGCTTGGTCTGAACTTCACCAGAATGTAGAAGAGATTATGCAGGATTGCAAATATCTTGTACCTAAGGTGAGAATACAGCAATCGTTGTGCTCTTGTTGGAAATACAAAGAAAATTGAAGCTCCAAATATGTTCTTACTATAATCTTGCTAATCGTACTACCATTGCAAGAGTACCAATCAATCAGAGCACTACAAACATGTGGCCTTGGATTTCACATGCCATTTTCACTATGAATGGCATTTTTCGATTGACAATCTATTTGCGGTGGCACTGATCTCGGTTTGTCTTGGAAGAACTAGTGACAAAAATGTGCCAATACGTGTGTTACCAGCTAAAGTATCTTGTATCCAGTAAATATGTTGGCAGAAGAACTAGGATTAATTTTGAAGAGTGGCCTAATCTGAAACGTGCTCCATCTTGTGTTCATTTGTTGCCTGGTATGCATCTTGTCTATCCCGTGGAACTCAATGAGAGGATGATAGCAATCTAACTGGAGTGTAGAATGTTGGAAGCTCAAGGTATGATTTCTCACTGTTATATATACTTCATCTCTTGCTAATACATGAGACATTTGCTTGCTGCGCCATGGCCTATGTAATCTTACTAGGAGTAGGTAGGAGCAATTACTATTGACTTGTTATAAATGGCCTCAGGTGTTCATGATACAAGTAATGTCCATTGTTTTCTCCAAGTATTATTCTTCACAAGAGTGCTCTAAACCAACCATCTGTCTAGATTATGGAATAGGCACACTATAACATGAAATCAGTACATGCATTTACATGTTGTCAACAAAAATGTGTTGTTTAATTTGGTAAGATTGTCATATATCATTTAAGCATCCCATGATTATGCATCTTATGGATTTATTCGTGAACAATCAAAAGTTAAATTTTATGTCATTGTTTCTGTAGATTGGCACTAAACTAGGGTATGCCATCATTTGAACTTGGGGGTCAGACATGCAAAAGGTAAGCAAAACATGCTGAACTAAATGAAAGTTGGATTCTGGTACCGCTTGGACAACCAAACCGCACAGTCCTACCAAATTTTTGTGAGACCAAAGGAAGAGGAAGTAGCACTTAAGAACAATAGGAATGGGAGGCACTTTTCCTTCATGTTCCCATTTCTACAGCTCTTATATAAACCTTCTTTCTCCCTCTTCCCAATCTCACTCTCAAGGTCCAGCCCATCACTCGAAATGCGGACATCTTTTCCTACTAGACAAATGTGCGAGACGAGAAGGAAGGGGAAGGAGCACCCAAGAACAATAGGAATGCGAGGCATCAGAAAAAAAAAAAGCCGAACGTCGAAGAAATTTAGAGCTCATGCTTTCCACCATGTTCCTATTCCCCCTTCTCTTGATTTCTTGAACCCTCTCATTCTTTCCCTTCCCTAGCTCACCCTCCCTGCTGCCAAGTGCTGTGCAGAACTCGGAAAATAAGCTATGTGAGTGATGAGCAATGAGCACTCCTACTGCACGGTGTACCATACTTCCAGTCCATAGGACATATCAGTGATGGCAGTGGGACTATATGGATTTTGTGTTGTAAATGTAGATGAACACATTTTTGGCTGTAGGGAGGTGGTCTTCTACTCTTGCATATCAACATACATGAAAAGCTGACTGTAGGCTAGTCCTGACTCCTGACCCTGAGCTTTGCATCTACAACCCAAAGAAAAATAAATTAAAGGAACATGGAGCTAGACACATCCTTGTTGGATCTCAAGCGACTCATGCAAAACAAAAGAGAAAAATAATATGAACAAAGAATACTCCTATCCTTGTAATTGAAATTGTCGTAAAACTGGTTCTGTTTGTTCTAAAGAAAAACTGGTTTCGTTTCAACACGGCCCCTGTTATTCTAAAGCATTCCATGTACAAAGTCTGTGCAGAATTAAGAGGGGAACAAAATTAGACCAACAAATGAAAACACCATTTGGACTTTACAACTTCAGAGAGGTGATGGATTTGGACTTGAATAACTTTGTTCACTTAAATTGTCTAATTAATTTGTACAGATCTTATGATCATCAATCCAATGGGCATGACAAGCATGCCACTGAACCTGTTTCCTATACCTCGACATGACATCATACAAAATATTCAGATTATACTTGCTAATTGCTACACAGGACAAACCACTTTTAACATGCTTTGGAGGCAAGGCAAGTCGGCCTTCAGTGTGGTTGGTAATAAACTGATAGCAAAATGGTGCGAATTACTTGTAGTTGCCTAATTGTTTTTGAAAAGAGAAGTTGCCTAATTGTGGCAGTATCAATTTACATTGACATTGTGGTAAGATTCCCACTAGGCCACAATGTTTTTTTTAGAGGAAAAAAGAACTTCATTACTTGACCAAAACAGCTATATCGCTGTTCACCAGGTTACAAACAAACTCAGGAAACTGTCCTGACCAAACTACAGGAGTAGAGGAACCAAAGGCAGCACCTTTTGCTAGTTCATGCGCAACACTATTACAAGCTCTACGACAATACACAACCTTTATCACATCAAACTGCAAAGAGAATAAATTCCTAACTTCACGAATCACAGCAGCGTTCCCACTAGGCCACCATGGTTGAAGTGGCGTAAAATAATGATGTTGAGTTACTACTCCACTTCAGATTTTCATGGTTAAAGTGACGTTAGTAAGTAATAATATACAGAAACATTAGCAGTTCAAATGGCTTCCAATTTGGTGAGCCATGTCAAAAGTTTGTGCCTTGTGCTATTTTATTCGCAGAATTTTTTTTTAGCAATCTGTGTTGGCAGTTTTGCAGAATTTCATATTCTTCAATTACCTTATGCTATATGGATCATTTGTGCATGAGAAAACGATTGCTCTTTACCATGTTGCACAATGCAGAGCGTAGGAAGTAAATTCGAAGTTATGACGGAGATGAAATGGATTCTTTATATGCAGTGTGCAAGTTCCGATTACCAACAACTACGTGTCTGGTCTCTCCAAAATTTATAACACTAGCAAAAAAAAGAAAAAATCCAAGTCCAAAGGGTAGGCACCTCCAGTCCCCCCCCCCCCCCCCCACACACACACATTGTGCAAGCTAGAAAGGAAGTGGAAGGAGCATATAACAACAATAGGTATGGGAAGCATTGGGAGAACACCATAAACATTATCTTCACCCCACAATTCTAGTGTAGAATAATACAATGTAGGCTTTCCTCAATGTTCCTGGCTCGCTACAAAATTACCAAACTCTCCACATACAAATCAGTACACAAAATATGTTCTGTTTTTCTTTGCGAGACCGTGCAAGCCAAAGGGAATATGAAGGAGAACCTTACAACCATAGGAGTGAGAGGCATCAGGAAAACATGAGCGAGTTGGGAACTCCACCTCCCCGCACGGAAAACAGGACGGTTCATTAAAGCATGATTAATTAAGTATTAGTTTTTTTTTGAAAATAGATCAATATAATTTTTAAAGTAACTTTTGTATAGAAATTTTTTATGAAAAACGTACCATTTAACCGTTTAAAAAGCGTACACGCGAGGGAGGAGAGTTGGGAACTCTAAGAAAAGAACACAGCTAAGTGCTTGAGGGGACATCATTAGCACTTTGGCTTTCCTTCGTATTCTCATTCCTACGATTCTTTGGACGATATAGACATAGCGGCCAGTGATAGTGGGGCTGTGGTGAAATGCACTTATTAATTTGGAGTGAATGCGAATGCAAAATACATCAGAAGTTCTTTCTCTAGGTTCTGCAACTGAGGTAACCCCTCTATTACTCTATATGTAAAATTGAGGAATTGCGCACCCAATAAATTTAGCTTTTTGGTGATTTTGTATTTATACACGTATATTTCTTTATATGCTTATTTATGTTTTTGTCTATATAATTCTATATGGAACCTAACAAATAGTGCGTGACAGACAAGCTGTAGCTCAGAAAAGAATGGCATTATGCTCGCCAACGAAGTCCATTTTATGGTAGTCCTAAACCAAAAAGGTAAATTTGCTTTCATATTGTAAGCCTCAATCCCAAGGAGTGGTTGATCCAAATTAATCAAATTTTTACATTTGAATTCATGTAATTGCGAGACAGTATGAACAAATTACCGGACGACGTGGATCCATTTTATTAATTGTATACACTCGGTGAAACTATCATTTTAAAGGAAAAAAAAGGATCATGAACTAGAACGTGAAAACACATTAACGTTTTCTTTCCCTTTTTTCATGATGTGTAAGCATCCTAGTAGTGCTTTTTTTTTTCTCCCTTCCCTTGTTGTACTGTGTATGCGTCGATTCATTCAGTACATACATGTTGGCTTTTAGGTCTTCAGCTATGTATCAAGTAATTCGAATGCAGCAAGAACAAGCAAATGATGACAGAATCCCGAAGAACACATCCTGTCACCTCTGCAAAGTTCAAGAGAGGCATGTACTCTGTATATAGGTGTTGACATTTCATTTCTAATTGAGGAGCCCTTTGAAACAGAGAGTTTGAAAGGATTGATTCTTACCAATTATTTTGAAATTTCTATAAAACTAGCCTATGATGTTGCGTATTTACGCGACTCTAGGCCTCCTATTATGTGGTATGTGGGAGTGGCTCTCGGTTTTTATGGGTTTCTCGTTGCTCTAAAAAGACATAGGTGAGGATGACTAATATTATGATAATACAATTAAAAAGCTTAATATTTGTTACAATTTTTTATAAGTTTTTTTTTGTCGGCACGTGCTCTTTATAGCCTATATACAAATATTTGTAAGGTTTTAAGGAATGAGTTTGATTTAATTTTGAATTCATATGAAAAGCATTAAACTTATGTTCGGGTGACCATGACTGTGCATGCAACTATAGCAATTTTGTTGTCAAATATATTAAAATTAATTGTTAGAAATAAAATTAATCAAATGAATATACATTTTGTATAAGCTCTAAATAGCTCAATCTTGACCGGTGAATCTTTGGTTATGATGAGGGTTTATTTGTAAAATAGTTTTTACAATAGATGCAAACCCTAAATTATATACATAACCTTATACTTTCCTATGCTTATTCTTTAGCTTTTCCTTCTTTCTTTCTTTCTTTCATTTTCTAGTAGCTTCATCTCCGGAAACCTCTTGAGTTACTATGTTTACCATCCATCTAATCCAACTGCCAAGATTCACTTATCCTCTTTGTCTTATAGTGAATTCAACGGCTAATATTTATCGAATGATGTGGCTCATCCTCGTTTCATTTTGAGTTTCACTTTTCATTAGTTAAGATGTGCTATTTTAGATGAATTTAGGAAGAAAATAAACACCAGGTTTCACGTTATGTTTTCTTCACGTCCCTTGTGGTCCTATGTTTTTCTATCAATTAAACGTTAGTTTAAAACTTTCTTGTGTCTTGAAACCTTTTAAGTACCCCTTTGAAACGCATAATTGAGAAAAACATAGAAATAGGAAAAACGTAGCAATAGAATGACATACTTATTGGATTCCTAGGGGATTTTTAAACACAAGAAAGTCTCCAAACTATCGTTTGATTAGCACATAGGAAAAAAAACATAAATTTTTAGACGCATGAAGAGAAAAACATGAGGTCTCACCTCATATTTATTTTCCTTCAAAATTGCTCTAGTAAGGTTTATTTTATAGGAATTTCAAAGGAATTGGTGGAAACAATCCTTTATGTCAAAGGACTATAGGATTATTTCTCATAGGATAAAGTTGTCTAGAATTTCTTGGTTTTTCATTTGTTTCAAAGGGGGCCTAAGAATACAAACTGACAACCTCTGACCACTGGGACGCTAGATCTGGTGTCATGGAGGTTGCTTGGGAAGGGGTAGAAGAGATTGAGGAGTGGTGGAGGCGACGACACTGCAACTATGAATAGGTGACGACGGTGGTCACTCCAATCACAGAAGTTAGAACAGGTGGCGACAATACATCTGTTACGGATCATCTAATCCCCTGCAGCCATATTGAAATTTCGATAAGTTCATCTGTTATAGATCCAACGGTTTCTTTTTTATCTGTCGGAGATAAGTTCATCTAACACGTGTCTTTTATATATATGATAGATGATCCATCATAGATGTCTAGCTGGGGATTTAGCCACATACATACTCCTTTCATTCCTAGTACAATGGATCTAGCTAGAGTGAGTGATGTGACGTTTCATAGTACAATGAATATGGATATGAGTATGCTTTTTTATCCTATCTTATTTGTTTTTTATGTAATGGAGGGAGTAGGATGCAGCCTTTCTTCAAGAAAATTCAAAAGCACATTAATTAATTTATATACACACGGTAACAATTCTCACTCTCAAAGTTCATATTTATATATAGAGAGATGCTGAAACGCATGTCATGCAAGCGACGCATGTCACAAATAACACCTCCACACACGCAACACCACACTCTTCTACAAAATCGTATTTACTCACGTACGAAGACGACGACGACGGCGAGCTTGTAGCCACAGTGCCACATCGATCGATCGCCGGAATTAATTAATCCAGATGATCTCTCTCCTTCCTAACTAAACTCATGGCATCACCTCGCCGTCGTCGGCGGCGGCGGAGTGCATGGTGGCGAGGGCCATCTTCTTGAGCTTGGCGACGATCATGATGACGAGCTTGCTGTTGAGCCGGCTGACGAAGCACCGGGGCAGCCACCCGGCGGCGGGGTCGAGCTGCACGACGTAGGTGACGACGCAGCAGGGCGGGCCGTCGCCGCCGTCGCCGGCGTCGAGCTTCTCGACGACCCAGCCGGACTGGAGCAGCAGGCCGGCGCCGCGGGCGCCGGAGGAGGAGCCGGGGGGCAGGAGGCCCGCGGCGATCTCCTTGGGCAGCGACGCCACGGCGACCACCAGCGTGCCGTCGTCCATGGTCTGGCGGCGCTCGTAGACGACGACGTCGCGGCGGCGGAAGAGGCCGGCGGTGCGCTTGGAGGCGTCGGCGCCGAGCTTGAGGTGGACGATGCTCAGGTCGTCGCCCAGCTCCCTGATGTACCGGGCGTCCACCAGGTCCGACTCCCACTGCTGCAATATTATTGTTTTATTTGTTTATTTAATTAAGCAGTATTAATAAATATATATGGATATGTAAAAATTAATTAATTAAATAGATACCAGTACATCTGTTTTATATTATAAGCTGTTTTGACTGTTTTGTTAGTTAAATTTATTTAAGTTTAATTAAGTTTATTAAAATATATATAGTAACATTTTCAACACGAAATAAACATATTATTAAAATATATTCAACATATATTTAATAAAACTAGCTTACTGTTTTAGATGTTGCTAAAGGTTTTCTTTTATGAATTTTAAAGAAATGTTGACTTAAAAAGTCAAAACGACTTATACTATACGGAAGGAGTAATTGCAGTGTAATTCAATTGGATTATTGGACCCTCTTCAAGAGTATAACTATGCACCGAATATCAATTTATTTCTACCTTTTTTATATTATGAGACATTTTAATTTTTCTAAGTTAAACTTTCATGAGTTTTACCGTGTTTATCCAAAATTGTACCACATCTATAACATTAAATTAGTTTTATTAAATATAAAATTAATATATTTTTATACTATATTTGTTTTATATTTAAAATTTTATTATATTTTTCTATACCCCTAATTAAAGTTAAAAAAGTTTGATTTAGAAAAAAAATTTTAAGTGTCTTGTAATTTGAAACGTAGAAAGTAAAACTATAATTTCTTTATTTACTTATTAACTAGTGAAATTATACTTGAAAATTACTATATTTTATTAAATATAGTGTTAATATATTTTTATACTATATTTGTTTTATATTTAAAATTTTATTATATTTTTCTATACCCTTAATTAAAGTTAAAAAAGTTTGAGTTAGAAAAATTTTTTAAGTGTCTTGTAATTTGAAACGTAGAAAGTACAACTATAATTTCTTTATTTACTAATTAACTAGTGAAATTATACTTGAAAATTATTACGGTCAATGTTCAGATTAAAGCGGTCAATTCACACCTAATAAAGTGGTTATATGAGGGATGTGCTAGTCAAAAGATAAAGATGTTTGGAAGAGGACCATTGCTGCATGCAAAGATCTTAATTTTAGCCATTGGACTATCTGGCCTAGTAATTTTGGGCCCATAAATGGCCCATTTCACTAATTAATTCGCCAAGTACAATTAATTAGCTGCCGACCAGGCGAGAGCCATTCTAATTAATTAAGGTCACAAATTGTCTGATCGGGACCGATTTAATTCAGAATGGTATTAATTAATTTCCTGCTTAATTCAAATTAAGCTTGCCGATCAATACTCCAGATAGCTGGTTACGTACAAAGAAGTTTTCGATCTTCTATTTTTTCCTACTATTCCCCTGTTTTAAACCTTATCTTATTTTTCACTTGCACTTGCGTAGTTTTTACCACTGTTTTGCACTATCTAATTTTTAGAAATTTAATTGGTGTCCAGCTCGACGGAGATGACTACTAAAAGAAAACAAAATTGGTAATTTCACACATGCACATCGTCTTTTTCGTTTTGAATTAAAACAGGAAATTGCTGACAACAATCTGACAGGCTGCGTGCCTTTAATTAGCCGTTAAGACAATCATGTTCACGTTAATTAAGGTTTTGGCATGTGGGTACACGTGCCCTCACATGGCACCGTGTGCCCCTGCCTGACACTACTGCCAGCCCACGAGTTTAGAGCGTAATTAAATCAGCATACATGCGTGCATGCATCATCTAATTAATTGGAGTAATTGATTAATTACCACATCTCTCTGATTATGATACACACATGGCTCTAATTAATCATCCTCATATACCCATCTCTTTCTCTCTCGATCTGTCTAATTTTCCCCTTTTTTTTGCTGATCTCGAAGTGCCAAATGATTTGGCCTGTACTTGTGGGCTCGTAGATTCATGCATATGCCTGCCTCGTCTCACACATGTTACTGCAGTAGTTTCTTTTTTTTTCTGTCTTTAGTAGATTAATGTAGGTTGCTTCGTTGTTTTACATTTTTAAATTTGTCTTTTAAATATTACAATTTCTTTTAAAGTTTTTCTTCTCCATATTTGCTCTACCAAAATGCTACTCTCTCCCAATTAATATCAAGTGTAGTTCAAGGGCAATAAGATTATTTTACTTTTAACTCTAGAGCACAAGTAAAGAAACAACTCATATTCAAAGTAAAAGAGAGTATTTTCTCAATTAATTAGCTTTGTTCACAGAAATAGCTAGAGACGGAGCCAGCTCCTGAGCTAGCCGTTGTTATTATTAACGACACGAAAAATACTCATAAAAATTAACCGAAAGTCTAAAAAATGTTCTTCGTCCTCAGGCTTCACGACATCGCTGGCTCTATAATGCAATATTTTAGTAAAGGCTGTCGTTTTCCTTATTTTTTTCCAATGGCAGTAATAATAATTTCTTGGGAACAATTTTCTGGATGTGTCAGGTACGTGTCAATCTGACGATGCGACATGCATGGCCGGGGGAGCAGCATGGCGACAAGTTGGCATCAGAATTTTGTTGCAGCGTGCATGAGGAGAGGTGTAGTGGGGCTAGCTAGGTAGTAGTAGGAACTTTGGTTACTGTTACATTAGTATTTCTATACAGTCTGTGTACAGTAGAAAACAGAGACTTCTCTGCAGCACAATACCCCTCCATTAATTAATTTTGTTAGCTTTGGCTTTTGTTAATCAATAATGTGGTCTTTGAGCTTTTGTAGTTGGTAAGCCTAAAATTTTCCAAGCCACATGTTTTGTAGACTCTGATCTAGAGAGCTAAAAAAAGTAGTCATATTAGTTATTTTGGTTTATTGGTGCAAGAATAACACAAACAATTTGAGAAAGAATTTGCAAAAGAATTCGTAGATTCTTCATTTCGCCTACAATCGTCTATACCTAACTTATAAGTAAAACTTTTATATTTCAACTATACGATGAAAAAACATCAAAATCAAATCAACTCTTAAAATAGGTTTTAAAATTTAAATTTTACTGTACGATTAGGGTTAGGCATTTTAGTTATAGGTATGCTAATACTTATTGCATCATGTTATATCGAATAAAGCTGGAAAAACAAATGTACAAGGGCTAGGTTTCTAATTAAGTACCAAAAAAATAGACACACTTTACCTATCACTGATACCTGGACTGTTAATTACTGCATGCTCGTACAATTGGTAAATTCCTTTGCATTCATGGTATCGTACAATAGGTCGTTCAAAATGGTACAAATTGGTAGATTTGTACCATGCACAAAAAAGGGTACGTTTAATTTGAAGGCCTTTAAGAATCACGGGCGTAACAAAGATACTAGCTACGACGACAGGTACGGTGGGTTGGGCTGGCGGTCGGATCACGAGACAACAACGCATTAACTTTACTCATCAATGGTAACACGTTTTACTAATCTACTGTCACCGTTACCCAATTATACCCATTTATTACGTAGGTCCTGTGTAGTTCCTAAAATAAAAACTTTCACACTATCACATAGAATGTTTGGACACATGTATAGAATATTAAATGTAGGCAAAAAATAAAACTAATTACACAGATTGCGTGTAAATTATGAGATGAATCTTTTAAGCCTAATTACGTCATGATTTGACAATGTGGCGCTACAGTAAATATTTGCTAATGATAGATTAATTAGGCTTAATAAATTTGTCTAGCAGTTCCCTGGCGGAATCTGTAATTTATTTTGTTATTATATTACATTTAATACTTCAAATGTGTATCCGTATATCCGATATGACAACCAAACGTAAAAATTTTTCCAAACTAAACAATGCCATAGTATTATAAAAAAATGCTGTGCATTTTCACACCATATGTACGTAATGTGTGTACTCTCACAGTCACGGTAGTACGGTATAGGGGTAGTACGTTGTTGTTGGTTGCTTTTTAATCAATTAATTAGTTAGTGAAATTGCATCAATATTAATTCGACAATTTGATCAGTTGTAGGTACTAGCAATTATTTGTCGTTGGAGATTGATGAGAAAGGACGGATAACTTGGGTATTGAGAGCTACTGCTCGAGAGAAAGTGTTTTAGTTTTCAGTACAAATTAATTCGTTGAAAAGGAAGGATATATTTCAAACCTTATTAAAAGGTCTTAATTAGTTGTTCACTTTAATCTAAAGCAAAAAAAATCCTTTGCAAAAAAATACCTTTTATTAATCTCTCTTTAGTGAAACCTCTTGAATTAAGTTTTCTTCCTTTATTGATGATTACTTAACCAAAAAACGTTTTAGTTTCCCAGGCTTTAGTTAATGATCCATTAAATAAAAGCAGTAAAAGTAATTGAGATTGTGTTCTTTTCCACGCTTTCCTAACTTGTAGTCTCTCGCTTTTCATGTACACACACGATTTCAACAAACCGCTAAACAATATGTTCTTTTAAAATGTCTCATATAGAAAATATGTTAAACAAATCATATTAATCTTTTTAAAATTTTATTAACTAATATTTAATTAATCATGCGTTAATTCGTCCGCTTGGTTTAGCAGTGCCAGGAATACTGCTAATTAAAGTGGCAGGTACCTTGGCGGCGTCGACGGCGTTGGCGACGGCCATGAACTTCCCCGGCGAGACGGCGTGCAGCAGCCACCGGCTCCGGAAGACGTGCGCCGCCCCGGCCCGCCGCTTCGATATCTCCACGCCGTTGCAGTACGCGAGCACCTTCCACCCATCGTCGCCGCCGCCGCCGCCGCCGCCGGAGTCCGACGCGGCGAGGAGCTCCTGGATGCAGCTCTCGCTCGCGTAGCTCACGTACCTCTTCAACGAATCCTCACTTATAGACCTGATTCAATTAATTAATTTATTTGCACACACAAATCAAAATAATTAACACATGATCGTCATCAGGCAATTCATTAATCTTCACTGATTTTCTTGCTCATGCATTTCACGGATTAACACGTGAATTTTCTGTCCAAAATAATGTTGATATGTTGATAGGCAACTCATGATAAGACTAGACGGACCTATGGACATATAGGGTGATTATATTAAAGAAACAAAAAATGGTGAACATATGAATAGATGTTGATAGTTTTGTGTGATGAGAGAGTTTGCATGTATGCATGCCTACCATGATCTGGAGCAGACAGAAGGGGATGATGTTGGAGAGGAGCCACCACCACTGCTCATTGCTTCTTCTTCTTCTTCCTTCCTTTCTTCTGAAAGATATCTCTTTTGGCTAGCTAGCTAGCTAGGTAGCTTCTACAACCTCTCTGATGATGATGATATCTTGATGAGTTGAGTTGAGACTTGAGAGTGAGTGAGAATATGCAAAGGGGGATGGAATTGGGGTAGTAAGATTGGCCTTCTCTCTCTCTCTCTCTCTGAAATGGAAATGGAGATGTGGAGATGGAGATGTGTGTGTGTATAAATATATAAGCTGGTGTAGAATTAGTTAGATGTGGAGTAGGTATTTTGGTTTGCCTTTTTTTATGTGTGTGGACAATGGTGGAGAGGAGAGGGAGGTTTTTAAGAGGAGAGGAGAGGGAAATTGGGGTGTGGAGCCACACCACATGCAGTCATTGGGGCACATGGAGATGCCAGTGACAGAGAGGTGGAGCTTGCTTGCTTGCTTGCCCTCGTGGATATACACCAATGGTATCAAAGATGGGGGGTAATGTGTGTATTGCTACACTTACCCAACGGGGAGGGGATGTTGTGCGCGCACCGACCAAATGCCGTAAAATAATCCGGGTCATCATGTGGTTCTTACAGATATATAGGTTTAGAGTAGAGTGTATTTGGAGCTATATGCTGGATCGGTGCCGGTCAATGATAAAAGGTATATATTTCGATGCGAGCGTACGAATACATAATGGCCTGGTTCTTTGCTTAATAGTATTGTGTGGTTGTAGCAACATAGAAAATTATCCGATGGTTTGTTCGTAGTTTCTCTTAAGGAAAAACACATAAATCATAAAAGACAACCACAACCCTGCTTAATTAGAGCGCAACACAAGTGAGGGGTTGGTGAACAACAATTATAAATGACCACTAGAATATGTTGTTATGGGAGATGTACTTCTATTTTAAACGAGTATATATGTTAATTGATTTACTTTCCCATATTTACTCCATGTTGCATCTTTTAATCTGTCGAGATAGCTAGATTCATCAACTGGTGTAGGAGAGCAATCTTAATTTGCACACAACTTATCCTTTAATTCATTAGAGAAGAAAACATCTGCACAATTTAAAGTTGTTATTTGTATGTTGTTTTAGTGGTTGTATGCTGTAACTCTAGAGCAATTGAAAAAGGAAATGATTCTTTTCCTTTGGAGATCATAAAGAGATGAAGCAAAGGAAGATGCTGGGGGAAGGTTTGTGCACATGGCATGTTTGAGCAGGCATGCATGCACTTGGCTGCAGGGCTACTCTCCAAAGGAAAGAATTGGGCTTTTAAGGGACCAAACTTAATTATAGTTAAGTGAGATAAAAGTGATGAATTAATTATAAAGGGGTTAAAATGATGTCTTTTGGGGGCACTAGCTTGTCCTTCTTTTTGTGGGGTTTATGGCATAATATGCTCTCATTGCACATACATGTGCCAACCAAGCTCCAAAGGAAATAATCATGCCACGTCAGAAGGAATAGGACCATTAAGACCTTTTTGATCTAGAGTTGATTGTACTATTTAAATTCAAGGTACTTAGGGCAGTAGGTGACACATTAGTTGCTTTAGAGGAGAAAAGGTGAACTGGGATATGCTTTGGCAGATAAGGTCTTATAAATGATGCATGTCCTCTAAACCTAGCCATAATCCATGTAGCAATATAATGTGACTTTTGGATGCTGCCTAGCAAATCAGAAAACATGCTTATGTTAAATTTCTAAAATAATACGGCATAATTCGATAATATAGCCGGTCCTAATGATTTTCATGTGTGGATATCTAGTTGGAGAGCCAAGGATGGTACGAAGCTTGAGCAGCAAAGAGCTTTTATTAGCTACCGGTGGGTTTTCATAGCGCATTTCAGAAACTAGCCGTGTGCTGCATATATTGACATTGAGACGTGCGCCCACCCAACTAGCCCAATAACTAGTTGTGCCGTTCTGTAAATTATCAATTGGTGCAAAGGCTAAAACCGATATTTTATTTATTAATCAAATGTTGATTATCAGACTTATTTTTGAAAATCAGGGGAACACAAGTAATTGGCTATGAAAATCAAACCTAAAAAAAACCTCATGAGTTTCCCACACAAATTACCCTTATCCATGCTGGCTGTCACACAATTCGACACCTAGCCAGGTAGATCTCAGAAAGATTAAATGGCATCATTCAAGCAGCATGTAGGCAAGGCCATTGGTAATATGACCATCATGAATGCCACCCATACCATACAATACTTTTAGTTGGACATACTATATCTACTGGACCAATATATCACAATATATACATGCTGTGTTGCTGTGCAAAAAGGTTGAAATTTTTGGAATGATGCAAGGTAATTAATTAAGGAGATCTTGCTTTTCAAGTGGCTATAATAAAGGGAGAAATTTAAGATATTGTTGCAGTTGCATGCTGCTGCTGCTGGAGTTAGTCCTTGGTACCTTGGTAGGTCAGGTGATGACTTGGTTTGGAATTACTCTGAACCTGTTCACCTTTGGACTTGAGATGTCTGCTTTGAATGCAATGCTGCAGAACAGGGCAACGTGGATGTGCTGTTGAGCAGTTCAGAAACAAAAGCAACCAGGACATGTTTGTTCACTGTATTTTGTTTTAATGAAATGTTTGTTACTTGGTCAATTACCAAGCAAAGCCAGTAGCTACCCGCCTCTGTTTTGTGTGAGCGGTTTGTGACTTTGTGTATACGAGATATTGAGATGCTACACATGTATATGAACATATATTCTCTCTTTTACTTGTCACAACCATTTATATTTTAACTTTGACCATTATTAACTTTAGACTATCAGTATGACTAATACTCCTTCGTTTCCTATTATAAGTCGTTTAATTTTTTTCATAATCAAAGTTTTTTAGGTTTGATCAAGTTTATAAAAAAATTAGTAACATCTACACCACCAAATTGCTTTTATTAAATTTAATATTAAATATATTTTGATAATAAGTTTGTTTTGTATTGAAAATATTACTATATCTTTGTACAAATTTTTTCCAATGACTTGTAATATAAAACAGATGGAGTATATTTTTTTAAAAGGAATAATATGATCGGTCAAAGTTAAAATGTAAATAGTATCCGGTGACAAGTATTTGAAATTAGAGTGATCGAAATATGAACTAAATAATAATTCATACTACAAACTATAACGAGGTTATACTAAAATATGAAAATAAAATATATATACTCTTTAATATGAAAAATAAAAGGAATAAGTTCACCGGAGGTCCCTCAACTTAACATCGAGATTTTTTTAGGTCCTTTAACCATAAAACTAGAAATGTGTACTCTTAAACTCACACAAACCATGCACTCAAGGTATTATGGCAGTATATATGGGTGGTTTCACTGACGTGGTATCCTAGTCAGCAAAAAAAAAAAAGTAAGTGTGGCCCAATGTCAGCTGCACATTTTTTTCTTCTCATTTCTTCTCCTATTCTCTTTTCTCTCTTCTCTTCTGCAGCGGGCAGAGCAGCGATGGCACGCTTGTGCTGCGCGCGGCCGCGGCGTCTAGCCCCGCGGGGCCTAGCCTAGCGACCTCCATCTATGAGACCCACCTCGGTCTCGCTGCGCTGTCCTGGACGTGCACCTCCCTCGGCCTCTTGCTCCGCGTCGTGCTCCAGCTCTCGTCCCCAGCCACCCCGGCGTCCTCCTAAGTGGCGGGGGTGGGGATATACTTCGACAAGGACACTGATGAGGAGACCCTGGCCTTCCGCGTCTGCCCTTGGCTCCTCTGGCGGCGGCGCGGGACGAGGCGGTTCCGCGCCGCCGGCAACCGCCGCGCCGACCTGGCGTGGGATCGTGGTGGCGGCAGCGGCGCGCGGCCAGAGGTAGGTGGAACGGCGGCGTCGACGGGCAAGCGCGGCTGCGGAGAGGGGCGAGCGCTGCAGAGGGGAGAGCGGTGGTGGGCAAGCACGTCAGAGGGGGGACCGACGGCGGGCGAGCATGGCAGTGGGCGGAGCGGAGCGGCCGGAGTAGGCCGCAGAGGGGGGACGGCGGCAGGCGACGTGGCAAAGTGGGCGGAGCGGCGGCTGCCACCACGCTTCTCGAGCTGTAGCCGCCGCCGTCACACTTCTTGAGCTCCCGCCCTCGATCTCCTCCACCAGCTGCGGTGCCTCTGCCACCCTACGCGGCTGACTCTGCTCCTCCCGCCGCCGACCCCGCACCGGGTGTCCCGTCCCCCATCACCTCGCCATCCCCGTCGCCGCGTCGCGCCCCCCGTCCCCCGTCACCGCGCCGTCCTTATTGTCGCGCCTCTCCCCTCCCCCATCGCCCGCCGCCCGCCTCCCCTTTCCCTCCTCCTATCACGGTGCTCGAGGCGACGCCGCATTCTGGCCGCCATTCCTCCATCCGCTGCTCTGCCCGTCGCCAGCCTCCCTCACTTAAGAAAAGAAGAGAAGAGAAGGAGAAGAAAGAAATGTGCAGCTGACATGTGGGCTCCACGTACTTTTTTAATTTTTTTTTGCTGACTAGGATGCCACGTTAGCGAAACCATCCATATATACCGCCATAGGATCTTGAGTGCATGGTTTGTGTGAGTTTAGGGGTATATATTTTTTATTTTGTGGTTAAGAGATCTTAAAAAATCTCGCTGTTAAGCTGAGGGACCTCCGGTGAATTTATTCCAAAATAAAATATATGCTCTTGCTTGATTATGATTGGCACTACACATTTAGTAGTGTCCACTTAAATTGAGTGTCTGATATCCAGACCGGCAACTCCATTATTCAACTACAAACAACCACGGTTAGTTAATGGATCGGACGCGTCTCAACAGCTACCAATTAGGCTGGTCCGCACGCAAGCACTATATACCACGTGGCAACAACTGATGCATTTCCATGTTCCTCTCTGCCGTGCGATTTGAGATAAGTCGCACATAATATTATTGTTGAATTTCAGGACTACATTTCAGAATTAGTTTATTAATTTTTTTGGGTTTCCGTTACTGGCCTTTGTTGATTGCTGATGCTATGCATCTCTCTCTCTCTCCTCTTTTCTTCCATACTCCTCTTTTTTCTTCCATACGGTCAAAAATATTTGACATTAGGATGAGATTTGTTAAATTTTTAAAATTTGGTCCATCAGTATTTTCTTGAATGCTTAATCTAAAACCAAATAAATGATGTATACTAAGAGTAAAAGTGTAAAACTCTCATTAAAAATTAGCTTCACTTACATGGCCATGTGTATTCATCCTAAGATTGCTAATGCTATGCATCCTAAGAGATACATTATGTACTAATTAACTACTATAATTTTAAATATATGATACCGTTGATTCCTTGATATGTACTTTTATCGTTCGTCTCATCTTGTTCAAACATTATTTACTTTTCTATATTATTTACTTTTCTATGACTTGTTTTATTACTAAATGTATAATGAGCATAACTCATAGTTTTACTATTTTTTTTCCAAATAAGGTGAATGCTCAAAACGTATGTCCAAATATCATCCGTATCATATATTTAAAAAATGTAAGGAGTATATTTTTTTTTTCATTTTTCATATAGAAGCACTGAATATAACCATGCAAAAATATATGTTTCTTGAAAATTTTGTTAGTATCATTTCAATGGGATTGAAAACAGAGTTAACTACAACTGAAATGAATGGACACGGCATGCCCAAGGCACTGACCAGATGAATAATACTATCATGCAGCCTCTACTGTGGAGAATCCAGCTCAAATTTGCGTTAATGGGGCGTTGACTAAACACAAATTAGTTGGCGGCAAAAGCTAAGTGGTTGACTGGTGAATTATGTGTGTTGCAGCTAGCTGTTTGCAATAATCGCTTTTTAATTTGGTGATAACCAGGTTGACCTTTTCGGGAGTGGACATGTAACTGACCATCAACCTTCTCCATGTGGTCGCTGACATTGCGAGTAGTTGACTCACAATGCATGATCATCTTAAAATCCAAGAATATATATGATTCATATAGATATATAATTAAGTTCCACCCTTCGGGGTTTATCTTGCATTTTTTTCCTCCTCTAAAATGTATTTTGCTAAAAGCCGGCTAAGAGGAGAGGATCCTTATTGTGTTCTTCCACAACATGTAAGAATATATATGAAACATAAAAATAGGAAAAACACCTTAACATAGTAGAAAAGCAAGATGGAATTCGGAAACCGTTCCCGTAATTAATCCAGATAACTCCAAGGAAAAAAATCCTACACAAAAAATATCATCTTTAAATCCTTTGGTCCAAACATATCCTTAAAAAACGGTGATAGATATACTACCCGTATAAAACCCACTATGATAGTCTACCGGCAGCGCCCAATATTAGCCACATAGCATTTTCACCTCTTGGTATGCATCGGCGAGCCCCGGCAGCTGCTCATGGCAGCCGGAGTGCTAGCTCCGCCGCTGTCTAGAAGGAAACAATTGGTAATTGTAAGCTAAATTATATACATTTATTAATACTATTTTAATTTGTGGCTCTATCTTTTTCGATATTTTTCATTAATAGGGAAGCATATATAATAGTTCTCTTTGGGGTTACGATAAAGTTGGGGAAAATATGTAATAAGATAGAGATCGATGTCGGCTTATTTTGCAGTACCAACAATTTATTATATGTAATACACAGATCGATGCGCATATGGATGGGTGCAGAGCATCAAACGTTAGTAGTTTATGCAAATACAGTATATATACACATCTAAATCCTTCATGCAGTCACCGGCTAGGAGTCAATATTTTGACCTAAAAATGTAGTTATTCATCTGTTTTTTTTTTTTTTTTTGCTTATTATAATGTCAACTGTTGTGATAGATTCCCATGCATATGCTCAGATTGGCAAGTGAAGAGGAGCACACCATGCGTTAATATAGCAAGCATGCAATACCTGATTGATTAATTAAGTTAATAAGATGCAGAAGTGGATAAGTTCTTTTAATGCATTAGTTCACCTATAATTTTATTGTTTTTACATGCTTACTAGTAGTATATATTTTTAATACTATAGCTGTACATTCATCTACTTAGCCGTTGGTTCAGTTTACTGTTTGTTTCCTCATCGAAGAACATTGGGCAGATAATTTTATTCTTTTATTCACAACGGTATACATTAATGTATTATAATATAAATTTATGATCATGTATGCACAATTGATTAACTGATCATCTGCTCTCTGATCTCACAACGTTCATGCATGGGAGCAATGCATTATGTTCAGGGATAAGCATACCAAGTCTGACAGATCATAAGATACATACATGCTGCATGCACCAAAGCTATAGAGATCTGTGATTATTTTCCCCTTTTTTTTTTAGGATTAGATCTGTGACTCTCTGAAAATATAATGGTGTTAGCTGGTAGCATGGCAGATTAATACCAATTAAGACAGGTTGCAGACTTGCAGTATGGTTAATTAATTTTTGCAACTTCATGGAGCAACCAGTTTATTTTTCCTTCAACTTAGAATCTTGTTTTTCTTCTGGTGGAATCAAAATCTCAACAATACTGACAAAAATTTTTAGCCCCATGGAAGATAAGACCAATATTTGTCCTACTAAACAGGGCCTTTCATGTTCTTGAAGAATAACAACATGACAATTAACAGGGGAAAATGACAATATTTGCATGATTGACAAGTATGGGGAGAAGACTTCTCTTTTGTTCTTACAAGACAACATTACAGCACATCAAGGCACCAAAAAACAGAACTAAAATTTTAAAAACAAAATAAATACAAACATGTACTTTATTGCAGGATAAGAAACCAGCATAAATACAAAACGGAGCAAACCATGGATGCCGCCATTTCACACTGTTTATTTGCTGATTCAAGCAGAAGGAAACAAAGCCAGTAGCATTGGCAATTTGGCATTGCCATGCTTGCTGAACATGTCTGATGCAATGGATCCCAAGCCCAATGATATATGCAGATAAGGGCAAGAACGCATAACATTGAGCATAGAGTGACTAGATTCTGCAGCCAATTAGGCATTTTTGCCAGCCAATTTGGCTGTTATCCATGTAGTATGTAGTATGGGCCTTTTGGTTGATTGCAAGAAGATGTCTGAACAATGAGTAGATAGGACAGGCAGGCTTGTCTCGGGATCCCTGACCACAGTTGCAACTTGTCCATGTTCTTCTGATACTGCAGTCAGTCTCTCTGTGAGACTGTGACTGATCTGATTCTTTTCAGTTTGAAGGCTTTGAAGATCATCAGAGATTCTAACTCTGAACTTACACTGGCTTGGACGGTTGGTTTCAAGAATGTGATCCCGTTGTAACATGGCCAAATCAATCGGTGTGATAGAATCTCTTCAGAGACGTTTGAGATCATTCTACCAGAATCATGAGGAGATTATGCAGAGGCCAGGAGTGTTCTCAGTGAAGTAGTATCACCTTGATGTAATCAACTCAGTTTAATTAAAACTTCCATTATCTACAAAAATCATGAGGGGATATACATACTGATTTTTGGTAAATAGCATATTGTCACACTGAACAAGCATATATATGGCCACTTACTACATCAACATCAATATCCTAAAGAATGCTTCAAAGATTAAAATATATGTATCTCATTTTTGCTTCGATTATACAAATAATAGCATCATACAAAATAATATCACATGCAAATCAGAAACCAGACTTTATCTGTAAAAGCAACAGTAATTGGTTCTCCTTAGCGCTGTTTACACTTAAATCCAAAATCCTCATAGTTTCCAATAAATTCCCAGCTTGTGCAAGATGCCTGACACAACACCCCAGAAGACAATCTCCCCAAATATGACATACAGCAGTGTTCCCAACCTTTGTGAGTGCCATACATTGATAAACACATGCTTCTGGATCCAGCTAACCTGCAGATTTTTTTTTAGGTAATGGATTAAACCAAATCAAACTCATGTCAAAACTTTGCCTGTAGATGTCACCATGCTGTCATGATGGATTAAAAATAAACTTGCAACAAAGTTACTTACAAGAGTATTGCCTGGTGAATCATAGTACCATCCATTGACAAATGCTGGAAATATTGCCTGTGCTGCTAGAACAAACACAAGCATGGCATTCATGCCAATCCACTCCAGGAACAAGAATGGTGTTCTTAGTCCCCAGACATCAATCTATTAATAAAAAAATAATAATCCAGTAAATAAATAAAATTAAAATCGGTCATGAAAATGAGTACTGAAATTCCATATCAGGCCTCGTTTAGATGGGCCTCAAGTAATCGAACCCAGCCCATCCGTGTTTATAGGCTGGGACTTTGAACTAAAATCTCGGTCCACACCAAACCAAACGAGGCCTCAATGTACTAATGAAAAATCATACCAATATGTAGAAAGCTGAAAGAACTACTCCAGCTGCACCAGCCGTGAAGCAGACATAGCTTAAGCTGTAGAGTTGCTTGTTGATTGGAATGGCTGCAAGAAAGATAAAATGGATGTAAAAGTCCTGAATAAATATTTTGACCTTTTTTATCAGTTGTGGGAAATAGATTTTGGGGAGTAGTAGTACCATTTGTGAAGTGGAGAAGAATGCCGAGTGCAAGGAGAGAAAATCCCAGCAGAAGCCAGTGTCTCAGTCTCTCTCTGTGGGTCTAAAATTCAGACACTTTTGTTTCAAACTTGTGCTTGTTAAATATTAACTTAAAATAGTATAAATTAACACAAAATAACCTTGAAATGAACGAGAACATGTCCATAATGGATCCCAATTGTCCCTGACAGAATCGATGATATTGAACTGCAAAAGAATAAATTGTTAGACAGCTGAATTACTTAATACGTAGTGCAAAGAAGCTTCTAAGACAAATTAACTTCAGCTTCAGTTAGCTCATGTTGTCAGATTTCCAACCTTAATAAGCCTTCTGGTTCAAAAGGCCCAAGACACCATGCTGGAGCATCAGCTCGGAGAGGACCTGCCCTTGGTGAGCTAAATGTACAATCCTAATCAAAGATAATTGCAGTTCACAAAAAGTTTCAGAGTTTGCAGGGTACAGGTTAACAAAACAAAATTTTGCACTTGATTACAGAAGGACAAATATTGTACATCTGATCATTGCAAGATTACAGTTTCTACCTTTGATCGGATCCAAACTGGCTGCGTGTAGAGATGATTGATTCCCCAAACCACCCTATCAACATAACCAACTGCGTTGCAGGCAGGGTCCAGATGACCTCTCACACCACATTGTACCTGCAGGGATAAGACAGTACTGTAGCAAATACAGGATTTGCAGCTCTGCTCACATGATCAGGGAAAACTGCAAGTAGTACCGTAAATTGCTTCCCGTCATTAACATCGCCATCGTTGTGGTAGACATAGCTCCAATCCGGGACATATAGAGAGAATGTGGTGACCATGTAAATGAATAACGCGACAAAACCGCCTAGCCTGTCAGATAACAGAAAAGACCAGAAATGCTCACCATTTTCAGAAATTGAACAGATGTTCGCTGAATTGCAGTGACATTGTTAGCCAAATATCAAGGTAATATTTGTGTACCATTGCCATCGGTATGCGTGGAAGATTGCATATGGACCGGACCGCACTGTCGTAGGCCGAACTTTTGTGGTGAATGCCTCTATCAGAGCAACCACGAAGTACACCAAAGCTATCCTCTGCATTGTCAAAACAGAACTAATAAATTCTGAAGAAATAAACAGAACATAAACTCTGAACAATTTTTTGTTTTCTTTCAGCAAATTAAGGTACTGGACCTGGAGGATGCCACACCATCTTATCTTCTTCATATCCACCCCATAAGACAGGTCATCCGGTGCATGTGAATATCCACCTTCATACATGCGAAACATCAAATTCGGCAGTGCCAATGATTGTCATAACATTCAAGTTGCAAACTGAAAATTTGTTGATATGCACATTGCATTTGATAGTGGGCATGTTCATTGAAGGTTTTACTTACCTTGCAGTAGCAGGCCCCAGAAGAGCATTTTCAGTGTTCTGATGGTGATCTTCTTCACAGCTGCACCCAACTTTGGAACTCTCTGCAACCATGTATAAGCCAGACGATCAATTGCCAGAATTTAACAACAGCATTATTCATAGATTCATAGCAAGAGGTGCTCTTGTGCAAGTGTCTGTAGTAACCTTCAACGCGAAGGCGATTGCGACGCCGACGATGAAGAGGAAGAAGGGCATGACGAAATCTGCCAAGGTGCATCCGTTCCATGGTGAATGGTCCATCCGCTCGTAAGCCCCACCGGCATCATCCACCAGTATCATTAGCTGCACAATGCAACTCAACAGTTTACACTGTCACATTCATGCTCATTCAAAGAATTTCAACTTCTGTTTTTACTACTCCCTTTGGTCATAAAAACATCGGCACATTTGTCAGTTAGTTTCTATTATAATTTTTTTTACAAAAAGATCCGATAAAATTATAATTTTATGGAAGTAACTTTTGAGACAAATATATATAGATGATTTTCAATTTTTCATAGTTCAAATCTAAATAATTAAAGAGCATTAATTAATGACCAAACATTCTAAGGTTTTACTTGAAACATCCAAAACAACTTCCTTTTTTTATTGAAGGGGGTAAATAAAAAGGGGTGCTACTTTCTACACTTCATGAATACTAAATTACACTGATCATCAAAACACTGATAAGTACTACCAAAGTGTAACTAGATGGAAACAAAACTATTCATATTTTTCACTGCATATGCAGTAGATATATGTATACCACAATGGTTAGCCCTCTAAAGGCATCAAGAGCTGCAACCCTCTTGCTTTTCTTCCTGGGCTCCTCTTCAACAACAGCCAATCTCTCCTTCTCCGGTGCTTCTGCAGCGGCGCCGGCGACGACTCCGATGGCGCCATGCTCGCCGGGGCGGACGTCAATGGCGTGCTGCTCTGAACCTTTCTCGCCGGCTGACGCTCCTATCTCCTGCCCCTTCTCCATGATCCAGAGCTATGTCAGGACATGGAAATGGATATTAGTATCAACGAAAATTGGAGCCTGTCACATCTATATAGTATCTGATCTGTATCTGATCATAAGAATTTCCCCTCTTGCTGTCAAAGATGTCTTCTTTTGATAGTTAATTTGTTGTTACGTAGATTTATTATGTTTTTGCAGTAATGTTGGCTTGCCGTCCAGTGGTTAAGTACATGTTTTTTTTCTAGGATAATTGTCACTGTCCATGTTTGCTTGCACTGACTTCTTGGGCTATGTTTCCAAGTGTCAGAACCTTAGTTCCTTTAATATGCAGTCTATCCATGAAAAATAAAGATTGGAGAGCAGAGAGAATATTTGTAGTTTAGGATAAGTATGCAATATGTAAATTACAAATAGAAGTACAGAATCGTCATGAACAACAAATTCAGAATAATTTTCAGATGTCCGTTGAACTTTCAAAGAACTGCTACTCCTGCATTTTTAAATGTACGACGTTGTTTACTTTTGGAAATTTACTTTTGGAAATGACGATAACCATTCGTCTTATTTAAAAATTTAGTACTAATGTTAAAATATATTAAATGATAAAACAAGTCACAACAAAATAAATAATAGTTATATAGCTTTTCTAATAAGACAAATGGTCAAATACCATGTCTAAAAAGCCAACGGCATCAATAATTTAATAGTGAAGGCAATATTCCGCAAACTGCATTAGAATTGTAATAAGTGCACAGTTTTAAATGTTAAGAAAGGTTACCTGGTATATTTTGCTAATTGTTTTCAATGATAGAGAGGTGCGTAGGTGTTGGGGAATCAGCCGGCTGGAATGGAAGATGACATGCGCATTGCCGGCTCCGTTTCTTTGGATGTCATTATAATTGTACCGTATCTGTTATACAATTAATTACTTGACTGATCCACTTGGTTTCAGACAAGTGAACACACAGACAGTTGTATCACATTGACGTTGCCAACATATACTCCCTCCGTTTCAAAGTGTTTGACACCGTTGACTTTTTAGCATATGTTTGACCGTTCGTCTTATTAAAAAAAGTTGTGAAATATGTAAAACTATATGTTTACATGAAAGTATATTTAACAATGAATCAAATGATATGAAAAGAATAAATAATTACTTAAATTTTTTGAATAAGACGAATGGTCAACCACGTACTAAAAAGTTAACGGTGTCAAACATTTTGAAATGGAGGGAGTTATTAAACAATTGCCATGCGTGTTGTGGGGAATTCACTTCGCATAAAACACAAGACTTTTGGACGCTTACAAGTTTTTACAGTTGATCTCAATACTTTAGTGTAACAAATCAAAACAATTAATGACTGCCGGGGTGGTCGATCAAATTGGTTGGGTTTATGGCACGGCGTTAGTGTTTGTGTGCGGTGCGGAAGCTGCGCGCGTTAAATCATATGGATAGATAAATTGCAGCAATCACTACCACAGAAGTGGTCATCACTGCTGGTTCGGTATGAACCGGCGGTGAGAATTTATCACTGTCAGTTCACTTTGGTTTCTTTGCCCAAACTGAAGTAAACTGACAATGTTACTAAATATCACTACCCAGTTCATTTGCGGTGATATACCACTGCTGGTTCTTGTTATGAGCTAACAGTGACAGAGGAATAAAAAGTAGAAAGAATCTTATATTCAGAAGAGTAAATACATCTTTTTTACTTTAGAGTTAACGGTCAACCCACAGTCAACTGACGGGAGTGACATGAGAGGATGCGTAAATTTAGACCAACTAGGAAGGTGGCCCGCGCATATGCGCGGGTACTTTACTAAATTAGTATTGATTAAATTTGTATTATGAATCCTTATTGTGTTGAAATGACTTTTTTTAAAGGAAATAGTCTGAATTACACCCTTAAACTATAATGACAGTGCGAATTGTTTCGGTTATATACGATGGAATAATCTATAATGTTAATAATTAGCATATTATTATATAGATGGGAATGATATAATTAAAAAGATATAATGTGGTTACATGCGACATTTTTATGCTATATATATATATATATTTATATATATGTTTTTCTTGGCAAATACTAAGTACATATTTTTTCCTCTTTTTTTGACAAATATTTTTTCTCTTAGGGTAGGTGTGCGTATGCCTATTTCTATGATGGGTGTGCACACGTTTATATATGCGCTCGAGATTGCCTTTAACATTAATAGTAAAAAAAATGCTTTCAAGAAAATTGGCGAGATGGCGTGAAGCGGTGCTGTGTAGCGTGGCTTCTTCGACAGCCTCGCCAGGAGTGGTCGCTACTCATATGCACAATTTGTGGAAAATCTCAGAGCTGCAAAGAAAGATAGAGAAAACTACTTGATGGGGCTGATAGTATACACACTCTTCTTTTTTTCCTTTATGGCATTTCTTGTGTACGTACATAGTGAGGGATTATTTGAATAGATATAATATAATGATTGAAAATAATATATCCACTGGTTTATGTGTAAATAAACAGTTATATTTTTCTTTTCTTAATATATTTTTCTTATATGTTCTCTAATTTATTAGAGCGTCATGCGGCATCTTGGAAGTGCAGGAATGCTATTAGTCATAGTCGTAATGGATTACTTGAAGAGGTCTAATCTTATGGTTAAAAATAATTTATCCACCAGTTTAAGTGTAAATCAATGGCTAGATGTTTTACTTTTTCTTATAAATTTTATTAGATTTACCCTAATTTATTAGAGCGTCACGTGGCAACCTAGGAATGTATGTAGGTGTGTGGGAACACTATTACCCAATAGTTTCAATATATTTGTAGTCAACTATTATTTGTTGTGGCTTGGTGGTATCAATACTTACCTATCATTTGTTGATGGTTTCTCATTTAGTATTGTCCATTATCAGTACTTGATAACACACTGCATATTAGATGTCATCTAATTATTAGGTGCATTAAGCACGGATGCTTCATAAGTAATTAATATGACTTGATAATTGGTGGACAGTGGTTTGTATATGAAACTTATACACATAGGAATTAGTAGGGATATATGATTGATATATTTGGCTCTATTCCTAATTGACAAAATATATTATATACTATATATTTTATAGTAAATTTAAGGTTGAGTTCTAAAATCTTATCGGATTGGCTACTCCCTCTATGGTGAGATGTTTCCTGAAATGATGCATGTTTTCAAATACTTTCTATGCAAAGTTTTTTTAAAAGATCAAATAAATCCATATTCAAGTTTGTAATATTTAATACTTAATTAATCTTACGCTGATGGCATGCTTTTTTTTCGCGTGTCCTAGATAAGCTCATCTAATGAGGTAGACCGAATGAAACCTAAGAGATAAAAAATACATCCACATGGTGTAAAAAAATATATGATCGTTAATTTTCCAAAAATATATGAATAAAGGAACATATATAATATATGAAAATATATTCATGATAATTTAATAATGTCATTTGGGCATATCAATATTATACAGTAGGGAGTGAGTAAATTTTAGAACGCTGCTCATAATTTAAATTCTTTTTATTTTTTGAAAATATAAGTCCAATTTAACTATGTTCTTAAGAGATATACAATCATATAATCTACAATTTTAATTTATTAATAATTTTAATGGATGTTTTGATGCGATGCGCTATTTAGAATAAAACTTGAAATAGCATGTATTTTTACAACTTTAATTTAACATGGTTTTTCATCTAATATAAGAATATAAGAAGAAAAAAAAAGAAAAAGACTTACAGGGATACGTACGTACGTATGTACGTACATACGTACAGGTCCACGGGGACACCGCGGGGGTAACGTGGGATTTTTTTTTTATAGATTGATTTGGGTTTTTTCTTAACAAAGATCTAACTAATGGTTTAAAATAGCGGGTCCACCAGATTAAATGAAAATCGATGGCTAGATGTTTTGCTTTTTTCTTAGAATTTCTAGGATTTACTAAAGCGCCACATGGCAATCTAGGAGCGTTTATAGGAGCGCCACATGGCGGTTTAGGAGCGCTTGTAGGAAGTTTAATGGACTTTTAGTATATAATAGATAGATAGAAATAGATAGATAGATAGATAGATAGATAGATAGATAATAGATAGATAGATAATAGATAGATAGATAGATAGATAGATAGATAGATAGATATATGACATATAAGGAAAAAGCCAATTTTCAGTGGCATACAAGGGATCAGACTAATTTTTAGTGGCATATAAAGGGATTCTCTCTAAGAAAAAGTACCACCGTTAAGTTGGTATTACAAGCCAGCACTGATACTATGGAGCAGATATTTTGGACCATGGTCTGGACTGTTATGTTCATTGAGTAATTAACCGGTAGTGATATTTACAAGAACATTTAAAAAAAAGAATAATAAACTTTTTTATATAAATCCGAGTGAACACAAAGGTAAAATCAAAATTGTGTAGGTCAACGAGATATACAACTTTGTCATTGACGACCTTTTTATTTGAGATACTTAAAATGACTGAATATGTGTTAGAAATTCTGAAATATTTGGATATTTTATTTTGAGTAAATTTCAGAAAGTTACATATTTAGTGACTAAATTATCAACTCACCACAACAATAGCAGAGAAAATTATCATAAAAATGCAATTCCTTGAAAACCTAAAGTTACTTATACATAGGGCCTGTTGGCAACTTTTTTGACAAGTTGACAAGCACGATCGTAGCACCTTAAGCCTTGCGGTGATCCTAGAGTCGCCAACCACCTCGATCTAGCAAAAAAGCTAAATCTAGATGGGTTTTGATAACTAAACCGGCTAGCGGAGCCAATTTCTAGATAACTACCCGTCTCGTGGGCAAACGGAAGGTTTTCAGGACAAACCTACAAAGAGGTGTCGCACTCTCGCAGCAGCGGCGGACGGTTTACGGTGCAAACCGACAAAGATGGACAAACTAAGAGAAAACTAAAAGCAATATGAAAAGAACGATTCGATTGATTGATAGTAGATTTTTTTTTACAATGAACCGGCCTTGTCCCTTATATAGGGGTTGGTCTTGCCTTCTACAGGCCCTCCTCCACGTCCAACTCGGGGTAGAATCCAAAGGAAACCCGAAACATGCCTTCCCGAGCAAGGAAACTTCGAGACCCGACGAAACAGGGTCGGACTCGGACCCGCCGTTCAGACCGGCCACACACCACCGGTCTGACCGGCCTACAACCGGCGGTCTGACCTCCCCACACATGGCGGTCAGACCGGCCCACTCGGAG